ACAGTGGCTAGGAGATGTTCACTACCTCGCCTGGTATGCAGGAGGTCGTGGGTTCGATCCCGACCCTGGCGCCTGCTGCTGCTGTATATTTGCAGTTTGCGTGTCTCTCTCTCAACATCATCACAGTGGCTAGGAGATGTTCACTACCTCGCCTGGTATGCAGGAGGTCGTGGGTTCGATCCCGACCCTGGCGCCTGCTGCTGCTGTATATTTGCAGTTTGCGTGTCTTTCTCTCTCCCCGTGGTCGTGTGGATTTTTTTTCTCCGGGTCCTCCGGTTTTCCCCTCCACATTTAGAAACATGCGTTTAGAGTATTTGTTTGCTTGACATTTACACATAAGCCACTTCATTGGGATATCTTTTCTGGTCGCTTCTGAAAAGAGCTATATAGCTCAGTGGGCCTTACGTAGTAAAATTAAAATATTATTGGTTCTTTCGGTAAAGTCACGTAGAAGGGAAATAATAAAAATATTTATTATTTTATTTTATTATTTCCCTTCTATGTGACTTTACCGAAAGAACCAAGAATATGAATCCCTGCAGTCACGAAAGCTTTAAATCAAAATTAAAATAGTTTAGTTTAGAGCTTCAGGTTACTGAATATTCACTTAATCCTTGCTTGGCCAGTTGCTGGAGAAGCTCCGAAAACGTGGAGCAAAACGTCGGACAACGTGCAAAATGCGCCGTGCAATCCAGAAACACATCACAGCCGTACAGCAGAACCGCTAAACCCGAGGCAGTAAATTGTAAGCCCACAAAATCATTTATTTTTTTCAGTGTGTGCAAATGAAACATTTAAATCACAACAGCAATTAAAATACAGACGCCAACCCGTTCAGTAATGACCAAGTATTGGGACACATATCAAGTATGCTGGCAATCGCATGCAGTAGTGTTACACCGAGGTTCCATCCAGCATTAGACACGGCATGGCTCAGGATATTTACAAGGCGTTTGTATTCATTGTACTGACCTGAATGTGCATTTAAACTGGTCTTTATTTAATCAGCGACAGTTTGTGGTGCATCTCCTTTGGCACGGCTAACATCGGTGGCAAGGGATATCTCAGCTGGTTCTCGGACGAACCCGTCGCGAACCTGCACTTGGGCAAATGCGGTGAAGTATGCCGTGACACCAGTCGCCATACACAAATACCAATGATTAGCCATAGTCATACAGGGTGCAGAAGCATGTGCTGTGAATGAGCACATATTAAGGCTTGCGCAGAACACACGCAACCACCTATGTTTACCAAGTGCTAATGCTCACACGACATACTTGTGCTCATGTTAAGGTTGAGTCAACCTAAGAGAGGGCCAGGACAGGTTCAGATACCACTTGGCCAGGGATCGAACTCGAGTTGCCGGGTTTCTTGAGCAGTGCGCTAACGACGATGCAACGACTCCCCCCCCCCACCCCCACTAGCATCTCACAGCTGTACGTGGCAGTCTGAATAAGCAACGCACGCGCACACAAACACGCACATAGAATGTAGCAATGAATAATTCACACTCTTAAAAAAACACTCAAGAAGACAAAACAGTCGCGGGCGCAATTAAGGTAAGACCAACACAGGGATAATGCGGCGTGAAAATCGTCGGCTAAATTAAACGACTCGTGAGAAAGGGGGGAAATGGAACCGTTGACCTTTAAAGAATAAACCAAACATAAGCGGGGAAAACAAGAGAAACGGGCCAGAGCATCCTGCACATTCATCAGGCAGCCAGCACTCTGCTGATGCCATCGCACAAGCGGAAAACCTCATCACGCATTCAGGCGTTTTGGTGCGGCAAGCGAGGCAGATACGAACATTGTGGCACGCTATGATTTTTTTTTTATCGTGGGCAAGTAGCTGTCCGGCGTGCTCTCGCATTGTACCGCGTGTTGTTGGGCACGATGTCCGACGTTTCAGCTCCACGTGCTGGCAAGCCGCACGTTAAATCCAGTTCCCTGAAGAAGCTCTCCTGGCACGTGGAGCGAAACGTCGGACATCGTGCCGTACAACGCACGGCACAACCTGAAAACACATAGGCGAGTTGTTATATAGAGCAATCGCAAAAATAGCAACTCGTACTTTTTGGGTTTTTTGGGTAAAGTCACGTAGGTAAAAAATAAAATGAAAACTAAATTTAATTTAGTTGTTTTCATTTTAATTTAATTGTTTTCATTTAAATTTATTTTATTTTATACCTACGTGACTTTACCGAAAAAAACTAAAAGTATGGATCCTTGCAAGTCACGAAAACTTCAAATCGAGAATTAATACCAACTCAGCAGGAATTCATTTCTCTGAATATGTCCCCGGCCGTTGGTCGACTGGAGGGTGACACGTGCCGAGATGGGTAGTCATCCAGAGAGGCATCCTGGATGCGGTGTGCAAGGTGTGGACATCTTTTTTCAGGTCGCTATTCCAGATTAGACCCAGCCTTGATTTCAACCCAACGGAAGCCACATTCACTTTCACCACATTTACTCAGCAAACCATTTAAGCAACCTACTGATTTCCTGAATGACATCGTTCGCGAACCCACTCAACAGCTGTTTTCAACAATCCACCCTTTCCAGCATGCATTACAACTTGCTCCAACTCCTGCCAACAATCCATCGTCCCACCAGACGTACACATTACCAAGTAACAAGGCAGCGATCAAGTTAGGTTGAATAATAATGTGCGAAAAAATGTGATAATAAAGGCTTTTTTTTCGGATGGCTCAAGATTCCTATGAATTTCATCATACATTTAATCATATTCCAAGAGCAGAGAAGCCTCGGGGCAAATGCTGCCGGATTGGTATCAAAAATTAGTTTCAGTGGCGGACAGATTGAGAACATGAGCAGCGATCGGCTCCGCGATGAAATGGGAGTGTTATGCTTAGAGAATAGAATTACGACATTATCTCTCTCCGCGTAAAAACAAGAAAAACTGTGGGCCAGTTTCGAAATTTTTTGCTCTCGTCAGCAGAGCGAGCAAATCTCAGTTCGCGTTTGCCCGTGTAAACAAATGGCAAATGGTGCTGAGAACAAAACGTGACGAGAATATATTTTCAGTAAGATGGGCAAAATTACGTATGGCTTCGAATGGAAATTCATGCAAAAATGCCACGCTTAAAATGTTCCCATCTTCTTACCCCACCTCGTCCCACGAGCGAAAATGCCTCTAACAAACGACGTCAGCGCAACAACGATCGCCACAACCAAGCAAGCACGGTCCAGGGGCAGTATTTGCACAGACAAGCGACGCGCTTTTACGTTATGCGCTATTGCAATTCGGCGGTCACACTGCTGCTTAATCTACCCACCGCGCGTTGTGTTTCGGTATATTTCCTTATTTATTTTGTCCCCCAAGTGCTGTCTACATTCGTAGCGTGTTCAGCACAAAATGCGATGCTATATAGACTCAAATTCTGGCAATGCATATTTATTATTATTTAACCGTACTCCTTTTAAATATTAAGACGCAAAACTTGGTAAATGTATTGTGACCAGGCCACTAGACAGCCCAAGACCCTCTAACTTGACTGAAAATGTGACATTGCATTGATACTTGAAAAGTGGTCAATTGGATTATTTCAGATCCAGCAGAGGACGCCTTTTGGCCCATTCAATACAGACACCTCGTCTCGTCCGATAGAGAACTCGAGCATAATTTAATGAAGAACCTTCGTCTCATCTAATACAGATGCCTCGTCTCATATGACACTGAACCCTTAGCTCATTAGGATCACCGAAATCCATCTCACAGACGTTTGCTAAATTCGACTGACTCGTTTTCTTAATAATATAAAACCCTTGCCAAAGCAAAGGAAGCATGCATTGTTAATCATACCTCACCGTAACGCACACGCAGAGTCAGCACCAACAAATCAGACATTCCTTACCGACCACAACCAAAGCTTTAGCTGAACACGTGCAGCTTTAAACAATTGCAGCTTTAAAAATACGTGGATTAGTTCCAGCGAGCTGCGAGCACACACACTCACACACACGCACGCGGGCGGGCTACGTGTTTATAGGGATGTGTCCCTATTTAGCCGACGTACAGGTGAGTGGCAGCAGCGGTAGTGTTACACGACGACACGGAGGGACAGAGCGGGAACAGGATCGGGGTCGTCGTTACCACAGGGGGTGGGGCCACATTTCCCTTCCCGAGGCCCAATGGGACTTTCAATCCCTATTGCGAGCCACACCCCGTTGACGCCAAGACGTCAGCGTTGTCCAATAGAGACGGGAAAAATAGCGACGTGAGTGCCGACCGAGAAAAAAGAGACTTTTGCAGTGACAGAATTCACTGGATGAGCTAAGATTACAAAGTGTTGTTGCCAGGTCAAAAATATTTCCCCTCTAGTACCCGATTAGTACTTTTTAATACCTTGCTGATGTAGCCAAGGAGCATAAACCATCGAACCAAAGACGGTCACCGCATCGCGCGCTTTCAGATGCGCTTCTGCGGCCGTCTGGAACGCTCTTGCTTCCGTTATTAGGAAAGCGCTGGAGCCATGCACTTTTAAGTCATCTAGATTGAAAACGTATTTATTTTGAACTGCTTCTTGTTTAGTTTGTTGCCCTTCCCCCCGCACCTCCGATGAGCTGACTACATACGGTGCGAAAGAAGCTCAACGTACATACATTAGTGCAGCTAAGTTTCTCGCATTCCCGAATGGTTATTGTTTGTGGGGCGCTCTGCAGTGGTGGGCCCAATCTGGCCCAGCAGACCGTATGACAAAGTCGCGGGCTATAGTTTCAAAACCCGCGTGTTATAACGTTAAAAAGGAAAAACAGAAGGGCAAGGGAGCGGAGTTCTTGGGTTACACTGGGAGAGGGAGCACCTCCGATTAGCACGGTCGGCTACTTACGGTGCGGAAGAAGTTCAACATACATACGTACAATAGAGGGGCGAGAGGGACGGTGGTATTTCAAGGTTAGAGGGAGCAGAAGAGAAAAGGAGTTTGGTAAGGGGCGTTACTGGCGTAGAAATGGGAGGAACGCGAGGGAAACGGAAGTTTGAGAGGAATTACACGGCGGCGAGAGGGGGCGACACGCCGAGCTAGGACAGCTTGGCAGAGGCGAGGACGTCCTCCACGAGCCGCTTGTAGACCCACGCGTCTCCCTTGAGCCTCTGCCGCCTGATGCCCACGCCCTCGGGCTTGAGCAGCGAGCAAACCTCCAACTCGAACTGCATCGTGATCTTGCCAAAGTCCGACTGCGTCTGGCACTTGAGGGTGTACCTACGTTGCATGCGTGCGAGTGTGCGCACGACAGTGTATGTGCGGGTGCGTGCGAGAGTGTGCCAGAGTGTATGTGCGAGAGTGTGCAGGTGTGTGTGTGCGCGGGTGTGTGTGCGGATGTGTGCAAGAGTGTGCGAGGGAGTGTGTTTGTGCGAGTTAATGTGTGTGAGTTAATGTGTGTGCGTGGGAGCATATGAGAATGTGAGACATCATTAGCCGAACACATTATGATTATCATAACAGATAAATACGTCTTGGTGTTTTCAAGTTCCTCCATTGCAAAAATTAGTACAAACAAATATTGAGCGGACTGCATTGCCGGGAGTGCACAGGCATAACTCAAAAATGACTAAACATTTGTAATTCACGCTTAATTACAATATATTTTATGTATATATTCTAAAGATAAATTTCAGATATAAAGCATGACGCTACAACCAAATCACCCAGAATGTGCCCAAGTGCTTGAATGTGTGACCACCATGCGTCAAACCTGCAGTTGTTGTAGGCTGCTGTGGAGCTACGTTGTCAACACTGGGCAATGCAGAAGGAAAATATTGCGCTCTACAACCACCCATTAGTGCTGCTAAGACGCATGCAGTGGATGGATAAATAAATCTAGTTTGGGGCCCGTTTCGAAACGGTGGGCCTCACGTAGGCCACGTGCCGTGCGAAATTTGGACAAATGTGAAAAAGAGCTTCACAGATCATCGGATTCCTCCAGAATAAATACACATTCTGAAAAAATATTATGAACTGTTGTCGTAGGCCAAATCCTCACCCCCGCTCTAACTACTACGCTATCATTCCCCCACCGGGTCCCGCACGCACGCAGAGACAACAACGCGTACGTGGCCAGACACGCTCACCAGCTGGTGAACAGCATGCACCCCTACCCCTCTACACCCCCCACCCACCCACCCACCCCCAACACCTCACTCGCTCTCTCGCCCCACCCACCCACCCGTCAGAGGGCAACAAATACATTAACCGCCGAGGTCAGCGAAGCGATTACCCTGAACAAAATAATTACGTGGTCCCCCAGTGCATTGTGGGTAATACGTAAACAACGTTGCGGACGCCGCCCCCCCCCCCCCCCCCCCGCATAATAATACAGTGACCCTCCTGTTATCCGTAAAGCCTGCCGGAACTCATTAAACATTATCCTATATTTTGTTGCCGGTAGGAACAGTGGCATTGCACAATTAATTCAATTTTTAACGCTCGGTTTTCTGCTCACAAGACGAACCCTCAAAGTGTTTGCCGCAGGTGCTGCATTTGTTCCATCATAGGCGCGTTTTTTTTTTGGTAAATAAGAGGATCCATCGTCAGGGAGTGGCAGAAAATTGCATCCTATTAATGTTGGGCGCCCCGGTAGCGAGTTCTTAACTCTCTCTCTCTCCTGGTATGCAGGTCGTGGGTTCCATCCCGACCCTGATGCCTATATATTTGGAGCTTGCATGTTCTCCCCGTGGTCGTGTGTATTTTTCTCCAGGTCCTCTAGTTTTCCCCACCATGTTTAGAATCGACGTGCATTTAGAGCATTTGGCTGCTATACATTTCCACGTGATAAGCCACTTCGTTGAGCTATCATTTGCGGCCAGGTAGCTTCTGAAAAAGAGCTACATAGCTCGGTGGGCCTTACCTGATAACATAAAAATTGTTTAAATAGTTTTAGTTTAAGCCACTCCCTGCTGATGAAGCTGACCCAGTGTTTGCCTCGTTTAAATGAATCGCATTGGGCTGTGGTGTCGAGTGACATGCCAGCTGCCGGCCTATGAGTTGGCGCCGGTTCAAGTTGTAGGTTCAGGTTTATTTCGCTTAACCAGTCGAGAACAAAAGAGACCAGCACAGACTCGACTGCAAGAGTGACCTGGAGTCACCAAAATGACAAACGCAATAACAAATAAAATCAGACAACAGTACGGCGATAAAGCAAATAAAATCCGCACACACAAAAAAAAACAACCGCAAACAAAGCATCATTAGGCAGGAGGGCGATGAAGTATGGGGCGAGTTGGCCTCACCCCTTCTGCTGGAAGTCGATGTGCTTCTGCGGCAAGACCCGCACCAACTCTGCGAGCACCTGCTCGGCACTGAGGCTCCCCGTGGGAGTCACGTTGTAGTGGTACTGCCAACAAGCCACGCGGAGCAGAGTGTGGGAGGAGGGGGAGAACACAGGGTTGGCACAAAGATCCCCTGTATAGCCTTCACAGATTGTAGGGGCAAGGGCTGTTTGCGAGCAGCACCTATGGCGGCCGGCACGGCACACGAGGGAGTGGGTGGCCAGCACCACGCCCGGACGCCTTTGTCTCCTCAGTGGCGTTTACACACTGCACCAGGTACTAATTTGTGTCTGATGTTTACACATGGCGCCACGCATCATGAAAGGCTCAGTTGATCTAGGCGAGATCCAGGACCAGTTCTGCTTTTTGCCACTCTATCGCACACGTACACTCATGTATATATATACACACACACAACAAAAACAGAGGTCCGCTGGTTTAGCCTTCATCCCAGTATTTCTAGGAGACGCTGTACAAAAAACGCAGCTATGCCTCCTCTGGTTGAGAACGAATATCAGTGGGTGCCCGTGCGTGATTTAAATAAAAGGAAAGTATATTTAGAGGCGGCACGCACGGCTGAGCGCAGAGATGGAACGAAAGCGCAACATGACCCCTTGTAACCCTCCAATGCAGAGGCAGTCACCCCCAACCGTGGCAACATCATCATCGCCATCATTGCCAGGATGCGGGCGGAGAGATAAGGGAAGAATTAAGGACATCATAAAACGAGTTGGGGTACAAAGTGTTGTGTAAGAAGCGAGCGGAGCAAGACCAAGATGGTATGGCCACGTGATGCGGAGAGTGAGGAGGGACACATCCCATTTCGAATTTTTTAAACAGAAATTTAGAGGAAAATGGAGAGGAAGAGCAAAGACGAGATGCGAGGACAAAACAACAAATAGGGGACACTTTGCCAGTGGCTGTGGTTACAATAATTGAGGGGTGACTTCGACAGACCAAGAGTGGAGGAGCGAGACCCTGGGCCAGCTAAAACCCCTAGCAGCGAGGGGACAGCAAAGGAGGAGGGTGGATGGGGGTGGAGAGGAGGAGGGGGTGGGGGATTTAGTTGGGGCCACACACCCCCACCCCCGCTCAGGCGATGACCTGCCCTTATTTCACATCTCTCGCCCCGCCGCTCTACTCTAAATGCAAACTCCCACTCCCTGCCCCTCTTATTGACTAATAACCCGGCAAAAGAGATTGAAATCTAGTTGGTAGCTAGACGGTATGTATTGTATCTTTTCGCCTTCAGATAAGTAAGCATATATATGTGTGCGGTCTATTTCTTTTTATTATTTTATTTTGGCCAGTTTCATCTCCTTGTGCTTTCATATAAAAAAAATGGGGCTCCGAAGCGGTGTAATGAAATGTAAAAGATCTATCTCTAAGCTCTCGAAGCCTCCCCCCTCCCTCGCTCCCGCAAATAATACTTCAGAGATGGTATTTATGGTTTGTTTCAGAGAAAGATAGTTCGGAAAATGTGAGCCCTTGATGGGAATCTTTCATGCCTTCTTGGACGCATAATTGATGCGTCACACACACAGGCACACGTACAAAAGACAAAGACAAATACGCCTGGATAACCGACATACGTTGTAGGGGCAAGTGCTGTAAGCTAGCACCTGTGAACTCCGCACGGCACGTGCGGTGGTAGGTGGCCAGTACCATGTACACGCACGGACACACACATACACACACATGCAAGTGCACATACATCTGCAGATGCGCACACACTCCTATGGTGTCCACAAGCTTTTGCGCACAAAGACAAAGATCCCCCGTGTAGCCCATAAAGGCAGTTTGGGGCAGGTGCTGTTCGCGAGTAGCACGTATGAAGGCCAACACGGTACACGAGGTGGTAGGTAGCCAGCACCCTGCCTCTAGTGCACACGCAAACACATGCATGCATGTGCACACATACACACACATGCTGGCGCATACGTGTGCATGCATGCACACACACGCACACATGGGGGCACACACACAGCGAAGCAGAGCGGCTTGTAAAAGGTCTAGAATTCATGATGGCACAATCATATGTGAAGGTCAACCAGTGAATCCAGAGGTCAAAAAGAGCAAAAATCCCCCATTGTGCTTTTAATAGACTGTTGAGGCAAGTGTTGTTAGCGAGCACCTGTGAAGGCCGGCATGGCGCACGAGGTTTGTGGGTGACCAGCACCATGCCTGACTGCCTTTATCTCCCCAGTGGTGATGGTTACACACCGCACCAGGTACTCATTTGAGGCTGAGTCGACCTCGGGGAGGCCCATACCAGGTTCAGATAATCGTCACCGATTTTGAGTGCGAGCGGGAATTGAACTCGGGTCGACGGGTTCGTAGCGCAGCGCGCTAACTGCTAGACCACCGCTACACCACTGCTCCCCACAGAGGAACACATATATACACACACACTCTTTTGCACATAACAAACGAAAACAATAGTCTGCAGAGAATGTTGGCGAGCACTAATCAGCACGTGAATGAACGAGTCGAGTCGCGTGTTGATGACGCAGTGATGCTTTGTACTCAAGATACTCACTCAAGTCACATGGGATGAATTTATCATTATTGGACATTTGTAAAAAAAAAGCTTTACATCTCATCGGTTTCCTCCAGTATGAACAAATATTCTGATTGTGATTAGCCCCACATTCTGGCCCTGCTTGGCCCCCAGCCAGATTCAGATGACTTGTGAGGTCAGCGTATCACGGTTTGGTTCCAACTCGGCACAGCAAAGAGCCGGTGGGAAAAACTCCAGCGGCACTGCGATCGCCTCGTGCTGGTTGGGCCCAAATAGGGAAAAGCAACCAAAGGAACATAAACCATCATCACATCATCACGCGAACTCCGTTTCCCCCAGCATTGGCTTTTGGCTGACCATCAAACAAAGACGGTCACCATATCACACTTGTTCAGATGCGCTTCTGCGGTCGTCTGGAACGCCCTCCCTTCCGATATTAGTAAGCCACTGGAGCGATGCACTTTTAAATCATCTAGATTGAAAACTCATTCTTTATTAGAACAGTTTTTTTGCGTTTAGCTTGTGGTCCTTCCCCCGCACCTCCGATTAGCACGGCTGGCTACGTACAAAGGGCGAGGCATGCCGATGCGCGTCTCTCCGCCGTCTCGCCTCTCGTCTCACCCGCGTGCGCCGGGGAAGGTCCCGCGCCGAGCCGCGCCGCTTGCTGGGTGTCAGCGCCGCCAGCACGCGGTCGATGCCGCGCTCCAGGCTCCCGAACACCTTCCCCCCGCGCCGCGTCTTGGAGCCACCGGCGGCACCGCCGCCGCTCGCTACGACTCCTCCACAGTTGGCGGCGGCGGCAAAGCCACGTTCAGTGTCGGACCCCGAAGACCCGAATCTGCTGACCAATAATTCACTTTCATTCGCGACTTAAAGATGTTGGTACATTTTTGCCACCTCACGTGGTACCAACAGGTCAAATATTTGCTGCGTGCCCAAGGACTCTACCGCATATAAACGGTGTTCCACGAGTAGTTGTCAATCAGAAACCACGCTCGTTACACACAACGTGCTTGCCACAAATGAACCACACAATAGCTTGCGAATCTCGTCAAGGAGCATGAACCAACACACAAACTCCGGTCATTCTCCCAGCGGCGGCTTTTGGCGAACCATCGGACAAAGACGGTCATCGCATCGCGCGCTTTCTGGTGCATTTCTGCGGCCGTCTGGAACGCTCTTCCTTACGATATTAGCCACTGGAGCTGTGCACTTTTAAATCGTCTAGATTGAAAATTAATTTCTTTATAACTGATTTTTGTGTTTAGTTTGTTGTCCTTCCCCCGCACATCCGATTACCATGGCTGGCTACGTACGGTGCGAAATAAGGTCATCGTACATACATACGTAAGTACAACGTGCATTTGTAACGTGCCCATAACTGTAACAAACATCTTAAAAGAGTGCAGGATTACAAACGGGAACAGGAGGGAACGGGACGAACGCAAGCGTTGCGGAGGGAGAGAAAGCATGTAAAATACTCTTTGGTTCTTTCGGTAAAATCACGTATAAAGATAAAATAATAAATTAAATAATAGCATACTACGACGTTTCGATTGCAGCACAAGCAATCATCATTAGGTATAAAAGAAAGAAATAGCAACAAAAATCTAACCATAAAACTATAGACAGACATATAAGCAGACAGATATCACAAAGATACACAGAGAAAGAACACACATCGGCACAAAGAGAGAGATCGTCTCTGTGACGGGGCCTTAAATAGAGAGGGGGGGGGGCGGGGTCGGAGAGAGGGAGGGGGCAGAGGAAAAATTAGCATGTCAATGAGTAGGGCGACGTGTGGTACGGTAATTCCTGCAGTCACGAAAGCTTCAAATTAAGCATGTAAAATAGTTGGTCTTCTTTCACACCGTACGTAGCCAACTGTGACCGTAAGAGGTGCAGGGGAAGGACAACAAAGCGAAACATCTAAATGTATTCTAAATAAATGAGTAAGCGACTAAGGGGGTTGGGGGTGGGGAGGAGCGGGTTCCAAAGGCACGGGAGTTGACGAGGGAGGTTTTGACTTGAAAGCAGAGAGATGGGACCAGGCGCAGTTGCCTGGCAAGGGAGTTCCAGAGGTTGGGGGGCAGAGCGGCTTAAAGAGTGCCCATCGGTGTGACTCTTGCAATCACCGTGGCTTACCCAGCTAACGCGAAAGGACTCGGCAGGTCATGAGGGCATCGGGAGGGGAGGTGGAAGCGCACTCTCGCTTTTCGGACTTTTGGGAAAGCCTTTTATAAATTTGTCCGGTTTTCAATCGTGGAAGTCGATAATAGCGAAACAACTTCATACTATGGTTTTGTTCATATTGGATCATCGTTAAAAAAGTTACAGACGAACAAAGTTAATACATTAATGCGTTCAACGTGTGTTAAAAAGTGGTAACAAAAATGTAAATGGTTTCCTTTTGAAGTGGCCATATCTGTTTACAATCCCGAGCCAGCGGTGGAAATTACATTCCTATGGGGGAGGCAAGCCTATCCATTGAACAATCACTGTGAACTTCAGCGCCAAGTGTTACTGATTATATCGATCCCTTTGGGACGATGGGTCAAATTGACTCACAATAGGGGTTTGAACCTACAACATCCCGAGTGCGAGCCTATTCCCCATGGCAGACGGGGTGTAGGAATGAGATAATTACTTTTACTCTTATGAAATACTTTGAACGCAATCTCTTTTCTTCGCTCTGCATTAATTTGCTTTATGATAATTACTTGTCGAGGTCTTAAACTTAATGCATTTCGCTCGCGTAAATAATGTCGCCGGTTCATAACATCCGTTTGCAAATGTATAGCTGGGGGTTACGCACCGAGACCTGCATTATGAATTGTGCAATATAAATAAAATGATGACGACCAGTTCCCAATTGGCTCTCCGTGGCTAAATAGTGGACGCAAGTTGATGTACGGGCCCTTCTGTCTCTACAATGGAATTGGCCAAACATCGCAATACAGGACCCCCTCCAGTAGTGAGTCGAGACGCACATTTCCTAGAAAATGAATAAAATTCATATTCCACGCGCGGGTGTGCAAAGTTTCAAGTTTGTTTTGCTTAACCAGGTGAGAACCCAACAGACCAAGATGCATCTCATTTGTTAGTGACCTGGGGCGTCAGTCTGCCACTAGGGGGGCGATGATAGCTCCGTGTAATCCCAACTGATTAATTTGCGAATCATTTTTAATTTGTCAAATTTGAACCCTGACGCCGGCACGCGATGGCCAACTCTTGCGGGACATTTAAAGTTCAGTGAAGCAGACGGCGCGTAGGCTTGGTATTATCACGGATAACACACCTGCAGTCATGTATGTATGCTGAACTTCTTTCACACCATACGTAGCTAACTGCGCTAATCCGAGGTAATCAGGGCGGCCGCTGGATTTAAACGGTGAAACTCCGCAACAAGCGGAAAACGTGCAGATGCAGCAGAATAGAGAATCGTCACTGGCCAAGTGGCCAAGGGGGGAAGAGCAAGAGGGGCCATTGTAGTAGAAGGCACCAGCCACATAGGCAATTAACGTCCCAGCTAATAGCTCAAGAAACCACAAGAAATTTAAAATGGGAGAAAATGTCATGCGTCGGCCAGCTTGTTCTTGTTTTTGTAGCGGTGGTACTCCTGCTACTGTGTTGGTACCACATGCGTTGAGGGGGGGGCACACTCACTTGCGATCTGGACTCAACTGTGGGGCCAGGCGCAGCCGCTCACACTGGGGGTCACCACGCCTGGACACAAGCGGAGACGAATCCCCCTGTCCTGAAACGGCAAAAAATGTTACGCGTTTAGTCCCATGGACAAAAGGGCGAGCGACCATTTCTTTACCGAAGTCCGAATTGGAACTTTCAATACCTTTGGCGAGAAAAACACCCCGGTGTTACTCAATGACAACGCAAAAAATTACGTGCGTGCTAACTGAGCATTGAGGCCATTTACAGTGTCAGAAGTGATAGAGCGCTAAGATGTAACACCGTGTGGCCAGATCAAAAATATTCCCCTCCAGTAGCCGATTAGTGCAGCTAAGACGCTCGCTGGCTATGAATAATTATATCAATCGCTGGCCATTCTGAAGTGATAAGCTTCATGTGGCCCTGGGCCGTGTGAAATTAAGTCCTGGGCCTTATCCAGCCCAAAGGGAATAGGTTTCCCACCCCTGCAATAGACTCTGCAAGCGCCATTAGCGAGCACCTATTAAATCCACAACAGCAAACGGTGCGGGGGTAAGGCGGCCAGTATCACGCTCACAAATCTACCAGTGCCTGCTTATATACGAGTGTTCACTCAATGCACTTGGTACTCGTATTAAGCCTGATTCAACCTCAGCGAGGTCCAGGCCAGGTTCAGATGTCTGAACCTGGCCTGGATCTCCCCGCAACACAAGTGTTCATCATCATCATCTGATGATGGACGCTTGTGTTGTGCCCGAAACGTCGTTATTCATTTTATTTTATACCGACGTAATTATTAAATACAGTAATTTCGTGCAATAACTGGTAGCGGGGCCAAGACCATCAACTCATTACACTTGAAAACCTTCTTAAATCACGGGCGGATGAAACCCGGACTCAAACCCAGACTCAAACCAGGAATCTCAGCTGTGCTCACGACCCCTGAACCACCTCCACTTTAAAAATTGTTAACGCCGGTAGCTTCATCAGTCCGCAATTTTAAGTTTTAAAAAAGGTCCTTACTCTTTAGCTCGTATACAGGTTCACACATGGAATTGCAAACGATGAGATATTCACACAATGCAACTGACACTAAGTTTTCATCGTCGACCTCAGCTGCTAAACTGCTTGAATTTTACAAATAACTTTGGCGCCACCCGTTGACAAGCCGGTGCCATAGCAGGGAAATCGGCAGGCCTTGAGACCCACCTCCTTTTCCTTCCTAGCCTACCACTACTCTCTGTTCTTAAAGTAATAAAGACATTGCACTTCACATGCCTGATGGTTACTAAACACGTCCCACGTGATGTAGAAGGATCTGATCACTTACGTGTTTAGAACAGTCGTTTTTAAAACTACTTTTTGTCTTTAGTTTGTTGTCCTTCCCCTCCGATTAGCACGGTTGGCTACATACGGTGCGAAAGAAGTTTAACATGCATACATTTGAACGCGTGTACACGCCGTTCTCTACATCAGTAGCAATGAGTTCATACATGCAATCTATCATCACTACCAGCATATCACCAACAGCGATCACTCAATGTGCACCAGCCATAAAAAAAATTGGGATCTAAGTGTTTTATTCTCACCGTATTTTCTAATACAGTGACCGCCACTATGAATACAGATGATGTGCTAATAAAAAAAATACTATGCGCCGCGTGCTTCAGCGTAGACCAGAGGTCGCAAACGAGTTTTGATTCCTTACCCGTACCCGGCCGCACCAGGGTCGCAAATGGGTACCCGTACCCTACCCGATACCCGGCTACCCGTACCCGGCCGGGTATCGGGTAGGGTACGGGTATCGGGTACCCGATTGCGACCTCTGGGATGAAGCCATGTTGCAGGCGCGGGTGGGTTGATTCTAGGAACTTGAATTGTGAGAAGAGACAAGACGTTGAGAAATGAGTGATAAACGGTTACTCACCAGTGACTCACGGCCTACCCGTACCCAGCCGCACCAGGGTCGCAAACGGGTACCCGTACCCGGCCGGGTACGGGTAGCCGGGTATCGGGTAGGGTACGGGTATCGGGTACCCGATTGCGACCTCTGGTGTAGACGACAACGATCCCGTGACGTCATTCGACCGCATGGTCTCAATTCAGCAAATAACCCGCGGACGACTCGATTAGAATATACCGTAGCAATCATCACCCGCGATGGAGAAAAAGTAAAACTATTATTATTTTATATTATTGGTTCTTTCGGTAAAGTCACGTAGAAGGGAAACAATAAAATAATAAAAATATAAAACAAAAAAATTATCACGACGTTTCGACTGCAACACAAGCAATCATCATCAGGTGTGAAAAACAGCAAGAAAATTTGAAAAAAGTGGCTGTGCAGAGGCTTGCTGTGTTTTTCACACCTGATGATGATTGCTTGTGTTGCAGTTGAAACGTCGCGAGAATTGTATTTTTTATATTTTTATTATTTTATTGTTTCCCTTCTACGTGACTTTACCGAAAGAACCAAGAATATGAATCCCTGCAGTCACGATAGCTTTAAATCATTATTATTATTTTACCAAGTAAGGCTCACTGAGCTATCTAGCTCTTATTCAGAAGCCACCTGGCCACAAATGGTAGCTCAACGAAGTGGCTTATCTCGTGGAAATTTAAAGCAGCCAAATACTTTAAATGTACTTTGATTCCACTCCAAATATACAGCAGGCATCAGGGTCGGGATCGAATCTATGGACCTCCTGTGTACCAGGCGACTTCGCAGGAACCACCTGAAAATAAGTCTCGAGTCCTCCGAGAGACTTTCCTGAACAAACCATGACAAAGAATATAATAATTATCAATCAATCAGCAGGTGCCCAAGCCTTTCTGAAATGTCTCCAGCTTTCCCAGCACACCACGTAGCACAGTGCCATCTCTACCTGCAAGTCAGCTCGGCTTTTCCACCGCTTGCTAAGAGCTGTGCCGCATATGTACGTTTGTAATTTAAACTTCGTTCGCACCATACAGTCAACCGTGCTAATCGGAGGTGCGGGAAAGGGACAACAAACTAAACGCAAAAAGCAGTTTCAAAGAAATGAGTTTTCAACATAACGAGCACGGCTCAGCCACGAACTCTTCACCAACTCGGCGCCGTCGGCTGCGTTCGTACCCTGCGGTGCTTGCCACGACGCCACCACCTCCTTCACCCATGCCGGAGTCCTCGCCACCGCTTTCCTCTCCGAGTCCGACTCGGCTACGGCACCGGTCCGGCACGTCGGGGAACCCGGCGTGAGGGCGACGAGCGTGTTGGGCGTCCTGGCCTGCGCCGGCGTCGAGCGCGGAGTGGCGGCATTCCCCTTCCCACCGGGCGTTTTGCGTTTGAGTGGCGATGATGCAGAGGAAAGAGACGACGTAGAGGAGGATGATGATGAGGAGGAGGTGCTGGGTTTGGGAGGGCGGCCGTGGGGAACGTTCTCCTTGCCGCCAGGCCTCGTCGCCGCTGCCGGGGCGGTGGCTCGCGCCCGTCGCGGTTGTGCCACGTCGTACTCCGTCGTCTCGGATTTGGGTCGGGGCTTCTTGGCCTAAGAAGCATGCATGGGGGAGGTCACAGGTCAACGAGAACGGTCGTTCTGAGGTGTTAATGGGAAATCTAAATGAAGGCTTGACAAATCCATGCCGTCATTGTTTTTTTTTTAACATACTTCACCACACTGGTCGGTGCAGGTTGAAGACTGGGAGGGCAGGACCTATTATTAAATGATGCTGAGGACAAACCCAGTTTGAAAAGCATTGCCCGATCCATCTGTTGCAGTTTCGTGGTTTGCACGATTTACCACAAACCCGGCGACCCCAGTTCGCTCACGGCTAACACCAGCGAGAATTCTCTGAATCAGCCCTGAGCCTCCGTAGGTCGACTCAAATGAGTATCTGGCATGGTGTTGTAAACATCGCCATTGCGGAGACAAAGACGGCCGGGGGTGGTACTGGCCACCCATCCCGTCGTGTGCCGTGCCGGCCTTCCTAGGTGCTACTTGCTAGCAACACTTGCCCCAACAGTCTGTTCGGGGAGATCTTTGTCTCTATACGTGCGCGTGTTTGCGTGCGAATATGTGTGTGTGTGCGTGTGCGCACACGCGCACATCCATACCGGCGGTCGGCCTGAGCAATGCCTCTCCCTTCTGAAGGGGCAGTCGTCAAAGTAAGAGTCGGTGTCGTCAAAGTCCATGGAGCCAAACACGTACGGCGCGTCCTCCTCCTCATCCTCCTGCTCCACATCGTCTCCTCGCTCCTCGACCCCTCCGCCAGGTGGTGCCATGAACGCCAGCGCCTTTCTTGACTGCGGGACAGTAAAGACCGATAAAACTATGACGGTGATGACGACAAGGAAGACAATGACGATGAAATGACGGTACGTCTCGCGCACTCAATACGCTTGATGTGTCAGCGTTCTATTACAATGACGATAACGGATTAAAAAATAATCATCGCACAACACGCACACACAATCAATAATGCACCACACACACACACATGCAATGATACAGAAAGGATCTAAGGAAATAAGCACCAGTGTGAGATCATGTTTGCAAGTATTTTGAGTACATACTATTAAAAAAATATTTTCAAAACGACCTAAACAATTTTTATTTGACCAAATAAGGCCGACTAAGCTATGTATCTATGTTGAACTTTTTGTCACACCATACGTAGCCAACCGTGCTAATCGCAGGTGCTAATCGGAGCTCTATAGTTATTTTTAGAAGTGACCTGGCCACAATTGATAGCTCAACAAAGTAGCTTATCTTGTGGAAATGCATAGCAGCCAAATACTCAAAACGCATGATGTAGATTCTAAATGTGGAGGGAAAAACCGGAGAGCCCGGAGAAAAATCCACGCGACCACAGGGAGTGAGACACCGCAAACTCCAAATATACAGCAGGTGTCACAGTCGGGATCAAACCCACGCGATCCCGTATACCAGGCGGTTAACATCTCGCCACACCGGGCGTACAAGCGCATGCAAGCGTGCTCGTGGGCGTGCGTGCGAGCACACCTTGTTGGCGTGTGCGTGTGGCGTAGAGGCGACGCGCACGCGGGGGCAGGAGCGGGGGGCGGTGACACCCGGGGGCAGCAGACGCACAGGGCGACCCAGCGCCTTCTTGGCGAGCAGCAGCAGGTAGCAGGCTGTGAACTCGTCGTAGCGCCACTGCAACAGAGACCAAATATCCCCCATATAGCCTTAACAGACTGTTGAGGCAAGTGCTGTTCATAAACGAAACTGCAAAAACTAAGACATACACCTCCTACATATAAACAGCTGCAATTTTTCCAACTAATTGGAAGTGATGTGTCCACAGCTCTTGTGCCAGGCTAGGTGCACTTGTGCATAGGCCACATGACTGGCATGTGGTGACGGGACAAACCCAGGTGTTATGGGTTGACCGAGGTGATTGGACGGTGCACCACCCGTGATCCCCACCCGCTGTGTTTTAACTACCTGGTGCTCTGCATTGTCCTAAGCGCCACTCCTCTGCAGTTGCCTCCAACTGCCCAGTAGCGTCCTTTACGAGTCTCCTCCACAGAAACAAATCTTAACACCGCCGGTGCCAGTCAACAACGCATCGTCGAATCTCCTCTCGTTTAGCCCTCTCTATCCGACCAAACGTAAGCTGCTTGGGGACATGCAATGGTCTAGGATACCTGCGTCAAAATGTGTGCACAATTTATTATTTGCAATGAACCAATGTTTCGGCCTAAACCACTGCCACCGTCACACGATGGGCGCACCTCCGAGACCAGCTCTGCCGTCCGCTGCTTGGACTTCTTTCCGAAGACGGCGAGTTCCGTTACGCAGTCCTCATCCACGTGAAGCAGCTGGCACAGGCACAGAGAACGAAGCGACGTCGCTTGAACGGACCACTGCGAGGATAACTCCTACGTTTACGGAGTTTTTTTGTTATTGTCCAGTTAAAAAATGAAAAATGTTCACAATTTTATCGTGATATGACTGTCACGTCACGAAACGAAGTGTCCATCCAGATCTCTGGCAAAGCAGGACAAGACCAACCGTGTTAGTGAATGGCTCACAGTAGAGGGCACTGCTTTCCCATAATTCGAGAGTTGACGTCAATAGCCTAATGGATCAATGAATTAATATCTTATCGAGAGCGCGAGAGAGAGTGTGTGGACGGGAGTTACCGGGAACTTGCTATGCCACTCTACGGGACAGCCATAGCCACTCATCAGCCAAGGGTGACCTAGGAGATGTCTCACGGCCAAGCGACGCGTCGGGTCCACCTATGTGATCACACACATGGAACAGCAAAATACAAAGATCCCCCACATGTAGTCATACAGACAGCTGGGGGACAAGCGCTGTCAGCCAGTACCTACTAAGGCTGGAACGGCGCACAAGGGGTGACGTGGCCTGCACCAAAGCCGTCCACTTTTGTCTCCTTAATGCTGATATTTACACGCACAGCAACAGGTAATCATTTAAGGCCGAGTCAACTTCAGAGCGGTTCAGATAATCAGCACTAATATTAGCCGTGGCGAGAAAGAAAAACTCAGGTTGCCAGAATCACCAGTGATATTAGACCGGTTTGTACCGTAATCTACTAACCACCGCCCCACCTCACATTCACTCATATGCACGCACGCGCTCAATTTCATACACTCACGCACATGTATGCGCAACCGCCCAAACAGCAACGCACACACGTGCATACATTTAAGCATGTACGCACACACACACACAGTGGCACTCTTGCTTACTGGCTTACTTAACAAACGAAGCCGCGGGTTACCAACTCAAACATACCATTGGTACCTCATTTTTCAGTAAAAAATATAATTGTTTTTTTACCCTTTTATCTGGCAACAAAACTGACACCTTTTTTACGAGGAGTCATGTTTGCATAGACCACAATACCTGCAGTCATAATGCAAACAAAAAACATAACTCTGATAATATATGCACTATATGCAGGACAGTGCATATATTATCATAGTTATGTTTTTTGTTTGCATTATGACTGCAAATATTGTGGTCTATGCAAACATGACTCCTCGTAAAAAAGGTGTCAATTTTGTTGCCAGAAAAAAGGGTAAAAAACTAATTATCAACTCAAACATACATAATAATTATTATATTACTGGTCGCGAAAACCTGTGTGTTAAACTTAACACATTATCGATGAGCATGGCCACACCGTAAGGGCATCCCACAGCAGCTCACGCAAACCTTCACCTGCAGGAGTTGGTCTAGGAGTGTAGCGAGCAACTCACCTGCAGGAGCTGGTCGAGGAGTGTCACGCTCTCGCGAGACAGCCACTTTGGTATCTCGTACTTCCCCCTCTGAACAAAGGAAACCAAGTTTCTCACGTTAACAAACATCATCATCGTCGTCGTCGCCGTTATTTTCATACCACTAGAGATTTATTCAGATGTTTTAAAATACAGATGCCTTTCAAGCCCGCGTCCTTGGTAACGTGTCAGCTCTTATCTATTACAACTTTAATGGTGCAGTTTGTTGCTGGCTACTTGGCCTTTAGAGCCTTTGGGCCTGTGCTCAGCAACTGTGATAATATTTTAGTTTTCTTATCGGGCGCCATGATGGTGAGATGTTAACTACCTCACCTGGTATACAGGAGGTCGTGGGTTCGATCCTGGCACCTGTATATTTGGAAGTTGCATGTTCTCCCCATGGTCGTATGCATTTTTTTTTCTGGTCCTCCAGTTGTTTCCCTCCACATTAAGAAATGTGCGTATAGTGATTGGCTGATATAAATTTCCACGTAGTAAGCCACTCCGTTGAGCTACCTTTTGTGGCTGGGTCGCTGGTAAAATTTAAATAGTAAAATAAACTTAAATGTCAGAGAGCCACACACACCTGGATCTTGCGATACAATGCCATCACGTTGTCATCATCAAACGGGAGGAAGCCACAGAGGAGGGCGTAGAGCAGAACACCCATGCTCCACAGGTCCGCCTGTACGACGCACACATAAACGCGCAAGACAAAGATCCCCCAGAAAGCCTTAACAGATTTTGGGGCAAGTGCTGTTAGCGAGCACCGATGAACAAAGACAACGGAGGATACGGTGAAGTTTCGATTTAAAGCTTTCGTGACTGCAGGGATTCATCTTCTTGGTTCTTTCGTAAAGTCACGTAGAAGGGAAGTAATAAAATTATAATAAGTATAACCCGTAAAAACAAAGTTTTTCACTATAAATCCTTTATATGCGTGGCGGCTAGAGTCCTCTCGTCCTCTGGCTTGAGATGGCTGCCACCTATGGGTCAGATGATTGCATTGCACCATTAAGCAATTGGTAATTAAATATAATATCTTTGTCCTAAAAAATGTAAAATTTTGGAAAAAAATTTTCACGAACATTAATTGTCACGCACAACGAGTCTGTGTGGAAAATGTCAGCTCGATTGGATCACAGGACGTGGGTTAAAAAACGACCGAAAGATTTGCACGGTCCTAAGCAAGCAAGCGAACTTAATATAAAGGATTTAAAAATAAAACATAATAAAATAATTCTCACGACGTTTCGGCCACAATGCAAGCAACCGTCCTCAGGTGAAGACAGACAACTACCGCGTTACAGGAGAACAGACTGCACTGCATTTGTGAAACGACGTGAAAGGGGGAGACGTAAATCGTTGTGCGCGTGTTTCGTACCTCCGAGCCACAGTAGGGTTTTCCCTGGATGAGCTCTGGTGCAGCGTACGCCGGGCTGCCGCAACAGGTCTCCAGGTGGCAATCCAGCCCGCCCTGCAACCGCGACGCACAATGCCAACACAGCCATTCCACCAGCGCAGCAGCGTACGCTTTAAACTTGGTGTCAACACACGGACACGTTGCCACACGGGCCAACACTCGCACCGCTATACTCTCAGAGATAACCGCTCGCTTCACTGTTATACACCACCAGCACAGACACAACTGCACCACCACTAATATACCGGAACACAACCACGCCAACATTAAATGCACCCCACCACTCTATATAGGCACAAACAACACAAGCTAACAACAACAAAGATCCACAACACCACGAACGCTTTACAGATATCTATCACACTAAAACACTGCCACAACCACACCACCAAAAAGACACAATCACGCCACTACCGGCACACAGACATAAACAACACAACCACTGCGTCACTATAAAGAGACCCCTACCCATCCCACCACGTATCCTCCGCCCCCCCACCTTGGGACGAGCGCAGAGCCCGAAATCGATGAGCTTGAGGTTGTGGTTCTCATCGATGAGGAGGTTCTCCTGCAGGAGGAGTCACAGTCAGAAATCAGTGAGCTATGAAGCTCTTTTTCACGGATGTCCAGCAGTTACGAAGCGGGAGAGTGATCCTCACACGTTGTTTTTTTCCATGGCCACTCGTGATCCAAGCGTGGTCTTCCAGGTCAGGCTGCGTGTTGAGCATTCTTCTGTCAAGCTTTCACCACGCACCACTGCAGGAATCTTTAAAAGTTAAAGATGCCCACTGGGAAAAGGTATGTGCTCAACAAGCGGCCTAGTTAGGAAGACCATGCACTTGCGTGTGGAAGAGTGATTAAAGAGCGAAAAGGACAGAACGATGAATATAAAGTTTGTTCTTATTATGATTATTACAACTTAGAGATGGAACCAGCTCACTTCCAAGGGTGCAAAAAAGGACAGGAAGGACACAGAAACTGGCGGACGGCACAGTGGAATGGAAGGACCATACCGCAGGACACAAGCAAAGAAGAATGGACGGAGAGGGAAAATAAAGGAGACAGCAACAGAAAGACACGGAATGAGGAACAGAAAGACAGAGGCAGAAGGATGGATGGCAGAGGTCGCAAACGGGTTTTGATTCCTTACCGGTACCCATACCCGGCTGCACCAGGGTCGCAAACGGGTACCCGTACCCATACCTGGCCGTACCCGTACCCTACCCGTACCCAGCCGGGTACGGGTAGGGTACGGGCATCGGGTACCTGATTGCGACCTCTGGGATGAAGCCATGTTGCAGGTGCGGGTGGGTTGATTCTAGGAACTTGAATTGTGAGAAGAGACAAGACGTTGGGAAATGAGTGACAAACAGTTACTCACCAGTGACTCACGGTCTACCCGTACCCGGCCGCACCAGGGTCGCAAACGGGTACCCGTACCCGGCCGGGTACGGGTAGCCGGGTATCGGGTAGGGTACGGGTATCGGGTACCCGGTTGCGACCTCTGATGGACAGATGGACTAAGGCGGCCAGTCGACACAGCCTCGTGTGCCTCTCACCGGCTTGAGGTCACGGTGTGCGAATCCCTGGCTGTGGACGTAGGCGATGGCCGACACGATCTGCCGGAAGAAGACACGTGCCTCCTCCTCGGGCAGGCGGTCCCGCGCGATGATGTAATCGAATAGCTCCCCGCCCGGGCAGTACTGTGGGACAGGCACACGCCGTGAGACTCTCTGGCAATTTTGCGCCTGGCGAAGCTACGGGCAAAATACTTTAACCAAGCCTCGTTAGTGATGAAGCTTTTCTTTACATCATTCGCTGAGATAGCTCTGGGTTATCTGGCTTTTTCTCACACAAAGCCAAACACTCATTAATGTATTTGGCCAAACGTCCCAATGTAACACACCTTCCTGCCGACATAGCCTTGACATTCAGTGAGGTTTTCCTGGGAAAACGAAGGGCATTATCATCCTAGATTTGAAGTTTTCGTGACTGCAAGGATCCATACTCTTTGGTTCTTTCGGTAAAGTCACGTAGGTGAAAATAAAATAAAAAATAACTAAATCACGACGTTTCGGAGGCAACACAAGCTTCCGTCATCAGGTGGGACAACCCCAGCAAAAAATTTTTACTGTAGTGGGCAGAGAGAGCTGTATGTGACAAGCGATTATATAGGGTAAGAGCAAGGGAGGAGGGATGCAGGGGGGGGGGGGGCGGCATGTGGAGTCAGGGGCGGGGGCTTAAGCTGTCATTATTTACTGTAGCCCCCAGGTAATTAGGATATTATCATATTATCATCAGTAATGGACTCTCTCTGGAAGGGGATGTGGACAGTGACTCACTACTGGTGACTGTTTCTCACCTCCAGCACCATGAAGATTTTCGTCTTTGTCTCGATCACCTGGTAGAGACGACACACGTGCTGGTGGCTCAGGCTCTTCATGGCTTCTATCTCGGTCTTCACTCGTGGCAAATCATCCTGCACAAACACACAAACACACCCACACAGATTGCTCATGCAGTATTACAGACTGTGGAGTCAAGTGCTGTTCAGAAGCACCTGTTGAAGTTTCCATGTTACACGAGAAAGTGGCCACCACAATGCCCAACCACCTTTGTTGTCACAGTGCTGATGTTTGCACACTCCACCAGATACTCATTTAAGGCTGAGTCGACCTACGAGAGAACCAGGACAAGTTCGGTTCAGTGTGTGTGAGCAAGATTGGCCACAACGCCAATCTTGTTTACACACACTAACCCTAAACATTTATTTTGTATGATAGACACAAGGGGCAAGCACTGTTAGAGAACCCAGATTATGGTCAGGATTGCACACAAAAGGAATATTATAGCCATAATCACTCATGGCCAGTCACCTTGATCTCCACAGGGCTGAAGTTGACACATAACAGCTGGTACTCAATTCCAGCTGAGTTGACCTACAGGAGTCCCAGGCCTGGTTGCTATTGCAATTACAACCGACGGGTATGGCCAGAAATCAAAACGAAGGGCGCACATATCGTGGTACGGCAGGCTAACCATTGCATCGCCACTTAAACTGAACAAGTGTTGTTGAATGCAATTGCATAACTCTCAGGGAAAGCGCTGGTGTGTGGAGTGCAGAGCAAAACACAGACACACGCACATACCCCAAGCTCAGCCTTGTCCATGATTTTGATGGCCACCTTCTCCCCCGTGAGCAGGTGACGTGCGACCTTAACCTTGGCAAACCCACCTGGGGAGAGGGGTGAGCGGGAGAGGGGGGCAAAAATGTGAGAATTCGTGAAAATGTACCAAAAAAGTGCTCATCCGTGACCCCAAACCGTGATCCCGAATTGTGGCGATTCATAGACTCGCAGGGACTGTGAATCATTCCATCATTAAGTTAGCCTTGGTAGCTGGTGCGGGAGACACAGGGAGGAGGGCAGGTGAGTAAAATATGTGCAAGGGTAGATGGGCGCAAGGTTGTTGCAGGAATAGCACATGGGAAGAAAGGTGATGAACATGGAAGCACCAGGGTGGAGAGCGAGTGGCAGGCCTCGAAAGAGGTGGATGCAAATGGTGAACCACGATATGAAAGACTGTTGAGTGGGTGCGGAGTAGCCCAGGACTGGAATGAATGACTAAACATTTCAAAAAAAATTGTATTTTACCAGGAAAGGCCCAGAGCTGTATAGCTCTTTTTCAGAAACGACCTGGCCACAAATGATAGCTCAACAAAGTGGTCTATCGTGTGGAAATTTATAGTAGCTTAATACGCATTGTTCTAAATGTGGAAGAAAAAACCAGAGGACCCGGAGTAAAATCCACACAACCACAGGAAGAGAGAACACGCAAACTCCAAATATACAGGCATCAGGGGTGGGATTGAACCACGACCTCCTGTATACCTGGCAAGGTATTTAACATCTCAACACTGTGGCACTCCTGAATGAGCAAGAGGACCAGGAAGGCAGACCTCACATGAATGGGAAGTGGTAAACCAGGATATGAAGGCCTCTAGAGTGAATGTGGAAATGGCCTAGGACAGGAATGAGTGGGGGAATAGGACGAGGAAGGCAGGCGCCGTACAAATGGGGAAAATGCCAGGAAGAGCAGAAAGGCAGCACGTGGAGCAGTCGCCTTGCCTGAGCCGATGGTCTCCCTGAGCTCGTAGAGACGGAGCAGCTCATCGTAGTCATCCTGGGCCGTCATGGCGTCGTCCCGCCGCGTGTCGCTCCAGCAGTGAGACCCGGGGCAGTGAGGTGTGGGAGCAGCTCTGCAGCCCTGGTTGATTCACAAGAATGCAGCTATTAGCAACCTTTACAATTTTAACTTATTTTGGTCCGCTACTTTGTGGATGTTTGGACAATGCCATTAATGCGTTTTGCTTCATGTGGGAGCAAGCCGGAGTGCCTGGAGAAAACCCACCGCATCATAGGAGGCGATAACACTAGAAGGGCCTGCACAGATAGTCAAGCATCCATTGCTGCATTGCTATCTCCTGGCCACCTCAACACCTCAAAATGCTCAAATGATGGGTAAAGTGATGATTTCTCATTTACAGCCCTGAGCCAGTGGTTGAAATTCCACATTCCTATGACAGGGACAAAACACACCATAAAGCAACCACTTTGGCCTTCCCAGAAATTGGTACTCATTGTATACGAGGGGTTGTTCGGGGACGCCTATGGCGCCCCTCACAACCATTTACAGCCTTTGGCCGGGAAAGTCACAAAAAAATTGCACACGAGCGACGCATTCACGCAAGCACCCGATGCTCCGTTTTGAAGTTTTAAAATGAAACATCTTTGAATTGTATTATGTTTTGAATTAGATAATTGTATTTCTTCATTAAAAGCTTATATCATTTATACCTGGAAGACTTAATTGAAAACGACATTTCGTGTGAATTTTCTCTCGTCGTTAAGTAGATGGCCTTGCTGGGGGTTCAGTTCAATGCGGACTTTCACCTGTTTGGGATTACGGGATCGAGATAAAGCGACACAGAGCTGGCCGTGCGAGAAGACCGCCGTCTGCAGATCGATTCCAACGTAATCGAACGTTTATCCCTGCGCCTCCCTCGTTCATGACGGAAAGTGCAGCGTTCATCACAGATAAAGTTGTGCACTTATTTCAGAGTATACCCCGGAGAGCTGAAGGGTTGAGATCAATGTGTTCTGATTACAGGGAAGCCCTGTTTAAAACTAGTTTCTCCCAATACAGGAAAACAAAAACACACAAGTCTCCATGGCCAGTTCGCAGTTGGTTCTATCCCAGGGGTCGAAAACCTGTGGCTCCGGAACCAAACGCGGCTATTTTTTACAGAATAAAAAAAAAAATGTCTCTTCTTGTTACTTTGGTTGCCAACTCCTGTTCTATACAAGCCAACTATTTACTCTTAGCCTGATCAGGTGTCAATACTCTGGGTCGCGATTGAATAACCGATTTTGTTCACTTTGTGGATAATTTAGTGGCCTCTGGTGGCTGGTGGGGTCACGTGAAACCTTTCCACACGACATGCGGCAAAGTCAGCGAATACAATCGACTCTCGTTCCACACGCGGTTCGATGCGTGATGTTTTATGAACTTAACGATAACTGGCGGCATCACTTGGCGATGCTGCGTTGGCAGTGGTGCACAAGCACAAACAATAAAACATCTCAACACGTTTGTCAACAACACTGCAGCCTTAAAAAGGAAAAGTATATTACAGACGACGTTTCGGGCAATGGCTCCCCTTCAAATCACATAGAGGCACCAGAGAGATATACTGGATAATAAGAGTTGGAGACTGCTGAGAATTCTGAATCGGTATGCCCCGAAAAAAAAGTGGTGCAGTCTGATCGATTTGCGTCTCTATTATTGATCCTGGAGAGCTGATAACGATAATGATGGCTATGTTGACCCTGACTGGGACTCAAACTCATGTGTACAAGACTTAGAAGCTTGCTTCTCGATTAGATGATCTTTCATTACCCAACTCCGGTTCGAATCACAACAATTCAATACACTTGTCACGACAGTACGTAACAGCATGTTTGTCAATCCACTGCTGGATGGAGGCCTCCCTGTAAACGCACGGTGAGGTTCATGTCATCATACTTCACCACTCTGGTCAATGGCGTAAACAGAACTGCATTATATATCACTAGTTCGCGTAAGTGTAAATGTGTCACGTACACAGAACGCGACAATTAGTTACCACGTCAGGCCCACTAACTGGCACGTTCTGTTTAAGTAACAAATGTTAGTGGGTGGTGGAGGGTTATTGTTAGTAGCTCAGCTTATTGGAGAGTATATTGATGATATTGATATTGATGTAGTTTATATTTAGGTTATTTTTTACGTGGTGGTTTGGCTGCTGCAGCTCCTTACTATTAAAATTTCCCTCCCTTTATTATTGCTAATCCTACTTCCTCCCTTTATCACTGCTAATCCTACATAATACACGAGCATAATATGACTTTGAGACCCCCCCCCCCCACCACCTACACATTCCACAAGTAGTGACTAATCCCATATCTGCATTTCCCATAAATATGCTAAATCCCTCTGTTGATATTGTAAATTCCTTTGTCAAGGCTCTCTCCTCCTCCAACCCAGCTTAAATATACGCTGCCAAGCTTAGTGGTGTTCATTGGGACGCGGTCTTTCCGACAGACCTGTTCTTCACCTGAGGACGGCTGCTTGCATTGTGGCCGAAACGTCGTGAGAATTTTATTTTATATTATTTTATTTAATTGTTTTATTTTATTATGCTTTATTTTATTTTTTATTTTTATTATTTTATTATTTCCCTCCCTGTTCTTCAGCTGAGGACGGCTGCTTGCGTTGTGGCCAAAACGTCGTGAGAATTGTATTTTATTATTTATTATGTTTTATTTTTATTTTATTATATTTTATTTTTATTATTTCCAGTCTACGTTACTTTACCGAAAGAACCAACAAGGTTACGACACATTTATACTTACGCGATCTAACCCAACCCACTCGATTAAAATTGCTCGCTAAAGCCGACGCGTTAACGTATATTACTACACATTGATCGCCGATCGTTAACCGCGATGAATCCACTGCTGGATGAAGGCATCCCCACGCCGTTCACTGTTACAGTGGCTTGCTGACACATACTTCACCACGTACGAGACGACGATCCGCCGGATTTCACCGCTCCGTCTCCCTCCGTTTGACGTCCCTCGGAACGCCGTTCGCTCGTCCGAGGCGCTGCAGTGATCGATAGAGGCCGGCAAACATTAAAAAAAACACCGCGTAAAAGTGCAATTCTTACCCGTGCGTCTGCGCCGCGGAGTTTGAAGCTGAATGCGCGCTGGTTTAATGGTTTTATCGATAGATTTGGTGATGTTTTACCGTCGAGTTTGGGATTTCGTGAACTTGAGGGGATTTTTTTTAAAAGCGGAAAAACCGACGCGGGGTACGAACCGACCAATCAGCGCGCAGGGCGGGGCCTCACGGGAGACTCTACCATTCCTCGTACACACGGAGGGGGGAGGAGCAAGAAGGATTGTGATTGGCTCGCAGTTGGAATGTACCAAGTCAGCGTTCGGGCGCGGGGGTGGAATAATCATTAGATAACACTGGTCAACACACTTTTTCTAGCATAAGGTTTTCAAACGGTTTTAAGGTAATTTTGGGGTGCTGATTCCAAATCTGGCATCAGTTTTTGTCTATCACATCAGGTTTTTGAGATATCAAATATTGCATTTTCAATAAAAACTGCTGAAGATAAATATTAAATAAATGTGGATATCTACATAAAATGATATTATAAACACACTATCCTAAAAATACAGCACCATATTTTAACACTAAAGCAGTCATTGACTCGCAACAACTTGCAATCATAAGTGATAGAGTTAATTTCGGGTAAAATCAGTGAAAATGGGGTATGCCGATAGCATCAAAATGAGACGTGATAGAGCAATTCATATTCTTTGGGTCTTTCGATAAAGTCACGTAAATCGTCCCGATGACGATCGCTTGTGTTGCGATCGAAACGTCGTCGTTTTTCTTATTTTCTTTCAACCTATCTACGTGACTTTACCGAAAGGCCCAAAAAATTTAAACGTAAGTAGCTTGAGGAAAATAACATTGGGCATAGAACTCCCGTTTCTGGGATATTTAATTAGATACGTGTCAATTGTATTGCAGAAGTACTCCTACGGAGCTGAAGTGGCTACATTTTGCGAAGGCGGAGAGCCTCTACAGCATTACATGTGTAATGACTCGAACTTTAGAGGTTTATTTTATTTCACGTAACATAGCTTAGGACCCCGTCGTCATGAGATAATGCCGACGTGGAGATCGAATGACCGAGCTGACCGTGATGACTTGTAGACAGTGATGACGTGAAGACAGCGACGACGGCCCGAGTCCCTCTCCACAAACCCCGAACATCATTTATTGCCCTGCTTTTATCCTCGTGGATTCTCCGGGGGAATTTCCCCGGCTGCCTCTTTTGGACACTCTGGGGAATTTTCCAACCAAGAACCTCCAGACTTGCTGGCACCTTGTCTTTGCATCCAGCCTCGCTGACAACCCTGTCTTCACCTCGAGACTTACTGACACAGTCTTTACACAAGTCTAGTGTAATAGCGCCAGCTGATGGACAGCAGCGGCAGCTGTGGTGGACAGACAGCGCACACGCCGGTGAACGTGAGCACGGGGTGTGTTGGCAGAGCGGAGGAACTGGGGCAAGGGTCACGGAGGACCCCATCTGGAAGATACCTGGAACCTGCTGGCGGGTTCGAGAAGGTAGGCGCAGTCAGGGCGGAGCCAGGCCACGCTGGGAGCATAAAAGGAGCCGAGAGCGGGGGGCTCGAGGCTGCCGGTTCTGGGAGTGGACTCGTCTCGTCGTCGCTGTCGTCTCGTCGCCGCCATCGTCGTTGCCGTCTTCGCTAGATATTGCGCTGCCGGATAGTTGTTGGCTGTCCCAGTCTGCGCCGCCGGTGTTAGACGGCTCGTGTTGTGTATAGGCCAGGCTAAGCGACTGTAGAGAGCGTGCAGGCGAGACCGTGAATGTTCTAAAAAAAGGTGCCTCCGACAAACCTCGTCTCCGAATCACTGACGCTACACATGTTTGAGACTGTGAGCGTAACGATGTGATTAGGCAAGTGGAGCAACGATATACAATAAAGCCGAGGTGCGACCGTGCGAGACAAATCAAATATTGGGGCCCCACCTGACCCATTTCCGCACCCCTTAGCTGATAACGTCGTTACTACGCCACTGGGTCCTGCCCAAGCCCATGCGCTTACGTCTCTGAGCCGTCCATACCAGTGGTTCTTAACCCTTTTTGATATCAAATTCCAGAAGAGCAACATTTATCATGTCATATGGTTGACACATTGATTGATTAAATTTGAACTTCAATTTAAATGCTTCACTGCTCTCGCTATTCAACAAATTGGCATGATTCAGCGTCATGATTTCATTTCTAAAATTGGTGTAGCGGTTCCTAAGCGGCCGGAGGGGAATACGCGATTTTAATACGTAGAACAGAGGCAGTAAATTGTAAGACGTTTTAAGCTTGGACACGATATTCTACGCATGTATTGAGGCTTTATATTAACCTTGCTGACCCCCCCACGTTGTGGACCAGAGGTCACGTGACGGACCTCTGCAGTAGTTCTGTCCTGTCTACTTCTCTGTTAGAGACATCGTCTCATGACGTGACAGCGCAGTCGGGATGCAATTGTGGGGAAAAAACCCCATCACAAATCTTAATGAATCCTTAAATATATGCATTGTACTGGTAGGAACCCCCTGGTTACACCAGCCCACAAGGGATTATTGTGTCCGTCCGTCGTGCAGGGAGGGGCTGGGTGGGAAGAAAGGGGCTGGGTGGGGAGGGTGGGGAGGGGCTGGGTGGGGAGGGAAGGGTGGGGAGGGGCTGGGTGGGGAGGGGCTGGGTGGGGAGAGTGGGGCTGGGTGGGGAGGGATGGGTGGGGAGAATGGGGAGGGGCTGGGTGGGGAGGGTGGGGAGGGGCTGGGTGGGGAGGGTGGGGCTGGGTGGGTGGAGAGGGGCTGTCACCCCGTGGTGCCCTTATAAAACTCAACGTTTAACCTACTCACGCCGGCTTGTGCCCGCCCTCACAGTCGGGCATATTTGCGGAATACACCACGCCACCGTTGACCCTGGCCATTGACCGAGCAACCCAACGTTCCTACCAGCTCCCTCCGCAGGAATGTGTTAGACTGCAGAAGGAATGTGTTTATAACCACTAAAATATATACTCGATCACAAGGTTCGGAAACCAAAATAACAAGAAGAGACATTTTTTATTAGATTTAAAAAAAGCAGTATTCCAAGAGCCACAATGGATATGAATACGAGACGGTCGTCTCTAATCAATAAAGTCACGAAGCAGTCCTTCAAAAGCCGCATTTGACAACAATAAAAATACACCGGGAGATATGTTCTCTTGTCGAACGGTTTATTAGAATGATAGGCAAGGGCGTGACAACGCACACTTTCAGACAGGTACAACATATACTATGAGACCTCCTTTACCAGTGGCAAAATATAGTAGTAGGTTTTTACCCTTTCAACTGGTACAAAACTGACACCTTTATACAAGGCATCATGTTTGCAATAACCACAACACAAGTAGTTAAAATGCAAACAAAAAGAAACAACTCTGATAATGATAATAATATGCACTGTCCTTGAAGTTGATTGGTCCACACCCGAGACAGCTTTCCTTAGAGCCTCGTCTTCATTGGTGTTGGACCAGATGACACCAAAAGGCGTACAACTCATTATGATTATCAGAGTTGTTTATTTTTGTTTGCATTTTGACTACTTGTGTTGTGGTTATTGCAAACATGATGCCTTGTATAAAGGTGTCAGTTTTGTACCAGTTTAAAGGGTAAAAACCTACTACTAGGTACAACATATCTTTGTCATATCCAATGGTCCCCACGCAGGCCTTTAACAACAACAATCAAGGCATATGCCAACATGTATACAGTTTGATATAATAATATCTATCTATACGCAGGAGAACATTCGAAGACAACCTGCATTTTTTGCGAAACAGCAAAAACTCGCCTTAACTGCTCCGATGTTGAAGCGCTATTTGTGTTCATTCACGCAAATTAGCCCCCGCAGTGTCCGAGTGATGGATACAAATGGATGACGGGGCGATGGACCGCTGCCTACATTTTTTTCAGGTGGCTGCGTAGAGTTCCCCTTGTGTGTGTCTGTGTCTGCCTTTGGGTTGTACCGCGTGTCGGTCCGGTCGCGTTTTGACGTTTCGCTCCCCGGCACTTAAAGCGAAACATCGGACGTCATTGCCAAACGACGCTGCGGGGCTGCGAACCGAACACAACATCAGAGAGCTGTGGATGATAGGAATCATTTGCCACCACGTCCACGTGACTCCCTCTTATCCGTGCCAAAGACTATAGGTTAATGGACAGTCTCAACTAAACTTTTATTTTACCAGGTAAGGCCCACTCAGCAGCAACCTGGCTATCATAAATGATCGCTCAACGAAGTAAAATATCGCGTGAAAATTTTTAGGAATAGCCAAATACTCCAATTGGGTGGCGTTGATTGTAAATGAGGAAAAAAACCAGAGGACCCGGCGAAAAATCCACGCGACCACGGGGAGAGAGACACGCAGACTCCAAATATACAGCAGCAGGCGTCAGGATCGGGATCGAACCCACGACCTCCTGTAAACCAGGCGAGGTAGTTAACATCCCTCCACCGTGGCGTGGGCCCTGGTGCAAGGAATTAAATGAGACCCCCCTCCCTTCCCCGTCCAATGTTTCCCTGCTTTTTCCAAGTGGCCCACAGCCTGGGTTTCTACAGCCCCTAAAACCTTCCAGCAGTCGCACCGCGCCTACACACTTGATTGATGTGCCACTGCTTTCCGAATCACTTTCTCCTAGATAAATGGTTTGTCAGAACTCCTGAGTCACTCCCTCATATCCGCACACACGTCGCAAACATAGCGGAACGTTACATTTGCCGCCTCTAAGTTACAAAAAAGCAATCGGGGCACATCATCGGAAGAAGAATAAGAATATCTCACAATACCACCACAGGATAACACATTCCGTGCGAGTGGTAAATCATCATTAATATGCAACTGACACAAGCTGTGTCTTTCGATGCCCCGGGAGGACTTGGGATAGATTTTCCAGGACTGCTACGTCAGCCAGAGAACGGTCCCGGGAGAACCGGGACAGGTGGCAACCCGGAGCAAAGTGCGGTTCGATCGGGCTGCACAAGTCATGAATGGAAAGCACGGCTAAGAGAGGGCTTGGATATGAGGAGCTTGACGGTACATAGACACACGCTCACGAATGGCAGCGTCAGCATGTAAGGCACGTTGAACATGGAAATACTCCACGTAACAGCATTTATGGCTGGGCTCACAAGGCAGTAGTGGGTGACCCCCCCCCCCCCCCCCCCCAGGAAGCCCGTGATACATTCAGGTGGACATCAATTGCTCGTAAACACGCACTGCACAATCGCTGGGTCTCCATGAAGACGCAACAACAGACAATGACTCGACTAATTTGAATCAAACGTGAATAGGTATCGTAGCTGCTACGATTTTCTAATGTAGAATTGCTTGCTGTAACAGGCACTATTATACTGATGTCGACTGTGATTGTAACTGTCAAAGATTGTACATATTGCTCATTACAGCTGTCTCACAGTTAATTGCAAGTGTCTGCCATCGGACGTAATCTGTCACGTGTCGCTCACTGCGACCTGAAGTGTATTCGCTGCATCCTAAATTAATTTAATCGACAATATGTCAACGTACAGAGTTTTATACTGCTGACTAGCAGGACATGTTTTTTTTCGGAAGGACGTAACCTTTTGTTTAATCCATTCCATCGACTTTACAAACAGTTTAATCACTTGAACATCACTCGTTTGAGATTAAAAAAAAAAAAAATTTGTAAACCCAGCAAAAGGAATGTTCGAAAACGAACCCAGAAACCCGTGGAGGGTAAACACCCGGACAATGTCAAAGGAAGTCTTTATACAGTGCTATCGAGTGAGCGAGTGTACATCGTTGCATTTCAAGTGGCTGTGTATATTAATCAAATTAACGTATGATAATTGTTTTTTTACCCTTCTATCTGGCAACAAAACTGACACCTTGTTTTTACAAGGAGTCATGTTTACATAGACCACAATACCTGCAGTCATAATGCAAACAAAAAACATAACTCTGAGAATGTGCACTGTCCTTGAAGTTGATTGGTCCACACCCGAGACAGATTTCCTTAGAGTCGTTGGACGTCTCACCCATGTGAGACTAGGTCTATCTAAACATGACTCCTTGTAAAAACAAGGTGTCAGTTTTGTTGCCAGATAGAAGGGTAAAAAAAACAATTATCATATTTTTACTGGAAAATGAGGTTCCAATGGTGCAAATTAACGTAGTGCAATCTGCCCACTCCATAGCTGCGCCATTGATTGAAATTAACACGGAGCAAATCATAATAATGACAAGTTCGCCTTGTAAGTGGTCACTCGCTCTCGTAGAGAGACATGAACCACAGACAGGCGGGGAAGGCAGCAGCAGCAGCAGCTTACACGCGGCGAGCCGGCACCAACAATCGCCCGAGCTCTGCGATCCTCTGTATATGATGGCGCCATCGGCCAATTATAAATAGTTATGGCATCATTCTAGATTGGAAGCTTTCGTGACTGCAAGGATTCATAACTAGTCTTAGGCTTTTTCGGTAAAGTCACGTGGGTAAAAAATAAAAATAAAAGAAGTAATAATTTATTTATATTATTACTTCTATTAATTTTATTCTTATTTTTTTCCGACGTGACTTTACCAAAAAAGCCTAAGAGTATCTTCTTTTAGACACTGTCCCCTCGACAGACCTGGTCTTCACCTGAGGACGGCTGCTTGTGTTGTGGCCGAAACGTCGTGAGAATTATTTAATTATGTTTTATTTTTATTATTTTATTACTTCCCTTCTACGTGACTTTACCGAAAGAACCAAGAAGATGAATCACTGCAGTCACGAAAGCTTTAAATCGAAATTTAGCCTAAGAGTAGTTATGGCATAACTATACAACACTGTGAGGGCACTAATGGTAGGGGTTGTACACGAACTCTCTCCTCAAGCCTTCTCGTCGCGGCCAGTAGACCTCGACATTGGGCATCTAGATCCTGAACGTATTGCTACTGACATCGTCATACAAAATAATAGAATTGGCAGCGGTTGTTGAAGGGATATGATGAAAGTTTCCCCCCATGCCATCAGTCGTGGAGGCTGTTTGACCATACTTCACCACAATGGGGATGGTGGGTGGACAGGTGTCAGAATATCGGTTGACATATCGATACGGGGTGCCGCGGTGGCTCAGAGATGTTAACTACCTTGCCTGGTATACAGGAGGTCGTGGGTTCTGACACCAGTTGTATATTTGGAGTTTGCATGTTCTCTCCATAGATTTTTCTCCGGGTCCTCCGATTTTTCGCTCTACATTTAGAATCAACATGTGTTTAGAGTATTTGGCTACTGCAAAACATTTCCAAGTGATAAGCCACTTCATTGAGCTGTCATTTGTGGCCACATCGCTTCTCAAAAAGAGCTACATAGCTCAGTGGCCCTTACCTGGTAAAAACAAATAGTTTAGTTTAGATTTCACTGCACTATGAACCTGGCGACCTAAGTTCGATTCCCGTCCACAACTAGCGGCGAGTGAGAATGAGAGAACTACTTTCTCCCAAGGGTGGCACAGTCGGGTTTTTTACAATCGGGTTTAATTGTCTTTTATATTAATCCCGATCATCTGAGATTGGGAGAAATCCGGTTTCATTGATTCTAATTGCAGAACCGCACTTCGCCAACTTCTCACCGATGGGCTTCATCCATTCCAAGCTAAGGAACTCACAGGCGCCCACGATTGTGGAGAAGCTCGTGTTCATCAAGACCAACCTGCCAGCATTCTACGACTACCCCGTGCCCGACGCCCCCCCCCCCCCCCCCCCCCGAGTACGATAGCAGCACCGACGAGGAAGCAGCCTAAGCCTTGGATCAGAGTTTCGTATTCATCAAACCAGGTTTTAATTCCCCGAAATCGGGTTTAATTGTATTAAAGAAAAAAACAGATGCCTGCCGCTGGAAAAATCGGGGTTTTTCCACCCTTGCTTTCTTCATAATCCATCATCACCAAACCGCACTGGCCATTATGGTGAAGGATGGACAAACAACCTCCTCATTTACGATATAGCATGGAAAGGCCTTTATCCAGCAGTGAATCGACAAAAGCCTATACACGATTAGTAATTAATGTACTTTTAAGTAAGTGCAAATGCATAGTGTTTAATATAAAGTTCTCAATACTCTTGATATAGCTCTTAGAGATATTGCAAATTTGCGTATAAGTTTGCATACCATGTTCAACAGAAGTCATTTACATTTGACTATTTTCACCTAATACCTTGTACTTTCATAAAATCTGTAAAAAATATATACACACTGGAATGTTTTAATCATTACAAATATATGTTGAAACATTGCCTGCAGAGTGTGAATAGTAAAATAAAGCTTCACTTAGAAAACGTTTAAGTAGTTAACGATCAGGTTAAACATAAAATATGCCATAAAAACATATTTACACGGTTACCTAAAGTCAGCGCACACAGATCTTTAAAGAAAAGATTGTGTACGCAAACCACGGATGATGGTGGTGATCGTGATGATGATCATGACACATCAACACATATTGTGCATCAACAACCCCGAGCCAACCACATGAATGTCTTTTTCTTTTTCTCCTTAACTCGTATTTAAGATCTTGCATCTTGGAATCCCTGCCTGACTTGATACACCTGATGACGGAGACTTGTGTTGCCTCCGAAACGTCGTGATTTTTATTACTTTAATAAATTTTTTACCTACGTGACTTTACCGAAAAAACCAAGAGTACACATGAATCTCTGCCAAAGTGCCACTTTGTTAACTGTGCAGCCTGCTTGCTCATGCCACTTCTAAGCGGATCTCTAGAGAAGCCCTGCAGAGGACGCTTAGATCTACTCATCGGCGCTGGCCACACTTCTTGAAAGCGGTGGGGGCGCCCACACTTTACCCCACCGCACGATGGAACCAACCGTGGCGTGCCCACAGCGGGAGGCGATGGGACGTCGCCTGCTCAACTCGGCAACGAGAACCTTGGAATATCTAGCGCAGTGGTTCTCAGTGTGGTCTCTCTAGCGCAGTGGTTCTCAGTGAGGTATCTCTAGCGCAGTGGTGCTCAGAGTGTGATCCCCAGACCACCAGTGCTCCATGACGGTCTTCCAGGTGGTCTGTAGGACTATGATGCAAATGCAGGTTGACAATAATAACTTGTTGTTTCAAACATTCATTGATATTTTACTCATGATAAACTCCGCTGATTAAACGACTTTCACCCTGAGATATAAATTTCCACCCCAAAAAAAAACCTTATAGCTGCGGTTAAAAAAAAATGCTCCGGTAAAACGAATCATTCAGTATGAGTGGTATTGAGAGAGACGAGTGAATGTGTTTTGTCACCAGGGCTCAGGGGCTGATAGTCCACGTTTGTGCATGTATGTTGAACTTCTTCCGCAGCGTACGTAGCCAACCGTGCTAATCGGAGGCTCAGGGGGGGAGGGGAAGGACAACAAACTAAACGCAACAATCACTTCTAAAGACCTTCTGCTTCTGTTTGTCACAATCGAGCCCTGTGAGAAATGTTTGCACCGGCTGAGCGGGGTCCACAGGCCCCAGCAAGAAGAAACACCTCGTCGAGACGGACGCAGTCAGACCTTGCCGCGCATCGCCCGAGCGTAGAACTGCGCCTCCGTGTAGTTGCGGTTGTGCAGCACCAGCGCGTGCAGGGCCTCCGCCTCCTTCTCCGACTGACGGTGCATCGGCAGCCAGAATTCCCGCACGACGGAGCCCGGCTGGGGTGGAGCAACCGAGCGTCGACGGCCGCCCCGCCGGACCCGTGCCTCCGCCCCCGCCGCCGCCGCCGCTCCTCCGGGCTTGGAGAGCGCCGGGCGGAACGGCGCTGGCGCTGGGCAGCTGAGGGCAGCGGGGTCAGCGGTCCACTGGCGCCTCGGCAGACCCTGCGTGCGTTCATCCATTCATTGCAGATATTGGTTCGCCTGTTCGTTCATTCATTTATCAAATAATCATCTAGCAGACCCTGCGTGCGTTCATTCATTGCAGATATTGGTTCGCCTGTTCGTTCATTCATTTATCAAATAATCATCTAGCAGACCCTGCGTGCGTTCATTCATTGCAGATATTGGTTCGCCTGTTCGTTCATTCATTTATCAAATAATCATCTAGCAGACCCTGCGTGCGTTCATTCATTGCAGATATTAGTTCGCCTGTTCGTTCATTCATTTATCAAATAATCATCTAGCAGACCCTGCGTGCGTTCATTCATTGCAGATATTGGTTCGCCTGTTCGTTCATTCATTTATCAAATCATCATCTAGCACATTCGTGGTGATGTAAAAATGTTTACTGCGGTGTGTACATGTTGGGCAGGAGTTCGCCCAGCAGCAGATTGAACATGACCGATGATGACATTTTGGTCGTCACCAATCTACGGGTCTCCTTTCTAAGTCTATGAATCTCAATGTGAGTCTGTATTTTCACACCACAAACCATATAGCAACACCACTGCCCAATTAGATCATTTAGCGGCAACAGCATTTTAGATTTTGATTTAAAGCTTTCGTCACTGCAGGGATTCATATTCTTGGTTCGTTCGGTAAAGTCATGTAGAAGGGAAATAACAAAATAATATAAATATAAAACAATAAAAATTCTCACGACGTTTCGACTGCAACACAAGCAATCGTCATCAGGTGTGAAATCCACAGCATCAGGTGTGAAATCCACAGCAATACATTTTTCTTGCTGTGGATTTCACACCTGATGATGATTGCTTGTGTTGCAGTCGAAACGTCGTGAGAATTTTTATTGTTTTGTATTTATCTTATTTAATATTTCCCTTCTACGTGACTTTAGCATTTTAGATATTCACCATGGAGCTACCCCTGAAGTCGTGTGTCGTGGTGTAAATTGTGAGTACCTCCATGTATTCACAGAAGTCCAGCCAGCATGGAAGATCAGCCCATATATGTGACTCAGTTGTTAGTGCTTTGATTTCTATTTGCTTTATTGCTGTTCCTTTTTTTAATTAACTTTTGTTATTTTGGTGAAGTCACTCTTGGATTTGAGACTATCCTGGTCTCATGAGTTCCTACCTGGTTGAACAAAATGTGCCTATGTTTGTTGAACTTTCTTCGCACTGTACATAGCCAATCGCTCAAATTGGAGGTGCGGGGGAAGGACAACAAACTAAACACAAAAATTAGTTCTAAAGAAAGGAGGTTGCAATCTAGATGATTTAAAAGTGCATTGCTCCAGTGGCCTGCTAATATCGGAAGAGCCTTCCAGACGGCCACAGAAGCGATGCAGTGGCCGTCTTTGCCCGACGGCTCGCCAAAAGCCGCTGCTGCGAGTATGATCGGGATGGGAAAAAAATTAACACTTGAACCCCCTAAGAGGGTCTTCTCTCGAGCTCCCACAAGTGGAGGTCCTTCCACCAGCAGCGGGGTGAGCGAGCAATTGCAGTGCTGCGCCTTTACCACCTTTGCTTTTTAATCAACTGACTGTTCCAGCCCGAAGATGAATGTTGCCGCTCAACTCCCCCCCACCAGACAGAGAAAGAAAAGGAAGACCTTCGACCCTCATAACACCTCCTGCTCTTGTCCTACCCTTTTTGTTTTTCTTTATTTTGACAAAGAGGGAAAAGCCGACGGGCCCGGAGAAAAATCAAAGCGACCAACGGGGAGAACATGCAAACTCCAAATATACTAAACTATTGAAACTTTGTTTTATTTTACTAGATAAGGCCCACTGAGCTATATAGTTGTCTTTCAAACACGACCTGGTTATCACAAATGATAGCCCAATGAAGTGGCTTATCATGTGGTCATTGATAGCAGCCAAATACTCTAAATGCGCATGCGTTGATTTTAAATGTGGAGGGAAAAACCGGAGGATCCGGAGAAAAATCCATGGAGAGAACGCGCAAACTCCAAACATACAACAGGCGTCAGGGTCGAGATCGAACCCACGACCTCCCGCATACCTGGCGAGGTAGTTAACATCTCCTAGCCACCGTGATGATGATAAGAGAGAGAGAGACACGCAAACTCCAAATATACAGCAGCAGGCGTCAGGGTTGAGATCGAACCCACGACCTCCCACATACCAGGCGAGGTAGTTAACATCTCCTAGCCAACCTGATGATGATGAGAGAGAGACACGCAAACTCCAAATATACAGCAGCAGACGTCAGGGTCGGGATCGAACCCACGACCTCCCGCATACCAGGCGAGGTAGTTAACATCTCCGAGCCACCGTGATGATGATGAGAGAGAGACACGCAAACTCCAAATATACAGCAGCAGCAGGCATCAGGGTCGGGATCGAACCCACGACCTCCCGCATACCAGGCGAGGTAGTTAACATCTCCTAACCACCGTGATGATGATGAGAGAGAGACACGCAAACTCCAAATATACAGCAGCAGGCGTCAGGGTCGGGATCGAACCCACGACCTCCCGCATACCAGGCGAGGTCGCTAACATCTCGCAGCGTATCCATCGCTGCCCACCTGCTGATGGCGCTCCTCGTTCTCCCAGACACGGGCGCACACGGCGCACTCGAACGCGTCGATGAAGTTGTCCTGTGCCGGGTCGTTGACGCCCCACGACCGCCGGCTGAGCGCCGTCAGGAGCCGCGGGTTCCGCACGCGGCCCTCCAGCTTCCAGCGCCGGTAGTCGTCGTACAGGGCGTCGTCGGCGTCCAGCGACAGCAGGAACGAGGCCAGCTCCTGCGGGTCGGAGCAAGAGGAGATGGCCAGGGGAGTGAGTGGTGTGGTCGTAGTTGACCCGTTGTCAGCGGCAGCACAGCCGGCGGTATCGGCAACATCTGCAACCGTCCAGTGACGGATTACAATTCACGCGCTACCACCGTCCGGCGAAAGAGTCCGTGCTCCCGTGACGCGTGCGAGAGTACCAATAGCCTGGGTTGGAACGACCCGTCCATGAACCCCCACTGAAATTCAATTCCTAAGTATTCACGACGCACGCATCATATTGAGCGCGTGAGCCATCGCTTCGTCCGTACGTGTTGCACGCAATGGGTTCACGTCGACCCGTGGCAGGCTCTGGGAGTCTCGATGCCCACGGTCCTCGTGCGACCAACGGGTTGAGATCAACGAATGTGTGGCCTGACAAAGGTACGGGAAGGCCAGACGTGACCCTCGGTCAAGGTTGACCGCCCGTATCGTAGGGTTATTACATTGGGCAAGCGCTCGCTCTGAACGCGTGGCGGTGTTCACGCTGCAACGCGTCTTCGCTGTGATGCGCTTCTTCTATTGGGGGACACTTTGCGCACAACGTGGAGCACACACGCCGTGATAACGCGGTTTGTGAGCGGTCGACTCTAAACTACTTTCTTGAGCTGCGAAACTGAGCGGTACGATACAATATACGGTACGATACAGTACGCGGGGGCTTACCCTCACCTCAGTTCTTTGTACCGCAATGGGACGACTACAGGCTAATTTTACCGTCCAAATGTCATTTACAACATTTGTATCGTTTTGTATTCACTTGTGCCCTGCAATGTATACAGTAAAACCTTGGATTGCGAGTAAACTTGGTCTGCGAGTGTTTTGCAAAACGAGCAAAAATTTAAAATAAATATTAATTTGATAAACGAGCGAGGTCTTGCAACACGAGTAGTACGTGTATATGCTTTGTCTGCCGAGCGTCACGTGATCACAACTGATGTACGAGTGCTTTGGATTACAAACTCGTTTCCGGAACGAATTATGCTCGCAATCCAAGCTTTTGCTGTATACCCAGAGCAATGGTCCACTTGACGCGGTCACCGCTCGACGCGGCACCTTTCAGGAACGCAATCTACCGCCGGCGCCAAACAAGGAACCAACTCTGGAGGAGCGGCCGACGGCTGATCACGGAGACGCGGCGACGAACCTTGGGCGAGGGGAAGTCGCTGACGATGACGGCAGAGCGCTCGGGGTCGGGCAGCCAGTCGCGCACGCTGGCCGAGCCGCGGTACACGGGGACGGCGCCCACCGCCAGCGGCCGCCACAGCTTCTCCGTGACGTAGTCGTCGCACAGCGCGTTCTCAAGCGCCAGCACGAACTTGTAGCTCGACAGCAGCGACAGGAACCCCTCCGCCTCCATCGCCGACGGGTCTGTGTGAAGCAAGCACAAGGGCGGGTGGCGGTGACGGTGGTGGCGGTTGGTGGCGGTGGTGGTGGTGGTGGTGGTGGCGGTGGTGGTTGGTGGCGGTGGTGGTGGTGGTGGTGGTGGCGGTGGTGGTTGGTGGCGGTGGTGGTGACAGTGGTGGCGGTGGTGGTTGGTGGCGGTGGTGGTGGTGGTGACGGTGGTGACGGTGGTGGCGGTGGTGGCGGTGGTGGTTGGTGGCGGTGGTGGTGGTGGTGGTGGTGACGGTGGTGGTGGTGGTGGTGACAGTGGTGGCGGTGGTGGTGGTGGCGGTGACGGTGGTGGTGGTGGCGGTGGTGGTGGTGGTGGCGGCGCTGTGAAGGTAGCAGCAGCGATCGGTTGGCAGATCACCACGCCACGCTCTGTTGTCGTTAAACTCCCTTCTACCCATGAGCATCGAGGACAGGAGCCGGTAACCTGCGGTTCCGGAGCCCCACGTGACTCTTTGGCTGCCCCCTTGCGAGCAGCCGTTTGAAAATAGAAAAAAACGACCTTAAATCTTAAACGTAATATAATGTAGAGATGATGTATTCAATATTACAATGACTGGGTCACTATGTAATGTCTTGGTGACGACGAAATTTACAACAATCAAACTGTGTTATTAAAGGATAACTAAGGGGGTGGGGGGGGGGGGGAACTAAATAGACGCATCTTCTTGGTTCTTTCGGTAAAGTCACGTAGAATGGAAATAATAAAATAATAAAAATAAAACATAATAAAATAATTCCATTCTACGTGACTCTACCGAAAGAACCAAGAAGATGAATCCCTGCAGTCACGAAAGCTTTAAATCGAAATTTAAATAGACGCAGTTTATTCAATCACCTCTTTTTGTTCATTTAAGTCAGAATATGTTTGTCATCTGCTGTATACTTGCTGCTGTGTCTGTGTTTGTGTATACGTAGTTCTGCGTGTGGTCAAAGACAAAAGCATAAACAATGACTCCTCTACCCTTTTGAAAGGTTTCCGACCCCTGGTCGAGGAGGTGCCATACCCCCGGCTCACCAGGAGATGGTGGTTACAGCAAAAATGTGAATTAACATCACGTACATACGTAGTGAACCGCGCTAATCGGTGGTGTGGGGGTAGGACAACAAACTCACTAAAAAAATGAGTTTTCAATATAGATCATTTAAAAGTGCATAACTGCAGTGGCTTCCTAATATCAGAAGGAAGAGCGTTCCGGACAGCCGCAGAAGCGTGCCTGAAAGCAAGTGCGCCTCCCCCACTGTGTGGGGATATAGCGTTGCCCCCTCGCACAGTGCGGATGCTTCTCCCGCTGCTCACCGGTGAGCGGGCCAGGCAGGTCTCGGTTGTGGAGGCAGCGCCCGTACGAGTCGACGTCCATGTACGCCGAGAGCTCACGCACAAACTCGTCGCGGTCCGACGGCGGCTCGCAGTCCGACTGCACGTACGCCACGGCCGCCAGGCCCCGGCCCGCGGGCGCCGGTCGCCGCAGCCGGCTCTTCTTGGCCGCGCCGACCAGCAGGCGACGCGACAGCAGCGCCTTGGCGCTCTCCACGAACTGCAGCGTGAGCGGCAGGTCGGAGCGGCGGCTGAACGTCGCCGTGTGGTTGAAGAGGGCGGCCGTCTGTGGCCAGAAGAGCACGTAGTTGTTCTTGGGCGACTCCTCGTGGAACAGGGCCCAGTCGTGGGAGCGCTGGCGCGGCAGGGGGAGGTCCCAAGCACTGAAGTCCGTGCCTTGGGTGCGGGGGGGGGTGTTGGAGGGGGTGGGAGAAAGCGCCAGATTTCGTGGTAAGACAGACAAATGAGGCATTTACACCATTGGTACCTCATTTGCCAGTAAAAAATATGATAATTGTTTTTTTAACCTTTTATCTGGCAAAAAAACTGACACCTTTTTTTAACGCGGAGTCATGTTTGCATATACCACAATACCTGCAGTCATAATGCAAACAAAAAAGAGGTACCAATGGTGTAAATGCTTACCCCGAGCTCTCATACTCTGATGGTGCATTGTCTTTGAGTTGTGCGCCTTTTGGCATCATCTGGTCCAACCCATGTGAGACTAGGCTCTAAGGAAAGCTGTCTCGGGTGTGGACCAATCAACTTCAAGGACAGTGCATACATGTTTTTTGTTTGCATTATGACTGCAGGTATTGTGGTCTATGCAAACATGACTCCTCGTAAAAAAGGTGTCAGTTTTCTTGCCAGATAAAAGGGTAAAAAACAATTATCAAATTAGGCATTTGTTCAGGCCCCCACAATTCTTGAGGAATCCTTCTAAAGTAAAATAACTAAATAGGGTTGTTTATTAATGTCATGATTTTTTTGATAGGTTAAGGTGCAGCCCTGCAATATCCTCCCCCCACGTCACTGCTGGCAGAAGGGCCTCCACTTGGAGGAATTATTGAGAGTCCGAAATATTAAGTGAGGATGACGATGATGATGTTGATTGTTATCATGATGCAATGGAGAGCAAAACTGGACCTGCAATTCAGAGGTAGCTGTTTCGAAAACATCTCCTGGCGTGGCAGTTGAAACGACGGTGCAAGTTATTTGAATCCCACCCAACAACTTCTCTCCAGCAGTGAAGTCAATCGGCAGGTTGCTTGTAGTGGGGTAAAGTGTGGGTACTTCCACCTCCACTAAGATGTCTGGCCAGCGAGCATCGGCAGGACAATATACTTCTAGATTTGAAGCTTTCGTGACTGCAAGGATTCATATTCTTAGGTTTTTTTGGTAAAATCACGTAGGTGAAAAAAAGTTACATAAAAATAAAATAAAAATCACGACGTTTCGGAGGCAACACAAGCTTCCGTCTTCAGGTGGAACCGTCACAGCACGATAGCTGTATCAAGTAAGAGAAATTCCAAGAAAACAGTCCTTGAAAATATACTGGTTTTTTAACCTACGTGACTTTACCGAAAAAACCTAAGAAAAGGACAACATACCTTGTAGAGAGGCTCTGTAGAGCTCCTGTCTAGCGGAGGACCTTCCACCAGCAGTCACGTGAGCAAGCAATTGCAGGGCTGCACCTTAACCTGCGCACCCTACCACTGGAATAAACTTCCCCTGCACATTAAGCCGTCCCACTCCTTGACCTCGTCCGCTCCTCTCTCACAGCCTCACCTCTTTTCCATTTGCCAACTCCCTTCCTCTTCCCTCCCCTCACCCCTCCGTCCTGTATGACCTCCAAACCCCACCACGTGCCCTCTGTTGCAGTCGCTCATTCCTGGGCCCTTGCACGCACCCTTTGCCATCGAAATCACTCGCCTTTTGTTGCCACTTTTAAACTACGTTATAAACTCTGCAAACTACGAACAAAAATATTCACCAGCTCTTTTTCAGAAGCGACCTGGCGGTCACAAATAATAGCCCAACGAAGTGGCTTAGCACGTGGACATTTACATGAGCCAAAGACTTTAAACGCGTGACGTTGATTCTAAATTTGGAGAGGGAAAACCGGACGGCCCGAAGAAAAAATCCACGCGAACACGTGGAAAGAGACACCGTAAACTCCACATGTGCAGCAGGAGTCAGCGTCGGGATCGAACCCACGAACCTCCCGTACACCCGGCGAGGTAGCTAACATCTCGCCACGTCACAGAGCGCCTCGAACTACCAACGCCTCTCTATATTTCACGCGAAATTTTCTAAAATCCAAAAATAATACGAAGACAATTCGGTACCGTAGAAGAGGAAGGCCCGGGCCATGGAGTGCCGCCGGTACGAGCGGTCCACCGTGAAGAAACATTCGCCAGGCACGCCGGGACAGCGCGCCAGCTTGCCCGCCTCGCCCGTCAGCGGCGTCCACCACACGATCACCGGGTAGCGCGCGTCGCCCGCCTCCAGCTGCGCCTCCCGGCTCACCACCCTGCTCCCGTGACGGGGACGGGGTCGAAGCCGCACGGCGTCGTCGGCACGCGGGCCCCCCAAACTGTCCCCGTCGGCCCTCGGGCGGACGCGGCGGCCCCCCGGGAGAGAGGCGCGCTCATACCCGCTCAGCTCGTCGGCCACCTGCAGCAGCGGGGGGTGACGAGACGAGAGATAAAGGCGCAGCCCTGCAAGCCGCTGACTCGGGGCACGTGCTGGCGGAAGGGCCTCCGCTATGTGGAGTTGGCCTACTCTTCCATACTGGCTAGAACGTCTGGAAGAGCGCTATATGGAGTTGGCCTACTCTTCCATGCTGGCTAGAACGTTTGGAAGAGTGCCATGTGGAGTTGGCCTACTCTTCCATGCTGGCTAGAACATTTGGAAGAGCGCCATGTGGAGTTGGCCTACTCTTCCATGCTGGCTAAAACGTTTGGAAGAGCGCTATATGTAGTTGGCCTACTCTTCCATGCTGGCTAGAACGTTTGGAATAGGAAGGAAGAGGGGAGGGGGGTACCCACACTTTACCTCACCACACACGACTTGCCGTTTGGTGCACACATTTTACTGGTAGAAACCCTTCTGGTTACACCAGCCCACAGGAGATTATTGTGTCCGTCCGTCCATCGTGCAGGGAGGGGCTGGGTTGGGAGGGAGGGGCTGGGTTGGGAGGGGAGTGTGGGGGGCAGCTGGTTGGGGAGGTTGGGAAGGGGCTGGGTGGGGAGCGTGGGGCTGGGTGGGGGCTGGGTGGGGAGGGGCTGGGTGGGGGAGGGGCTGGTCACCCCGTGGTGCCCTTATGAAACTCAACGTTTAACCTACTCACGCCGGCTTGTGCCCGCTCTCACAGTCGGGCATATTTGCGGAATACACCACGCCGCCGTTGACCCTGGCATTGACCGAGAAACCCAACGTTCCTACCAGCTCCCTCCGCAGGAATGTGTTCACTGCTGAGTGGACAAACGTGATAGTGGATATTTAAGAAACGTTTAACTGTGAGAAAGAACTTCATAGCTCATCGGATTCCTCCAGTCGAAATAAAGATGCAAATTCCGTACCATTATTCCAACTTCCGCGCCTGGAGATAAAATCGATTTCAGATCCAAAGTGCAAACATTTACACCGTGGCTGCACCCCAGGTTAGATGTACAGTAGCCAGGGCTTCGTTTCTCACGAAATATGTTTCAGTCCCACTCGGCCATGTCCTTCGTGGTCAGGGCTTTAATAACTCGCTGATTTACTGCTCGGGCTCGCTGCCAGACTGTGGAGTCGCAGCCACGGCAGCGTAGCGAGCGGTGTCTACTGGATGCGTTGCACTGGGAGGTAAAATATTGTTCAGGTCACCGAGACGGCTGTAATTCGTGCGTTGGGGTCAAACGTGGGTGGTCACGTCACCCACCTTCAACATCCCAATACCTAATCTTGGTTTGAAGCTTTCGTGATTGGAGGAATCCATACTCTTTGGTTCTTTAGGTAAAGTCACGTGGGTAGAAAATAAAATAGATCACGACGTTTCGGGCGCAACACAAGCGTCCGTAATCAGGTAGGAAAGCATGGTCTGCTGCTGAGGCAGACTGCTTTGAAAGGTTTGAAATGGGTGTAGCCCAAGGGTCATAAAGAAATGGCTGGCCCAGTAACATGCTAATCTCTCACATTAACATAGCCACTTCCGTGCCCAGTTACATGCTAATTTCTCACTTTAACATCATGCTAATTTCTCACTTTAACATCACTAGACCCGGCCACTTCTCTATGACCCTTGGGCTACACCCATTTCAAACATTTTAAAACAGTCTGCATCAGCAGCAGACCACGCTTTTCCCACCTGATGACAGACGCTTGTGTTGCGCCCGAAACGTCGTGATCTATTTTATTTTATACCTACGTGTATCCCTACTTAATCCTCACTCCCTGTGTAAATGGTGTGGTGGGGTATGGGGTGGGTACTTCTTTCACCTCTTCCAAGACGTCTGGCCAGTGTAGATACGGGCAAAATAGCTTCTAGACTCGAGAGAGAAGCTTCAAATCTAGAACTTCTAGAGAAACTCTCTCGAGCTCCCTCTCGCGGAGGTCCTCTCTGTCAGCAGTGGCACGAGTCAGCAGTTGCAAGACCGCGCCTTCATCTGTTATCCCACGAGAGGCAAACTGCAAACCGCACCAGGCGTGTCAAGCTGGACAAAGACAAAGATCCCCTTAACGGACGGTTTGGGGCAAGTGCTGTTTGCGAGTAGCATCTGTGAATGCCGGCACGGCACACGAGGGGGGGGGGTACAGCACCACGCCCGGCCCCCTTTGTCTCCCTCCCCCACCCAATGGCGATGTTTACACATCGCACCAGGTAACCATTTGAGGCTGAGTCGACCTAGGGGCGTTCAGATAATTGTCACTGATGTTGGGGGCCGTCCATAAATGACGTCACGCACCTAGGGGGGGGGTCAGACATTTGTGACGATGTGTGACGAGGGGGGGGGGTGAGAAATGTGACGTCACATCAAAATGCGCAACTTTAAATAGATATAGACAACACGTTCCACTTAATTAAACAGACGTTTTGATAAATGTTTTCTCCTACAACATCGGAGTGCAGCGGCACATTAAATACGCACTACAATGACAATAGTTTAAAGCGATTTGAAGCAGGTTTTATTTTTTTTTTAGGGGGGGGGCAGAGCTTTGTGACGTCATATTTGAAGGGGGGGTCTGACTTTTTGTGACGCCGTGTGACGAGGTGGGGGGGGTCAAAAATCGTCCAAAATCGCGTGACGTCATTTATGGACGGCCCCTTGCTCGTGAGAAGGCATCGAAGCGGAACTGGCCCCTGGACGAACACACACGCGTACACACATTCACGGTGGTGTTGGGTGATACGATTCACGTGGTGACAAGTGCGTGTTTACAGACGGGGGTTGGCTCAAGCTGCAAACGTCACGTGCTCAAGAATAGCAAAGCCGTTTGTGTACGTGTCCTCACAATCACACATGTCACGAATCCCTTTTGTCACGGATTTGTTTTTCGTTTTCTGGGTGTCACGCTCTCAACTGGTTTGGAAACGCTGCGAATTCTTTAGTGCGTGAAGGCGGAGGGAGGGAGGGCGGGCAGCCAGAAACTGAACAAGACGCCGAACTCGCCCGGCTGGGTTTGTGTGCGTACGCATGGCGTGGTGGCTTTTGTTCCGAATGTCAGATGCCACATTTGGGCCCATACGGGGGCCGTGGTGAGGCTTCCATCCAGCAGCGGATAGAACACGGTCACTCGTTTAAGTTAATTTATTAGGTATAGCCCTGTGAGCCATTCGGCTCTTGAATCGGGTGCAACCGCAACAAACAAAAAACTAAAACATGAACAACAAAACATCTTAAAGTGAATATGTGACTAAGTGCAAACAGAAAATCCAAGAAAAGACGGCAAAATATTGCAGAAAAAAAGCACCGCACACCAACGCTGTGTGCAAAAATCCCAGTGGGATGCAAGTCAAACAACAACAACACCAACCACAAGACAACTTAGATTAAGGCCATCAGTCTAGCTCCGTACTACAACAAACAAACGTGGCCAAACCAGTAAACTTTTCGAAATCACCAAAATAAAGCAATGAAACAGTGATCAAGTGTGGCAGGAACTCCGGACCATGAGGCTCGGTGTGGGGAGGCATTCGTCCAGCAGTATGTAGAACATGTCGGTGGATGGACTGTGTAAGGAGTTGGTGCTCATCTTCTTGGTTCTTTCGGTAAAGTCACGTAGAAGGGAAATAATAAAATAAATAAAATAAAACATAATAAAATACAATTCTCACGACGTTTCGGCCACAACGCAAGCAGCCGTCCTCAGGTGTCGGAAAGACAGCGTCTTTCCGACAGACCTGTTCTTATTTTATTATGTTTTATTTTTACTATTTTATTATTTCCCTTCTACGTGACTCCACCGCAAGAACCAAGAAGATGAATCCCTGCAGTCACGAAAGCTTTAAATCGAAACGTCGTGAGAATTTCTATTGTTTTATATCAATATTATTTTATTATTTCCCTTCTACGTGACCTTACCGCAAGAACCAAGAAGATGAATCCCTGCAGTCACGAAAGCTTTAAATCGAAACGTCGTGAGAATTTCTATTGTTTTATATCAATATTGTTTATTTTTCCCTTCTACGTGACTTTACCGCAAGAACCAAGAAGATGAATCCCTGCAGTCACGAAAGCTTTAAATCAAAACGTCGTGAGAATTTCTATTGTTTTATATCAATATTATTTATTTTTCCCTTCTACGTGACTTTACCGAAAGAACCAAGAAGATGAATCCCTGCAGTCACGAAAGCTTTCAATCGAAACGTGAGAATTTCTATTGTTTTATATCAATATTATTTATTTTTCCCTTCTACGTGACTTTACCGAAAGAACCAAGAAGATGAATCCCTGCAGTCACGAAAGCTTTCAATCGAAACGTGAGAATTTCTATTGTTTTATATCAATATTATTTTATTATTTCCCTTCTGCGTGACTTTACCGAAAGAACCAAGAAGATGAATCCCTGCAGTCACGAAAGCTTTCAATCGAAACGTCGTGAGAATTTCTATTGTTTTATATCAATATTATTTTATTTTTTCCCTTCTACGTGACTTTACCGCAAGAACCAAGAAGATGAATCCCTGCAGTCACGAAAGCTTTCAATCAAGAGTTGGTGCTGTGTGGGGGCACCTATCGAGTTAGCCACGCCACGCGTGGTCGTGGCAAACAGGTGCAGCGACACACCTTTCCGCCTTCGTATCTCTATAGACAATGGCAACGTGGGGCGTGGTGGCCGTGCTGGTATGAGCCAGTGGACGGCTTTAGCAGTGGCCCCGCGGTGAATATCGAGAATGATACAGTACAGAACCCACGTAGCGATTCCTAGACATACACAGAGACCCAACGACTCACGATTAGACCCGCACGATCGCATAAACACCCATAGATTCACAAAGCGACCCAGAGACTCGCACAGAGACTAAACATTGAGAATTGAAGCGGGCAATGAGGGCCATGATTCGAGACTCACTTGAAGGTAGGCGTACCCATAGATATTCATCGGCGTGTATAGAGACCTACAGACTTACACCGAAACCCATAGATCCACATATAAACCCATAGATTTCAATTATGGAAGCCAGCAATGTGGATCATGGTTTGACATTGGTGACCTCAGTTGCACTCTGGGGGCTATTCCGAAATGTCCATTGGTGTAGCAGACAGCCGCGTCGCACGTGTGATCTGCCGGCCTTAATAGGAGCTCGCAAACAGCAGCACTTGCACGTCTATAAGGCTGTGGAACGTGTAAGATTGCCCGCCGCGTGTTTGTGAGTCACTTTAGCCGAACTAAAGAATACAATGTTGGCATCAGCCAGGCTCGGCGATGAATTATCCACGCATTTCAGTGGCATAGCAGCCAGAAAACATGGGCACAGGCAACCAGCAGTGACCCTAAGCTAAGCCAGAACCAGTCCTGACCCTCGCCTAAGCCCCGTCTCTAACTCAAGTCCTTGTCCAGTCTTGGTACTCCAAACACATGCGAATCGAAAGCCTAGCCCTGACCCTAACACAAGAACTCATCAGAGTCATAATCCTACCCCTAACTCTAATCCTAACCTATCACAATAACTCATCATAGCCATAACCCTCCTTATAACTCTAGCCTTGCGTCGAACATAAATTGCTAGCCGTGTGCATTACCCCAAACTCTAATCCTAACCCTAACACAAGTACCAGCCGTAGCTAGTCCTAACACACAAACACAGTACGATCCATATCCAACACATTCCTGCTGCGGAGGGAGCTGGTAGAAACGTTGGGTTTCTCGGTCAATGGCCAGGGTCAACGGCGGCGTGGTGTATTCCGCAAATATGCCCGACTGTGAGGGCGGGCACAAGCCGGCGTGAGTAGGTGAAACGTTGAGTTTTATAAGGGCACCACGGGGTGACCAGCCCTTCCCCACCCTCCCCACCCAGCCCCTCCCCACCCTCCCCTCCCCACCCAGCCCCTCCCCACCCTCCCCACCCAGGCCCTCCACACCCTCCCCACCCAGCCCCTCCCCACCCAGCCCCTCCCCACCCTCCCCACCCAGCCCCCTCCCCACCCTCCCCACCCTACCCAGCTCCACCCAGCCCCTCCCCACCCTCCCCACCCAGCCCCTCCCCACCCTCCCCATCCAGCCCCTCCTTTCCCACCCAACCCTTCCCTGCACGACGGACTGACACAATAATCCCCTGTGGGCTGGTGTAACCAGGAGGTTCCTACCAGTATAATCCTGTCCCTACCCCCAACCAATGTCATCCACAACGCAATCCCAGTAACGCCGAACCAAAGCTTGTGATGTCTCCATGCACACAACCTGTGATGAAGGTGGGGGAGTAACTCCACAGATTCTCACGGAAAGACTGCAGATTATCACTCTTCCATCACACAACCACCTCAACTCATCTATCACACACACGCAACACGAGATACTGCGATGTGTCATTTACACTGCAGATATTACGAGGACCACGTGGCTGCAGACGCGGTACAGGAAGCGATATTGACGCCTTCTCAACAACATCAGGAACACAACTTACTCTCATGCTGCTCATGATGATGATATCCTTAGGTTTTTTTCCGTTAACTCACGTTGGTAAAAAAAATAAAATTAAAACTTTTATTAATTTAAATGTTTTACCTACGTGACTTTACCGAAAAAAACTAAGAATATGAATACTTGCAGTCACGAAAGCTTCACATCTAAAATTACATGGTGATGATGGTGATGTTGATGATGGTTAATATTAAATAGACTACATGGACCATTCGAGGATGACTTCGATGATAAAGTTGATGGATTATAAGACGTGGTCAATTTGATGATGACTTTAGTGATAAAGATGATGATGTATATGATTAAATTGACGTGTATACCATGAGGTACCTTTGATAATTAAGACGGTGATGGATGATGACAGACGACATGAACCACTCTACGACGTCTTTGATAATAAAGATGATTATTATTATGAGTTGGCTAGCGTATCATCCAACTTCCTACACTATACATCAATCAACCCAACCACAATGAGTGTGACGGATGATATGATATACACTAGACTGACAGATGATGATGATGATTATAATGCTCATCATGAGTAGGAGACGATCGGTTGTTATCGAACTCCTATAATCCTCATTGATGATGATGACTATTCTGTCAGTGTGTGTACTGTATCAGTGTGTACTGTATCAGTGTGTGTACTGTGTCAGTGTGTGTAGTGTGTGTACTGTATCAATGTGTGTACTGTATCAGTGTGTGTACTGTATCAGTGTGTACTGTATCAGTGTGTGTACTGTGTCAGTGTGTACTGTGTGTACTGTATCAGTGTGTGTACTGTATCAGTGTGTGTACTGTCAGTGTGTGTACTGTATCAGCGTGTGTACTATGTCAGTGTGTACTGTATCAGTGTGTACTGTGTCAGTGTGTGTACTGTATCAGTGTGTACTGTATCAGTGTGTACTGTATAAAGTGTGTGTACTGTGTCAGTGTGTACTGTGTGTACTGTATCAGTGTGTGTACTGTATCAGTGTGTGTACTGTCAGTGTGTGTACTGTATCAGTGTGTGTACCGTGTCAGTGTGTACTGTGTGTACTGTATCAGTGTGTGTACTGTATCAGTGTGTATACTGGCAGTGTGTGTACTGTATCAGTGTGTGTACTGTATCAGTGTGTACTGTATCAGTGTGTACTGTGTCAGTGTGTGTACTGTATCAGTGTGTACTGTATCAGTGTGTACTGTATAAAGTGTGTGTACTGTGTCAGTGTGTACTGTGTGTACTGCATCAGTGTGTGTACTGTATCAGTGTGTGTACTGTCAGTGTGTGTACTGTATCAGTGTGTGTACCGTGTCAGTGTGTGTACTGTATCAGTGTGTGTACCGTGTCAGTGTGTACTGTGTGTACTGTATCAGTGTGTGTACTGTATCAGTGTGTATACTGGCAGTGTGTGTACTGTATCAGTGTGTGTACTGTATCAGTGTGTACTGTATCAGTGTGTACTGCGTCAGTGTGTGTACTGTATCAGTGTGTACTGTATCAGTGTGTGTACTGTATCAGTGTGTACTTTATCAGTGTGTGTACTGTGTCAGTGTGTGTACTGTATCAATGTGTGTACTGTATCAGTGTGTACTGTATCAGTGTGTGTACTGTATCAGTGTGTGTACTGTATCAGTGTGTGTACTGTGTCAGTGTGCTGCTGTGGGACCCCACCTGAAGGCTCACGAAGATGAAGATGCACGTAGCTACCCCCAGAGAGGAGCAGAAGAGAGCTCTTTGGGATGCCATGTGGATGAGGAGGATGAGAAGGATGAGGAGGAGGTGTTCACTCTGAGCCTGAGGTCTTCGCTGAATCTGTGTTGCTCTCTCTCTCGGATGCTTTCTCCCTATTACCACCAGACTCTCTCTCTTTACATCAACATCACACACACACTGTCTCACTCTCACGCTCTCTCTCTCTAACAGTCTCTCTCTCTCTCTCCCTCTTCTCAGTGTCCCTCGTCCCAGTGTGGCATTCCTCCTCTCTCGCCACCGACATCACGTAACTATCTCCCTCCCAGATCTCACGCTCCCCCTCCAGTCTCACTCTCTCGCCCTCTCCCCCCCCCCCCCCAGCCAGTCGTTCTCTGTAGCCATTCCGCTCCCTCCTTCCTCCATCCCTCCCTCCCTCCTCCTCCTCTGAGAGGCACTTCCCCTCCCCCCAAATCTCGTGCATTCTCTCCTCCTCCTCCCAGTCTCACGCTCTCACCAAGACAAAGATCCCTGGATGACCTCAACAGACTGTTGGAGCAAGCGCTGTGAGCGGTACACGAGAGAGTGGATGAAAAGCTCCACGCCCGGCCGCCTTTGTCTCCCTAAGTGGCGATGTTTACCCCTCCCCCCCCCCACCAGTTGTTCATTTGAGGCTGTGTCGACCTAAGGGAGGCCCAGGACCGGTTCAAATATTCGCTACTGTCACGCTCACACACTCTCAGTGTCACGCTGACACAACAACAACAACAATCGCCACTAAGTGGTGGTGACTTCACCACGACGCTTGTGCCAGCCTATGTGCACCTTGAGGCCACGTGAAGTGTCGAACGCCCGCTGGCAGGAGGTCACGGGTCAGACCCAGGTGCCACAGGTCGACTGACTGAGATGACCGAGATGACTGGCTGATGCACCACATGTGCCCCCTACTGTGGCAACTTGCTGTGCTTTAACCACCCAGCGCTCCGCTCGTTGTTGTGAGCGTCGCTCCTCCGCCCTCCGTTGTTGTTGGAGGGCGACTGCCTCCAACTGCCCAGTAGCGTCCTTCACGAGCCTCCTCCACTGAGGCCGATCTTGACACCGCTGGTACCAGTCATCGGCAAGTCCACTCAGCTCCACGTCCTCCTGTACCACATCACTCCATCTCTTCTCTAGCCCGTGCCGCGCACGTTTAGCCCCCTCGATCCGGCCGAACAAAAGCTGTTTAGGAATGTGGTGTCTGGGCATGCGGGCTACATGACCCAGCCAACTTTGTCAAGATATTTCAATGATTTGTGAGCTCACACAATCCAGCCTGGTTAAACCCAGGATGGATCGTAGGCAGGCCAGCCTAAAGTTTTCTAACCGGCGAAGATGTTCCATTATGGGGGTCCTCGTGTCGCAAGCGTAGAGAAGGGAGGGAATGACTGTGGCCTAGAAGACCTGAAGCTTCGTGCGGAGCGACAGACCAGGTAGCTTCCACACAGCGTTACGCAACCGATGAAAATATAATGCCGCTCGACTGATTCGGAGTGAGACCTTTGCTGTAAAACCGGAACCGGTCATGAGCACACTGCTCACGTATGGGAAACTCTCCACTCGCTCCACAACTGCCCCATCACCAATTGGGAGTTGTGGGGGTGGAGTGTCCGATGGTACAAAATACCCAGGCAGATCCTTAGTTTTGGTGGGGCTGATGGTAAGGCCCCACCTCTTAGTGTGCAAGCTCCAGGTTCAGCAGCAGCGCCTCCAACTCCTCCTCTGAGTGAGCAACAATTACCAGATCATCGGCATACATAACATGGTTGACCAATTGGGAGCCATCCCTTGACCGCACCCGGGCATCAATCAGCCTCCCATTGTATCTGTACCAGATGGAAATTCCTCTGGTACAGCTATTGAAGGCTTCACGAATTACGTGGTCGAAATAGATGTTAAATAATGTGGGAGCCAGAGGACATCCCTGTCACACCCCAAGGTGAAGAGGGAATGGCTCCGACTCCTGGCCACGTAGTTTTACCCGGCCCTGCTCACCATCATGAAGGTCCTTAGTGATCGTGAGCAGTGGCTCAGGGACTCCGAAAGCACGAAGAACAACCCAGAGCCCAGGCCTACTGGTAGTATCATAGGCCTTGACCAGGTCAATAAAGCAGAGATGTAGGTCTTGTTGGCATTCCCTACACCTCTGCTGTAGCAGACGGGCAGATATGGCATTGGGGCCCCGCAAGCCTCTCCTCAGCATGCCAGAACCTTTCCCGGCACACTGAGGAGTGAGATGCCCCTGTAGTTAGTTGTTACAGTCTCTGCGGTCCCCCTTCTTCTTAAAGAGAGGGACCACCAGGGCATCCTTCCAATCCTGCGGAACCCGTCCAGTGGTCCAGACTGTTGTTATGATGTCATGTAGGGCAGTCTGTTCACAAACGCCACCCTCCCTCAGCATTTCGTTTGGGAGATCATCTCTTACCGGTGCCTTTCCTGGTCTCAGACTCCGGGTCGCCTTCAGTACTTCCTCAACAGATGGCACCTCAGCCAGCCACTCACAGGGGGTGACTTCTTCTTCTTCCAAATTTTGAGGCACCGCAGCCTCAGCAGGGTCATCCCCACTTTGTCCCACGATGTGTTCCAGGCTGACGGATTTCACACACTCACAGTCTCACGCTCACACACTCTCAGTGTTATGCTCACACACTCAATGTGCCACGCTCACACACTCTCAGTGTCACGCCTGATGCCCCCTCCCCCACATTCGCCCTCGTCAATCTTCTGCCTTCACAGTCTCACCCGGTGACTCTCCCAATCTCACTCTCTCATTTGGATTGTAAAGCTTTCGTGACTGCAGGGATTCATATTCTTGGTTCTTTCGGTAAAGCCACGTAGAAGGGAAATAATAAAATAATAAAATTTTACATTATACAGTAATAACATTCTCACGACGTTTCGGCCACAATGCAAGCAGCCGTCCTCAGGTGAAGAACAGAGCTGTCGGAAAGACAGCATCCTAATGAACACTGCTAAGCATAAAATACGCTGCCAAGCTTAGCAGTGTTAATTAGGACGCTGTCTTTCTAACAGCCCTGTTCTTCACCCGAGGACGGCTGCTTGCGTCGTGGCCGAAACGTCGTGAGAATTTTATTATGTTTTATTTTTATTATTTTATTATTTCCCTTCTACGTGACTTTACCGAAAGAATCAAGAATATCACTCTCTCCTCTCAAGTGGCTCACTTATTCCCTCGCCCAAATTTCACTCTCCCCCTGTCTGTCTGTCTCTCTCTCTCTCTCACCTCCACTCCCAGCTCCACTCCTACGCTGCATACACCAGTGGATGAGCGCGCCATGAAGGAGCAGCCCGTACTGGGCATCTGTGAAAAAGAACTCATCGGATTCCTCCGGTCCAAAATAAAGATTCAGATTCTAAACTCGCACCGACCGGGAAGGTTCGACTCCCCCCCCACCCACCGACTCAAGACACGAACCGTCAGTCAGTGGTGCTGCTAGCCAATTGGGGAGCCTCAGCAGACCTCATCTTGTGGGCCCCTCTCCCTTTCAATTAAATTCCTCGTGAAGTGACGGAGATGTTAACTACCTCGCCTGGTATGGGGGAGGTCGTGGGTTCGATCCCGAACCTGACGCCTGCTGCTGTATATTTGGAATTTGCGTCGCTCTTTCCCCGTGGTCGCGTGGATTTTTCTCCGGGTCCTCCGGTTTCCCCCTCGAAATTTAGAATCAACATCACGCGTTCATCGTATTTGGCTGCTACTCATTTCCACATGATGGAAAAGAGCGAGATCAGTGGGCCTCACCTGGTAAAATAAAAAATTGCAAAAAATAGTTGAATAGTTGAACGTGTGTCAATAAAATCGATACACAGGCAGACCTCGCTTAGCACTCAAGATGCGCTCCTGGAGAAGTGAGCGCTAATCGAACCAGCGCTAAAAGAGGTCGTCCTACCACAGAGCTGGTGTGACAACACCACGTGTGCACAGCAGAGATATGGACGAGGCGTGCGAGGTTTCTAAGACAGACGCGTGGCGAGATGGACAGGGATGGCAGACAAGAGACGGAGGTCAGATTAACACGTAAGGCTTTCGCGACCAATATTATTCAAAAATAAACGTTTTTGGGTTAGATCGCGTTATTTATAAATGTGCCGTAACCCTCCACCACCCGACCACAACATTTACAATGTTTCGCTCTTCAACACACCGGTGGGCTAAAGCAGTGAACTATTTGTCTTTTGTCAACGTGACACTTTTTTGCTGATTGGCCGTGTCGAGTGGTGGAGGGTTACGACACATTTATAAATAACGCGATCTAACCCAAACACGTTGATTATGAAGAGACGGAGGTGTATGCGAGAAGGGAGATGCCGTCAGCATTGCCGTGTAATGAGATTTCGACGTAAGCTGGAGTTGGTGTGATTGATGAACACAGTGAAATCAACTACAATATGTATATACTGTATATAGATGTACTGCTCATGGATATCTGCCAAAAAAAACTTATCGAGATTTAGCTTATGACTTTACTGAAAGAACCAAAGAGTATGGATTCCTGCAGTCACGAAAGCTTCAAATCAACAATAATATTAATTATAGTAATAGGTTTTTACCCTTTCAACTGGTACAAAAACTGACACCTTTATACCAATCAACTTTAAGGACAGTGCATAGCATTATCATCATCAGAGTTGTTTCTTTTTGTTTGCATTTTGACTGCTTGTGTTGTGGTTATTGCAAACATGATGCCTTGTATAAAGGTGTCAGTTTTTGTACCAGTTGAAAGGGTAAAAACTTATTACTATATTTTGCCACTGGTAAAGGAGGTCTCATAGAATAATATTAATTGCTTATTCATACAGCACGATGCTTTTGTTTGTACTCTCACGGAGATTTGCAACGCGACCACGAGAGGGGGCTAACCACTCACAACCATACACAACATGCAGATTTATCCAGCCCTGTAAACGTGGCCACATCTCAAGGCGCCGGATAGAACGAGCTGGGTGCAGTGAATTAACAACAAACATGAGAAGAGGTTTCCCCCTATTTTCTGGCAACAAAACAGGTGTTAAGATGTTAAAACACCAAACTGAAACCTTTTACAAGGAATCATGTCTGCATTCACCACAATACTTGTGGTCAGAATGCAAACAAAAAACATACTCTGATAATATATGCATTGTCTTTAAAACTGATTGGTCCACACCTGAAACAGCTTTCTTTTGAGCCTAGTCTCATAACGGTGCGAGACCAGAGGACGCCAAAAGGCGTACAGCACAAAGACAATGCACTATCAGGGTAATGAGAGCTCGGGGTGAGCAGCTACATCATGGGACCTCCTTTGCCAGAGTAGCACATTAGGAATGGATCACTCTTTTAATTATATCCTTGTGCAGCAAGGGAGTAAAGTGTGGTTTTGTGAAAGTCCTAATCAGTCCCTCCAGAAAAACGCGGAGTTTTTTGGTGATTGTTGCGGGCAAAAATCGTTGATTATGCGGCACGTTTTCTTAAAAAATGCGATGGAATATGCGGGATATTTATGCAATTTTATGCGATTAAATTGCGGGAACTTGCAAAAACTGCGGTTTGATGAAAAAGAGAAAAAAAAAGTGATTCCCCCAACACCCTATTCACTAGGCTACTACTTTAATGTAAAGAGTCATTTCTTATTACTTCCTATGATAAGCAAGCATACTACATCACAGAAAGTGCTGGGAATATTTAAGTTCTCATCTTGTTTTATTTCAGACCTTAACAAACAGATGGCTCAAACTTACAAAACATTGAGTCGAACAAGTTCTGTAGCTTTACAAAATGAATATGCTACAACTTCTGTAAAAATGAATAAATAAAATATTAAAAAATAAAATGTGTGCTTCCTGTTTTACAGAGGTAGCTATACAAAACAGACATCTTCTGTTAAAATAAGTGTTTTCAGTGCACAGTAACGTAAGCAATACAGTAACAGTACAGTCTTACAGTAATGTAAATTTACATGCTACTAACAAAAAAGTGCAATCTTACAACTGTAAAGTTGCATAAACTCTTCATCATGGTTTCATTGGCATCGCGGGGTTTGCAGCTTTTCAATGATGTCGCGTAATGAGTGACGTCACTTCATAACGTTCCCATGGCAACAGGGGAAATGGCTGCGCTTGTGTGAAGTAAACGCAACATTTTTCAACTTTCTGCTAAGATATATGTGACTTTTTGCAACGAAAATGCGGGGATTATGAAATCATGCAAGCCCGCATATTTTGCGCACGGAAATCTGCAATTTATGTGGCGAAAGTGCGGCGTATTTGAAAAAACGCGCCCCCCGCATAAATATGCGGACTTTGGCTGATTTTGCGTGGAATCTTGCGATCGCATAATCGCGTTTTTCTGGAGGGACTGCCTAATGTGCTGTGCAGTGCATCAATGCATGTGTGTGCAGCAGCATGCGATGACCGAGTTTAGCCTGTAGGTGGCTGGCAAGGTTAATGAATAACCGCGAGGATACACCAGCCACGTGGTTAATGGCGACTCGGAATAATTGCTGTGTGTGGCACGTGCTGGTGCATTTCACAGAGTGGCGGTGCTGTTCTTCACAAGATTACTATTAACCACAATCAATGTGCTTGCCCTCGATTTGGAGCACCTGCCCACGTCCTTTATTTCGAGTGTGCAACACCAGTACCAAAATATTAGAACAGATTTCCCCCTTTTTTCTGGCAACAAAACAGCTGTGTTAAGATACTCTTAGGTTTTTTCGGTAAAGTCACGTAGGTTAAAAAATAAAATTAAAATTAATTGATACAGCAATCGTGCTGTGACGGTTCCACCTGAAGACGGAAGTTTGTGTTGCCTCCGAGACGTCGTGATTTTTATTTTACTTTTATTAATTTTTATTTTTTACCTACGTGACTTTACCGAAAAAACCTAAGAGTATGAATCCTTGCAGTCACGGAAGCTTCAAATCTAGAAGGTGTTAAGATATTAAAACACCAAACTGAAACGTTTTACAAGGAATCGTGTCTGCATTAACCACAATACTTGTGGTCAGAATGCAAACAAAAAAAACATGTTAAGTTCGTATTGTGGGCTATGTGCTTATTCAGCACCTCACTAGCTTGTATAGCCAAAGGTGACCAACTCAGGATGATCTCGTCACAGTAAAACTCTTTAATTATGGCCAAATATTGTTCAGTTTTCTACACAACGTACACCAAACCCTTGCCCATTGCGCGGGTTGCGTTCTTGAAAGTAGCCGCAATCATCAAGTTCGCGCTCCGCAAATTAAAAGGCGAATGGGGACACCTGCAGGGTTTGGTTCACGTTTCACATGTTGAACTTCTTTCGCACCGTACGTAGCCAACCGCGCTAATCGGAAATGCGGGGGATGAACAGCAACCTATTAAACACAAAATGCAGTTCTAAAGAAATTACAATAGTTTCAAAATCTAGATTTCAAAGTTCGTAATACGACAACGCAATCCCTCCTTTTGTTTGATGTCACCCTACATCAACGCAAACATTACACTGGAAGTATTTTGAATGCGAAAATATGATTAATATTTTCTCGTGCTAAATGTAACTTTTACGGTAAAATGTAGGGAAATTAAAAAATTTTGATTTCGTAACCTCACTGCCTCCTCGCTTGTAGGCAGTAGCCTTGGACCCGCGATGAGCCACGTGGGAGACGAGTTGGAGACGCGTGTGTGCACTCCTCCTCATCATCATCACGAGCAGTGCAGCTAAGGGCACCTTGTATGCAGCAGCAGCAGCAGCACATCTTGACGTCGCATTCTGTCAAGGAACCTCGCGGTCAACCGCGAATTGGCGAGCAGCCACGGGAGGGCGCTTTAGGCGAACTGCGACACTTCTGACCACATTCTAGATTTGAAGCTTTCGTGACTGCAAGGATTCATACTCTTAGTTCTTTCGGTAAAGTCACGTAGGTAAAAAATGAAATAAAAATTAATAAAAATAAAACAATAAAATCACGACGTTTCGGAGGCAACACAAGTCTCCGTCATCAGTGTGACGGTCCCACCTGATGACGGAGACTTGTGTTGCCTCCGAAACGTCGTGATTTTATTGTTTTATTTTTATTAATTTTAATTTCATTTCCGACCACATGCCAACGTTGTTGGCCTGAAGTAGCAAGCTGACTGGGCGGCTTATCTGCTGCTGGATGAAACCTCCTCCTTCGTGCGAAGACCAAGCCAACATTCTGCAAATCAGCTCGTGTGATCGCTACATCCCTATCCTCTTTGGTACTTTCGGTAAAGTCACGTCGGTATAAATATTTTCTTTTTTATTAAATATTTTATTTTATAAAATTTTATTTTATAAAATTTTATTTTATAAAATAAAATATCCATGAAATAAAATAGTTTATTTTATTAAATATTTCATTTTATTTTATAAAATAAATATATTTTTTTAGAAAATATTTTATACAATTTTATTTTATTAAATATTTAATAAAATAAAATTTCCATAAAATAAAATAGTTTATTTTATGTTTTATTTTATAACATTTTATTTAATAAAATATTTTATAAAATAAAATATCCATAGAATAAAATATATTATTCTAAAAAATTTTTTATAAAATATTTAGTTCTATGGATTCCTGCAGTCACGAAAGCTACAAATCTAGCTCGCTACATCTCTTTTAGGCGGAGGACCCATCCAGCAGCAGTGGCTTGAGCGAGCCGTTGCAAGGGCTGCACCTTTACGTCTCAGCTTTAGTTTTTTTCACGCCAAAAAAATAACAATCCGTCGCATTTTTGTTTTCATATGCAATAGATTGTTAACGCAATGATGTCACGCGGGTGAAACGTAACACCACAATGACGTCAAACCTCTGCCAATGACGCCGCGTTCACGTTGGAGAGCCCTTGGGGGATGATGCGAACGCGACTCTACCCACCCAGGCAGGGATTTAATATTCACTCTGCCGCTGCTCCTCTAGCACAGAGACGGCGGCTACAGCAGCAGCAGCATCATCATCATATAGCATCGCCTCGTGCTAATCCTCGTCATATCGCATAGACGCTCCTGCTGGAGACTCCCTCTTGCTTATACACAATAGCAATCGTCATTAATTAGTGGCATCATCATTGTATTCTTTTCATTTTGTGCGAATATATTTGTTGAGCTAGATATATATTTTAAAAAAATCGTTACATAGGACTCTGCATTATCGGAAGAAGAAAAAAATCGTAAGGGATATCTTGAGAGATTTCATATATTTTTTTGAATACGTTTAGATTCTATTTTTATTTCAATTAATCAAAAATAATTTGCTATAATTTCCCATTATCGCCAGTCGCTCGCGTGATATCGAGAGGTTATTTGATTTGTTGGCTAATAAACGTGGGGCTGGGGTGGGTGGGGAAAAGGTCGCCTCGTATCTGCGACTCGTAGAGCTCTTCGAAATCACGCGCATCTCCCGACCCCAACGACGCACGGAGGGGAGCCACGCGGACATCGGAGAGAGGCTGAGACAGCGGTGACAGCCACGAGCGGAGAGGGCCAGACAGCCAGGAGCGTGAGACAAATCCAGGTGGAAGGTCATCATCATGGATGCACTCATGAAGGGGTTTTCCATGGCCAAAGAAGGCATGGCCGCTGCGGCTGAGAAGACCAAGCAGAGCGTGAGCGACGCAGCTGAGAAAACGAAAGAGGGCGTCATGTATATGGGTGAGTGAAGCTGCCCCCCCCCAATCTCTTGTCCTGCCCTGCCCTCTTGTGTCCTGCCCTGCCATGGCGCCTCGTTGTTTAAGCTGCTGCCCCTTTGTACAAAATCGCAGCCGCATGAATAACCCACCCCCCCACCCCCCCTTTAATCCCACCACTCCCTGCCGAAATTGACAGCTGCTTGACGATTCTCCCGTGCGCACACAGATTGCCCGGCCTGCGATGTCTTACGTTGGCTGATGTACCTCCGTGCGCTGCGGTGAAGGGCTGTTGCCCGAAACGTCGACTCTATTATGTACGGCATTTCAATTGACGGCAGTTCCGGATAAATGTTGCGTTTTTTTCAACGATGTGTTACGTTGGCTGATGTATCTCCGTGCGCTGCGGTGAAGGGCTGTTGCCCGAAACGTCGACTCTATTATGTACGGCATTTCATTTGACGGCAGTTGTTCCGGATAATTGTTGCGTTTTTAAAACATATATATTTAAATGTAAATAATACAAGCATATTGCAATGTGAAAAGCAGACATCTGTAGACGTGGACGATCATTGATTGATCTAGTGATTTTAAATGTGTTCAATAGTAGCTTATAATTTGATACAGAACGCCGATATGTACATATACGTCCAGTGATTTATCAATCATGTCTAGTTAATGAATGTAATATACACAATTAGTAGACCATCGGAGCTTGGCTTAGAATTTCATAAAAAATATAGTGTAGTGTGTACATTTATACGTGCATAGATTAAACTGCCTATGTATATGTGATAATGTATATGTCGTAGCGATTAATGGCATACACCATGTATATATGTGAATATGCATCCATTGACTTATCTAATAATGTATATATTGTACAGTCACTTATTCCATACATCACGCTTATATTGTATATTTGCGTCCAAGAGATTGAATGCTATAACAGTAATAATAGTATAGTAGTAACAATAATGATGCTCTCTATTTTCCTATAAATTATTCACTGATTCTCAAGGACTTTACAGCAGGGGCCTTGAATGAAACGTGAGACAAATTCAACGTTTTAATGAGTGTGCTACACACATTAGAGATGTACAGGGTGGCGGTCCGTATGCCACGTGACCTCCAATCAATTGACCCCTAACATTGTTTGTTTCCTTTGCATAATCATTTCTACTTTGAAAAATAAACAATCGTACAACAATTGTAAGTTTTAGATAATTAAATGGGAGGGGAGGGGGTCACCAGACATCGGGACCATCCGGCACAGAATCACACGACGACACGTACACACACACAGCCTTTCTCTCAATCCACTGCTGGATGAGGGCCAATCACCCTGATGGTAATCGTATGCCGATACATACAACGATGCATGGATTTGCAATTCTATTTTGGTCTTTGCCAGATGCGATTTTTTGGTTTTTACAAAAGGTAATTTTGAGATATATATATTAGATCCTGTAATATCATTACTGGATGATTGATTATGAAAATTATGATTGCAACACTATCAATTAACCGGTTGCATCTTCATTGAATGTACGTGCGTGTGTGTGTTTCGAGTCAAAACAACATGTGTCTATATGGGTTATTGTTTAACACGAATCAGCCCAGCATAGACGACAGATGTTTGATCACCAATCCTAGCAAATATCGATTTTCGACAGACATATAGCATACACTGTGTGTGTGTGTGGGTTTGTTCCACGGGAATACCTCCCTGTGTCGCCTTTCGCGATCTGTGCGATGAAAGATTACATCTAACGATACAGTATATAACAAGGACTGCATCTAAATGAGTCGACGAGGTCGATGAGAAGACATCAATCCATCAGAGCCACAGTCGCCCCATGCATCATCATCAGTGGCAAGGACAAACAGAGGACATGCCTGGCCGATACCCAGCCAGCATCTACAACAGTAGCGCCAGCTATTGATAAAACAACAGCAGCAGCAGCAAAATAAATTGCAGCAGCGATAGCTATAGAAACGATAGCCGATATAACAACAGCAGCAATAGCAACAGCTATGTTAGTAGTAGCAGCCACTATGGCAACTACAGAATATATAACAACAGCAGCAACATCAAAAGCTGCAACAATAGCTATTGAAAGGACATCCAATATAACAGCAGCAAAGCAATATTAGCAGCTACAGTAGTAATAGCATCAGCTATGGCAACTACAGCAGATATAACAACAGCAGCAGCACAATCAATAGCAGCAGCTATAGTAGTAGCAGCAGCTATGGCAACTATAGCAGATATAACAACAGCAGCAGCACAATCAATAGCAGCAGCTATAGTAGTAGCAGCAGCTATGGCAACTACAGCAGATATAACAACAGCAGCAGCACAATCAATAGCAGCAGCTATAGTAGTAGCAGCAGCTATGGCAACTATAGCAGATATAGCAACAGCAGCAGCACAATCAATAGCAGCAGCTATAGTAGTAGCAGCAGCTATGGCAACTACAGTAGATATAACAACAGCACAATCAATAGCAGCAGCTATAGTAGTAGCATCAGCTATGGCAACTACAGCAGATATAACAACAGCAGCAGCACAATCAATAGCAGCAGCTATAGTAGTAGCAGCAGCTGTGGCAACTACAGCAGATATAACATCAGCAGCAGCAACATCAATAACAGCAGCAATAGCAGCAGTTAGAGCAATATATAACAGTAGCAGCAATAGCTTTAGAAACAACAGCATTATAAAACAACAGCAGCGGTGTCGGCAGCAATTATATAAGCAACAATAGCTATCGAAACGACAGCGGCTATATACACTGGATGAACAATAGCTACAGCAGCAACAATAGCAGCAGCAGGAGAGGCAACAGCTCTAGCAACAGCAATACGAGCAGAAGCAACCGCTATAGCAACAGAAGTAATAACAACAGCAAATATAACATCAGCAGCAGCTATAGCAAAACAAGCCACACTGGCAAAGGTAGAAGCTATAGAAACGTCATTAGAAGCAACAGCAGTAGAGCTATAGCATCAGCATCAGCTGTAGCAGTCGTATCAACATCAGCTATAGCAGCTACAATAGCATCAACAATAGTCAAGTCACTCGAGCTAAATAGCACATGGGATCATGTTGATTTCTGCACTGAGAGATCGTATTCAACAAGTTCCTTCCTGGGGGTCTAGCCCTTTCTTTGATGTTACAGTACATAAGACTTCCTGATGTTATTTTAATAAATTGTATTTTTTATTCATGAAGAATTGTTAACCATAATACAAATTACCGTTATTACCAATACCCCAATGAAGCCCTCACATATTGCTCACAAGAAAGAAATGACGCTACTGTCAGGAACGCATCTCCATGAATACAACGGTATCATGACGTCTTTTAGCACTGATTCGGTTAGCGCTGCTCACTTCTCCAGGAACGCATCTTGATCGCTAAGCGAGGTCTGCCCGTACAGCGTTTTGAGATGCAATTCTAGGAATTGCGATATCATAAATAAGTAACCCACTGTACATTGTTGTTATTATTATACAGCCGTAGCATTGCCGTAGAAGCTACAGCAGTAACAATAGCGACGGATGCTGCTTTGTCAGCAATATCAGCGGCAGCAACATCACCAGAATATGAATGCAGAGGGAATGCACTGCAATGGGCAATGCCTCTCACGCCTGTGACCCTTGGTGCGTGTCGAATGAGACGTGGCCGAGTGTGCGCTCAACACCAACGCCAACGCACCTTCAATAACATCACTGTATACGTTATACGTGAAGTATACGTCATGCGTTTTTATACAATTGTTGGTAATATCCTATTTAAGTTTATTTCAATATTATTATACAATGATCATCACCATCATTAAATACTGTTACGTTCAGCCTTGCCGGATGAAGGCCATCGGTATAGCATGCCGATCATGCATTTCACCATACTTCACCACGCCGGATCAGTGCGGGTGGGTGACATGGGACCATAGAAGTACAATACAACCACGCAATTGTGCTGCATTTCTGTCTGCTGACAAGGCAGTAACCCTGCGACAACCTGTAACAGCTGTTCTACCCATGAATGAACGGTGATGGGACCTTTCATCTAGCCTTGGACTGAACAAGTGCATGTGACTTATGAATATTATGATTTACACATCCTGTAGATACGAGCCCAGTGTATATGTGAAGGTGTTATATGCTTTATGTACATATGCTGATCCATTCTATGCCATCCCAAAGAGGGGGTTGTGTGACCATACTTCACCACGCCGGTCAGTTGGAATGATGTTGATGTCTAGTGGACATCTGTGAAAAATCGCCTTATAGCTCATCGGATTCCTCCAGTCTAAATAAAGATTCAGATTATGTAAAGGTGAAGGGGGGGCTAGAACCGGTTCAAATATCAGTTGCCACTGATGTTAGCCGTGGTCGGGAGTCCGACTTGGTTTGTTGGGCTCATCGTGCAGTGCGCTAACCACTGCGCCACCGCTCCACCCAGCATCAACAGGATATGCGGGAGCGAATATTTATAGAAGTTTAAACCTGTAAATATCTATATTCTTAGTTTTTTCGGTAAAGTCACGTAGGTAAAAAAATTAAATTAATAAAAGTAAAATAAAAAAATAAATAAAAATAACGACGTTTCGGAGGCAACACAAGCTTCCGTCTTCAGGTGGTACCGTCACAGCCACGACAGCTGTATCAAGTAAATTTATTTAACTTTTTAATGTTTTTACCTACGTGACTTTACCGAAAAAACCTAAGAATATAAACACATAGGGGTTTGCTGAAACAAAGTAATCGTACTTACGCGTCCGTGCTTAATTTGTGTTTTCGATTATTCACCTTCTATAAATCATTTGGCCGTGTCTCGCAACCCCCAGAAAGGGCATCTCGCACCCCCAGGGAGTTGCATCTCAGGATAAGAGACACTGATCTAAAACAACATTGATGCATACTCTTAGGCTTTTTCGGTAAAATCACGTAGGTAAAAAATAAAAATAAAATTAATAGAAGTAATAATAGGAATAATAATTATTATATGCAAATTATTTTGTCAAGGCGCTCTTCCCCTTCCAACCCAGCTTAAATATACGCTCCAAGCCTGGGGTGTTTCATTCAGACGCTGTCTTCTCGACAAACCTCGTCTTCACCTGAGGACGTCTGCTTGCGTTGTAGCCGAAACGTCGTGAGAATTATTTTAATGTTTTATTTTTATTATTTTATTATTGCCCTTCTACGTGCCTTTACCGAAAGAACCAAGAAGACGAATCCCTGCAGTCACGAAAGCTTTAAATCGAAAAATTCTTATTTTACTTTATTATTTTAAATAAATATTATTTTATTTCTATTATTACTTATATTAATTCTATTTTTCTTTTTTACTTACGTGACTACCGAAAAAGCCTAAGAGTATGAATCCTTGCAGTCACGAAAGCTTCAAATCTAGAATTAACGCTGATGCAATGGTCGGACTGTCGCGAACGCCACGACTGCCGCACTATGTCCAGGTGAAAGGGGCGGATACTCTTTGGTCTATTCGGTAAAGTCACGTAGGTTCAAAAAGAAATAAATACATTAAATCACTGTATCAAGTGATATAGTAATTTTGCTGTGACTGTTCCACCTGAAGACGGAAGCTTGTGTTGCCTCCGAAACGTCGTGATTTAATGCATTTCTTTTTTCACCTACGTGACTTTACCCAAAAAACCAAAGAGTATGAATCCTTGCAGTCACGAAAACTTCAAATCTAGAAAGGGGCGGAGCCTGGCAGGTTCCAAGCCCCGCCCACACGGGATGAAGGGGGCGGGGCTGTGGGCGAGCCGAGTGACGCTGCAAGGGGAATTGTGTTCATAAATAAATATAATTGTTGTTATTATTCCATTTATAGCGCGGCTTGTCCCCAAGGATCTCAAAGCGTTGTACAGGACACAGCAGCAGCAGCAGACACTCATACCGTGTCAACCCACATGGTTTACTCCGTATTCTCGTACAGGGAAATTTAGCTTTCAGGGCCGTATGGCATACAGCCGTTTCAATGCCGGGCAAATAAAAATGTGTCTATTTGTTTGTGTTTCTCCCTTGTGATGGGACTTTGTAGGGTGAACGTTGAGATTTATAATGGCACGGGGTGGCCAATAAGGTCTGAATTGGTCTGTAATAATATAGGGCACTGATAAGGGGTTGACAGGTATGGTCACAACTCAGCATGCATTTTAAAATTATTATACTCCATCTACTAAATGAACTAAACGTTCATTAAGTGGAATTGTGTTGAAATATTTTCAATTCCTGCGTGTTGTTTGTTGTCACTGATTTTGTGTTTCGCTTGGTGGCCCCTTGCTAATGAGACTTCTCCTGGTCCGACACGTCCCCCCGTTCTGCAGGAAAACCTCACTTGATACAGCAACTCTGGCTGTGACGGTCCCACCTGATGACGGAGACTTGTGTTGCCTCCGAAACGTCGTGATTTTTATTATTTTATTTTTATTAATTTTAATTTCATTTTTTTACCTACGTGACTTTACCGCTCAATTCATCCACTCACTCGGTCGCTAAGGTCACTCGCTCGCCTAGGGGCCGTCCATAAATGACGTCACGCACCTGGGGGGATGGGGGTCAGACATTTGTGACGATGTGACCAGGGGTGGGGGGGGGGTTGAGAAATGTGACGTCGCATCGAAATGCACAACTTTAAATAAATATAGACAACACGTTCTACTTAATTAAATCGACTTTTTAATAAATGTTTTCTCCTACAACATCAGAGTGCAGCGCCACATTAAATACGCACTACAATGACGATAGTTTAAAACGATTTGAAGCATCTTCTTGGTTCTTTCGGTAAAGTCACGTAGAAGGGAAGTAATACAATAATAAAAATAAAACATAATAAAATAATATAATATTTTATTACTTCCCTTCTACGTGACTTTACCGAAAGAACCAAGAAGACGAATCCCTGCAATCACGAAAGCTTTAAATCGAGATTTAAAGCATGTTTTATTTTTTTGGGGGGCGGGGGGCAGAGCTGTGTGATGTCATATTTGAGGAGGGGTTTTACTTTTTGTGACGCCGTGTGACGAGGGGGTGGGGTCAAAAATCATAAAAAAATCACGTGACGTCATTTATGGACGGCCCCCTACTCATTCACTCGTTCGCTCTCGCCACTGAGACGCATCCTGGTCTCTCGAGATCTCGCCGGGTGAAACAAAATCAACGTGAACCTTGACCTTGGATGAAATCACCGGGTGAAACTTGGGCCCTAATCCACCGCCCACCGCTCCTCCTCCCACCATCCACCCCTCCGACGGTGCTGTTAATGCCCCATTAATAATCCCTGCCCCGCCTGACACTGATCGTTTCACCTTCACGCACGACCTTGTGTGTACACGTGTTTGTGAGTCGGTGTGTGCTCGCTAAACAGCACTTGCCCCAATAGTCTGTTAAGACTATACGGGGAATCTTTGTCTTTGTGTGTGGTTTGGAGTGGGGAGCGGTAGTGTAGCGGTGAACGCGCTGCGCTACGAACCCGGCGGAACCGAGTTCGATTCCCGCTCACGGCCTGGGCCTCCCCTAGGTCGTCTCAGCCTCAAATTAGTTCCTGGTGTGGTATGTAAATATCGCTACTGAGGAGACAAAGGCGGTTAGGCGTAGTACTGGCCACCCACCCCCTCGTGTACCATGCCGGCCTTAATAGGTGCTCGCTAACAGCACTTGCCTCCAACAATTTGTAAAGGGGATCTGTCGAGAACCAGTTCAGACGTCACTCGCCGCTGATGTGAACAGTGGCCTGCAATTACATTCAGGTGGTTGGGTTCAGAGGGCATTGCGCTAACCATTGCCCCCACCGCTCCTCCTCGTGGTGGAAATACATTTGCACAAAATTGTCATTGGTGAAGAATAATAATTCATCGCTGGCTTCACAGCGCGATACACGCGCTGTGTTACGTGGAGGTCGGATGTTAGCGTTTGTTGTGCCAAGGCGACCTTAGAAATCCAATTAATATCCATGGCAACGCTTCCTTGGTCTAATAATAATCTCTCATTTCCCCTCCCCTTCCACCCCGCGATCCACACAGGCACCAAGACTAAAGAGAGCGTGGCTACGGGTAAGACGCCAGCTCCACCACCACCGCCAGCATCATCATCATTACCTCCACCACTGCCACCACAGTCACCCACCACCACCGCCAGCATCATCATCATTACCTCCACCACTGCCACCACAGTCACCCACCACCACCGCCCCCACCATAAACCACCACCACTGCCGCCAGCGTGGTCACGTCCACCTACACCACCGTCAGCATTAACCACTAACATTAACCATAACTCACTTCTTAAAATTAACCCCTATAATTACCATTAACCTCTATAATGTCTAACCATTAGACTTCACCCCCATTTCTAACGCCACCCCTATCTCTAACGCCACCCCTATCTCTAACGCCACCCCTATCTCTAACGCCACCCCTAACCCCTATTTCTGACACTGCCCCTGGCCCAGTGGCGGAGAAGACAAAGGAGGCGGGCGGCGCGGTGGTGTCGGGCGTGACGAGCGTTGCCCACAAGACCGTGGAGGGAGCCGAGAACATGGCCGCCGCCACGGGCCTAGTCAAGAAGGGAGAGCCTGGGGCCAAGGTACTAAACTACACTATTTTTATTTTACCAGGTAAGGCCCACTGAGCTATGTAGCTCTCATTCAGAAGTGACCTGGCCACAAATGATAGCTCAACGAAGTGGCTTATCGTGTGGGCATTTATAGTAGCCAAATACTCTAAATGCGTGTCGATTATAAATGTGGAAAAACCAGAGGACCCGGAGAAAAACCCACGCAACCACGGGGAGAAACACACCGCAAACTCAAAATATACAGCAGCAGGCATCAGGGTCGGTATCGGACCCACGACCTCCTGTATAGCAGGCGAGGTAGTTAACATCTCCTAGCCACTGTGCGCCACGGGGGGCCTGCTGGTCACTTTAGCCTGAGTCGGCCTAGGCGAGGAGCAGCTCCCGACGGTTGCCGCCAGTGTGGTGCGTCACAGGCCGGTGTCACGCACACGCACGATACAAAAGGCAAAGTTACCCCATGTAGCCAACATAAACCATGAGGGCAAGTGCTGTTAGCAAGCACCTGTTAAAGGTGGCATGGCGTGGTGCCATGTCCTCACCTCACCCCAACTAATCTAAACATGGCCCTTACACAACCAATACCAACAGCCACCATTCGCCTCTAAGTGTCAGTGATGTCACCATGGTGCCTGTGCCAGGCCAGATGCACTTTGAGGCCACGTGAAGCATCGAAGGCTCGCTTACAGGAGCTCACCGGACAGACCCAGGTTCACACAACCATACATATGTAGTGACTGACTCAGAGACATTAAGAGTAGGAGGCACTCTGTTTATTAAACGGATTTAACAGTCAACACTTGGTAACTACGGCTCCCAGCCAGGAGAGCTGGTAGACTACCTGACTGACGACGTGGAGACAGCCCCCAGGTCCCCTCCCGGGGCCCCTCTTATACTGTCAGCGTGGCCTGCTGGCTCTGCCCCCAGCCATGCCCCCGGCCACGCCCCCCTTCTGGAACCTACTAGCGGGTTCTCGATGTGCCCCTTCCGTGACCTTTCCTCTACATCCTTCTCTGGTCGATCACGTGACCTGCTGCCAGTCAGGGCTGCTGTAAGGGGCCATCAATTTAGTAGGTACACAAAAATCTGTCAAAACTTGACTCCTCCCCCCCCTCCCTGTACGCACGCGGACTTTTTACACCCCCCCCCCCCCAACCTGCGTGCGTACGTACGCTTGACGCACCCCCCCCCCCCCCCCCCGAATCCTATAGAACGGCCGATATTTAATCCACGCATAATATTAACGTGTTTAAGCAAACAGACAGTCCACCGCCGGACTATCAAACTCATTTGAAGGCCAATGTAGACAAATTATTATCGAGGCTTAACACCCCCCCCCCCCCGTTTCCTATGCGTACATTGTCAGTAGACCCCCCATACGCATTTGGATGAACCCCCCTCCCCCCTCCATGCGTACGTACTTAATGGATGGCCCCTGAGCTGTAGATCCCCTTCCCTGCCAGCAGTCAGCACTATGCTGCTCCGTGACTGATTCGATGTCACTACCAATATATATAACCAGCTCAGCACTGGCCCTACCAAATATCTGGCTTATATTGGCCTAATGATGTCTATGACATAATAATGATAGTTATTATTGATTAATTATGGCTATATAGATATATCGATGCTATGCTTGGATGGATAAATTGTGTTGTTGTTGATAGCTGGATGGATGTATGAAGACGTCAACGGATAGATCGTTGATGATGTTGACGATGACATCGATGATGATGATGTTTACCGGGCAGCGCATGCCTGTAATCCTCCAGCACTGGAGGTAGCGAGGGATGGTAGATCGCATGTGGTTTTAGTTTGCTATATGTATGTATGTCGAACTTATTTCACACCGTACGTAGCCGCGATAATCGGAGATGCCAACCATGCTAATCACACTTCCGATTAGCGCGGTTGGCTACGTACGGTGCGAAATAAATTCAAGGTACTTATACACGAAACTTCCTTCACGTGGACATCGAGGAGGTGGCATACCCTGGCCCACCAGGAGAGTACGGTGCTGCAAATGTGGACTCCACACCTGTTCCAAGTGTAGGGATACAGCGTTGCCCCCTCGCACCCGTGAGTTTTCTCCGGGCGCTCCCATTCCCTCCCGCATGTAAACACTCGTCAGTTGGCCGATAACGCTTCAATAGAGGACTGCAGAACTTGGGCAATTATTGGTAGTGCCGGCTCACCGCCTGGCTGCTACTGCTGCTGCTGCTGCCTTCCCCCTCGTCTGTGGTTCCTCCTCCTGGCAGAGGTCGCAACCGGGTAGCCGATACCCGTACCCTACTCGATACCCGGCTAACTGTCCCCGGCCGGGTACGGGTACCCATTTGCGACCCTGGTGCGGCCGGGTACGGGTACGGGTAGGCCGTGAGTCACTGGTGAGTAACTGTTTGTCACTCATTTCCCAAGTGCCTAGAATCAACCCACCCACACCTGCAACATGGCTTCATCCCAGAGGTCACAATCAGGTACCTGATACCCGTACGCCTACCCGTACCCGGCCGGGTATGGGTAGGGTACAGGTACCCGTTTGCGACCCTGGTGCGGCTGGGTACGGGTACGGGTAAGGAATCAAAACCCGTTTGCGACCTCTGCCTCCTGGCACCTCTCAATCATCCTCTCTCTCTCTCTACGAAAGCGAGCGTTACGAGTTGACATTCTTCTTCTGCTAATTCTCACAACGGTGATGTGTCCCCCACAGCCCGAGGGCATGCCCGAAGGTCACATGGAGGGCATGAGCAGCCCAGAGGTGGAGGCCGCGCACGAGTACACGGAGGAGAACCAGTACGACTACGGCGAGGTGAGACGACGGGCAGTGTGATAAAGTACGGTCAAATAATCCGACGATGACCCAACCCGTGCAGGCGTGGTGGGGATACCCCCTCATCCAGCAGTAGAATGGCAATTGATGCGCTGCAGATGTACACTACAGGTAAACATGGCATGGTTAAATGAACGTTCTAATTGGAGGCCTGAGCACGGATGTTGCACGGTGAATAAAGTAATAGCTAACGTGTGTTAATTAGGCTCATTAAGTTCCGCTTTATCTCCACGTCTCATCAGATGTTTTCCTGTGACCTCGTGCACCTCCCAACGTCTCCACCACCTGTCCCCCCCCCCCCCCCCCCACTTCTTCCCAATCATCTTGCCCAATCTCCCCATCCCACCCCGCAGCTCCGGGCACTTAATTGTTTAAATTAACCTCCTGGTCAGTGGCCACGACTCGCAATTGTCACGCGCGTGGAATCACGGAACGTGGATTCATAAATTATGTATGAACTCGATTCTTGGAGCATTACGGATCCCTGGACGGGGAAATTTACCGACCTGTCCCTACAGCTCAGAATCATAATCTCTATTTAGACTGCAGGAGAAATCCGATGAGCTGTGAAGCCCTTTTTCCACAGATGTCCAGCATTTTTCCAACAGTAAATTCGACACGGCGAAGATAGGCCCCTGAACGATTATTGGGTAATGCTGGTATGTGACTACGCGCTTTGAAAAGAGGGCCATTGCCCGAAACGTCACCGATTATATTATCGCAGCGTGATTGACGAATGTGTGGAGATTGCCTATCTCCGCATCGACGTATTGAGATCAATTATCGCGCTCACGCCGCGTGCATCCAACTGTGCCCCATGAGAAAGGATCACTCCAAACGCATGCCGATTGCATTCAAGGGTTAATGTTGCATTTAGGCTAATGGAGTGAACAAAACTCTACAAAGCGAATGAAGTCATGTTTAGCTTGCTCTCTTCAGTTCTCACCCAGTTACAACATAATACAGTACTAGTAGTCTCATATATTTACTTTGAGAATGCATTTATACGTGGCTATTACACAGTTAGAGCGCCAGATACACAAGACAAGCAAGTTGATAATTGTTTTTTTACCCTTCTATCTGGCAACAAAACTGACACCTTTTTTTACAAGGAGTCATGTTTGCATAGACCACAATACCTGCAGCCATAATGCAAACAAAAAACATAACTCTGATAATGTATGCACTGTCCTTGGAGTTGATTGGTCCACACCAGAGACAGCTTTCCTTAGAGTCTAGTCTCACATGGGTTGGACCAGATGACGCCAAAAGGCGCACAACTCAAAGACAATGCACCATCAGAGTATGAGAGCTCGGGGCAAGCCATTTACACCATTGGAACCTCATTTGCCAGTAAAAAATATTACTGGCAAATGTCTTGTCTCTTCTCACAATTCAAGTTCCTAGAATCAACCCACCCGCGCCTGCAACATGGCTTCATCCCAGAGGTCAGAATCAGGTACCCGACACCCGTACCCGGCCGGGTACGGGTAGGGTACGGGTACGGCCGGGTACGGGTACGGGCACGGGCACCCGTTTGCGACCCTGGTGCGGCCGGGTATGCGTACGGATAAGGAATCAAAACCCGTTTGCGACCTCTGGTGCCGGTTGAGCCGCCCAGAAAACGGAGAGCTTCAAGTGGAGTGCGAGGCGGTATAGGGGCCGTCCATAAATGACGTCACGCACCTAGGGGAGGAGGGGTCAGACGTTTGTGACGATGTGTGACGAGGGGGGGGTTGAGAAATGTGACGTCACATCAAAATGCGCAACTTTAAATACATATAGACAACACGTTCTACTTAATTAAATATACTTTTTAATAAATGTTTTCTCCTACAACATCAGAGTGCAGCGCCACATTAAATCCGCACTACAATGACAATAGTTTTAAGCGATTTGAAGCGTGTTCTATTTTTTTTGGGGGGGGGCAGAGCTTTGTGACGTCATATTTGAGGGGGGTCTGACTTTTTGTGACGCCGTGTGACGAAGGGGGGGGGGGGTCAAAAATCGTCCTAAATCGCGTGACGTCATTTATGGACGGCCCCATAGTGAAGAGCCGAGCAGTGGCAGCCCTAGGCCAGCGGCGGAAATTCCACGTTCCTATGCCAATGACGTTAATGCTACTACTGCTGGTGATGCTGCTGCTGCTATTGCTACTGCTAAGATGTCGTCTCCTCTCTGTGTTCTCCTGCAGGATACTGAGCAGTCTGGAGGCATGGAATGACCGCTGAACATCCGGACCCCCCACCCCGATCCCTTGATCCCCATCGCTGCCCCTGCCTGTCCTCCTCTCTTCCAACGTCGCCCCCCCCCCAACTCACCCCCACCCCCAAATCACCCCCCCCCCATCCAATGCTTCCCACGATAACCGCTGCTCCGACAGAGGAGCGACCGACAGAAGAAGAGCGGCGACGCGTCGGAACGAGGATCAACAAAAAAACGAATCGGGGAAACGACGACAAAAAAAAAACCTTGAATGGAAAAAAAAAACATTCAATTGTGAACAAAAAAAATGATTCCACTGAGTAACTTCCACATTCATAGTGCGTGTCGTGGACGTGAGATGTTGTGGTGTCTCCTCCATGTGAGTCATGTGTGTGATCGTGTTTGCACGTACGTGTGTGTTTGTGTGTGCCACGTGTGTGCGTGCGTGTGGATCAAAGTGGTGTATGTTCTGAGACTCTCTCTGTCCATTGGGGTGGGGTAACCGAGGTCGTGGGTTAAGGGGGGGAAGTTTGCCTCCCGTAACCTTCGAACAGTTGGGGGAGGGGGATACATCTGAGCCCTCCTCCATCACCGTATTCTCCACATTATAAAACGACCCGGGGAAAAAGACGCGCCCCACACTCGCACACGATGTCGGTAAAGTGATACCGACCTGGTCACACAAACAAATACTTAGATTCCCCCTATAGTCGTAATAGAGTGGAGGGGATAAGTGCCGTTAGCGAGGACCTACGAAGGCCGGCACGGCACACATCACTCCAGGTACTCAGTTGAGGCTGAGTCGACCTAGGAGAGGCACAGGACCGGTGCAAGTAATTGTCACGGGTGTTGGCCGTGAGCGGGAATCCAACTCGGGTGGCAGGGTTTGTAGCGCAGCGCGCTAACCGCTACCTCGCCACTCCCAAAATTCCGCGCACACACACTCACCTACTGGGTTCTAAAGGTGCATTTCCAACTTTTGCTACAGGGGAAAAGGTGCGTCTTATAGTCCGGAGAATTAAGTAAAAGCCACCATGGGCCTCCTTTACCACTCAACGTGGGATCAGAATTCAAAATCTTTAGACTGGAAGAATCCGATGAGCTATGAAGCTCTTTCACGGATGTCCAGTAGGGGCAGGGCAGCAAGTTACAACAACAAACTGCACAAAAACACAATCGGAGTGCAAAGTATAGGAAAGCTAAGCAAGTCACTAACATTTCGATTGAAACCTTTCGTGACTGCAGGGATTCATGTTCTTGGTTCTCTTCTACGTGATTTTACCAAAAGAACCAAGAATAAGTCACTAACATTGACGAAATAAAGTACGTTAGGACAAAGGATGACCCTCTTCCCCACAACTTTATTACCACCCCAATGAAAACAAAATCATTCCCATGCGACAAATAAAAAAAACAACGTTAACAGAAGCACAGATTCACATCTCGGCACTCTTATCGGCGTTTCCACGATGCCCACCACGGCGCGCTGACACAATTCATGCATTTGTTGATCGGGTTTGGCCAGCTATGAAGTTGTCTCATCTCGTTATTGTCATACCAGGCTGCGTTTACGTTCTCTTTCTTAAACGGATGCTTACGTTGGAAAGGTTTACAGTATTTTTGCCACGAGTATGTGTTTGTATTTTTTTTATGTTATTGCAGTTGTACAAGATGACCGATTATCTACAGCGTTTTAAAACGGCCAAGGCAAAGCGGTTTCCGCACTTCACTCAGCGGGCTTCGTCTCTCGTTTACAGCTCCTCATCCGGTAGAAACCCCTCGAGCATCTCCCTTAGAACAACCACCGTTGAGATTCCCCACGCTAAGTGGTGGCTATTTTATCGACCCCGGCGGGATGATGGGCCGAGTTTACCCCCCCCCTCCCCCACGACTGCGACTTGAAATTGCTACTTTGTGACCGCAAGTCGCCCGCTCGCAGTTCAGCACCCAACTGCTCACGCTCCCAACATCGGCCCAGAAATTGCAAAATGTATCTGGGCCATTAGCACCTGAAACCTGACGACGAATGTTTGTAAACTCCTTGTACGTTACATTCCTTGGGCAAGAGCAAACCGAGGGTTAAGATTAGACCCAAAACGGAACTTTAATTTCCTCCCCGAGTCTGCGACCCCGTTGCAATATTTCTGCACAGCGGCACAGCACATCCCGTGTGCCTCCCGCGACCTGCCCCGTGGCTCCCGCTGGTCACGTGCCGTGCTTCAGTCGATCTCGCCAGCCACGCGGTAGAAATATTCGGCGAGAAATTTAAGCCCTGGCTATTGCCACGCTTACGAGAGGACAATTGTCCATCGCCGCTTAAGAAACCTGCGGCGGAACCCCGGGGCTGCCCGCCTGAGCAACATTCATCCGGCTTCTTCCGTAGGGGAACATTTGACGGGCTCCAGGTTGCAGTCGCTGCTGTCCGCGCGTGAGGGTTTCGGGGTCGCGTTTCCTTCGCTCAGCTTTGCCGAACTTTCCTAACAGCACAATCGACGTGGAATTGGTGACAGAATAAGCTAAACCGTTAACGACTTATAGGGAAAATGTCACAGACTTCAGGTATATATCGGTTTGGAGAGCACAGCACAATATCAGGACTGCGTCTGTTATTTATCGAGTTGTGTTGTTGTTGGTGTATGTTCATTTCACTTTGTGTTGTATCGTCGCACTTTTATATCGGCTGACGCTTGACTTCATAAGGCTGCGGTGACACTGAGCGGTAGGGCTGAGATTGGCTGCACTGCACTGATGAGTTCCAGTCGGGATGAAACCCAGTTTCCCAGTTCCGTTATTCTGCTGCCGTTGCCTGAAGATAAAAAACCACCACACCCCAATCCATGTTGAGCTTGGTGGCCGTCAACGGCTGTTACGTGGAGCTTGCGCGAACGTTGCCATCAATCTCGGCGTGCAGGGGACGCGGGGATTTCTCTTGTGCGTTTTTAAAAAAAACAGCTGTTTGCCAATATTATCATTTCGTATCTGGCTTGCGCGAATATAGATATTTACGGCCGATGGCATTTCTCCATCACGCTACAGAAAGCGAGCGAATGTGTTGCGAGTTAAATGACCGCGTCCGTTGCCCCCTTAGGACGCCCGCGATTCCTGCGTTAGCCTCGGCACCTCTTCGTGTAAGCCGGGTGGCGAGAACTCCAGAGAACAGGACAGGGAGTCGTCTCACTTGCAAAGGTGAACTGGGGGGGAGGCGGCGGTGGTGGGGGGGGGTCACCAAAAATGACAGGTCAAACGAACACGGCCCACCGCAGCAGGACGCAGCGGCGATGACTTTGTCGAAGGTTCTGCGCCGCGTGGCCTTGTGTCGTCAAACTCGTGCCGACGAAAACGACGCGTTGCGTTGCGTCTTCATGGTCGAAACGCCAAAAAGAAAAACATTCGTTTGGTATATTTACACGTGTGTACATTTATCTTCGAACTTGTATATTTGCTAAGTTATTTTTTATTTACGTATTATTACGATTGATGACACACACACACCGTTAATGGTATGCGCCCACTCAAGAGACACGGGAGTGATCCGTCTGGCGAATTATCCATTGATTTCCTCCCCTGAGCCCCGTTTGCAAAGTCGTTTTGATTTGTCGCGCGTGCTGTTGCTCATACGCGATGCGATTTGTCTCATCGGCGTGGAGCCGTTCTTGTTGTTACACCGGCTCCAAGCACGGATATATCAACACAGTGAGCTCTGCATTGCGACAGCGTCTCCTCCAAATACCGGGGCTCCACCAGGGAGTAGGTAGGCATGGCCCACGGTATATCCATTTCCCTGAATCTAAAACTCCGTTATTTCCACAAAGAACCAAGTTGCGCGCACATTCGCAGCTTATTTATCTTGTTCTTTACAACGATATCTATGTAGAAATAAAGTCTGGTTCTCCTATAACGTGGTAGTTGCGTTCCCGAAGAACATCGCGTTATGGAAAAATCTCGTTATAATAATTAACATAGGTTAAAGCACAGTCCGAGATAACACGTGAGATGGCTATGCAGGCTGAACATAAAGACTGATGCGCGTGGGTAGCATCTAGAAACATCCAGCAGCATCCCAATGCCTTGTGCGATGCGACACCGAGGCAGCTGTACAGCCGCTTATTGCTACTTGCGCGACGTGGTTCTGTTCGATCAATCGCGTTCTATCCAATTCGTAATCCGCGTTGTAGAAAGTGTTCCCGAATACATTCATCGCGTTATATCCAATTCGTGCTATGAAAACACGCGGCGTCATAGGACAGACTGTTTCTAGGAAGCAATACGAGAGGTTCCAAAAGCACACGCACACATCAATGAAGCTGCCACAAACATCACAAGCCAATGCTGGAAGGCACGGTCTGAGGACGTGGTCACGATGCAGGACGGGACAGTGCCTGCCCGGCAAGTGGACACGTGCCAGACAACGAGGTATAAAATAAATCAGGACGTTTCGGGCGCATCACCTGATGACGGACGCTTGTCTTGCGCCCGAAACGTTGATTTATTTTATTTTATACCTACGTGACTTTACCGAAAGAACCAAAGAGTATGGATTGCTGCAGTCACGAAAGCTTCAAATCAAGATTGAGTCACCATGGCTTTGCACGCTGTTAATTTGGTGAGCGTTGGGAGAGCTACATTTTAAAAAAATACATGAGGTTGTTATTGGGTTAGATCACTTAATATAAATGTGTCGTTAAACCCCGCCACAGCCAATTAGTAAAGTTTGTCACGTAAACAAAACGTGGCCAATTCGTTACTAGTACAGCACACCGGTGTGTTGGAGAGTAAACCCACAACATTTACAATTCGAGTACCACGTTTCCGTCGGTAATTACAGCAACCAGTCTCATCAGGCGACAGACAGAATTCTGGCCAGCGGCACATTTATATTAACGCGATATAACCCAAAAGCAGCCTCTATTGTGGATAAAATTGGTCGCCAAATTTGACTTGTGTAACAAGTATAACCCATAAAAACAAAGTTTTTCACTATAAATCCTTTATATGCGTGGCGGCTAGAGTCCTCTCGTCCTCTGGCTTGAGATGGCTGCCACCTATGGGTCAGATGATGCATGGCAGCATTAAGCAATTGGTAATTAAATATAATATTTTTGTCCTAGAAAGTGTAAAATTTTGGAAAGAAATTTTCACGAACATTAATTGTCAAGCACAACGAGTCTACGTGGAAAATGTCAGCTCGATTGGATCACGGGAAGTGGGTTAAAAAAAGACGCACGGTCCTAAGCAAGTGAACTTAATCTAAAGGATAAAAAAAAATTGTAAGTATCTTTTCCGGCTATTTCGACGTCCCACAAAAAAACAAAACCCAACATTTGAGACGCGGGACATTGCACCTTGCCGGCCCATGTTATTTGGAAGACGCGCTGTGTAACATCGCAGACTACGGCTCCAGATATAGACGCGCGGGGAGAGGGGGGTGGGTATCTGCGATACACGCAGTAACTATGTCGCCTAACTCGAGAAGACAAAACGGTGGCGGCGAGGAACCGCGGGCGTCTGCAAGAAACTCATCGCGTTCCTCAACGACACCGTGGCCTGAAAGAGGAAAACAGTCCATCAGCGGGTGACGCTTCGGGCAATGCTCCTTCGTCACGTGTTGTCTATAACGTACTGTTCAGTTTAAGGCCGCAGTGTTATTGACGAATGTATTGAGTTTGGTTTGCGTGGGTACCACTGCCAACGCAGAATCGCACAAATCATTATCATGTGGTCATCTCCAAGGCACGCGCACCACCTCTTGGCGCTCGGGGGTATTTATAATGGGTACACAATCGCTTAGGTTGACGCCGAATCATGCCAGGTCCTTTACGAAACGGATGTGCGTTTGGATTGTGCAATTTCACAACACCACCTTGGGGGTGGGTGGTCTGAATGGATGTTTTGTCTCCCCCACCCCCCAGACATCCAGTGGTACATTCCGAATTCAAAGCACCAATGCCTGCCCCCATTGGCATCGCCATGCACGTGGGTTTTCCCAATAGCACCCGAGGGGGTGGACGATATATTTTCCGTCCTCGAAATGACCGAGTCTCAGGACAATTTTTCGAGGGGGTTCATCAGAGACGAATTTTAGCCGGGTCTGTCAAGGGTGGGCAACACGGGAACAATATTTATGCGTCCGGCACACCACGTCCAGTATACGCCGCCTGTCACTGGCTGTGCCTGCCTACGACGACTCCTTCTCGTCACGTGTCACCTCATGCAGTCGACCAGAGACTTAAAGATATTCAGTGAGAAATGAGCAGTTGCAAACAAACACAATACTGTATACACGTAAACGTGTGCATATGGTCACACAAACACAGTAAACACGTGTGCACGTTCGTAGCACATCAGGCTTCGCACGGTTGGCTACGTACGGTGCGAAAGAAGTTCAACATAGACAAATGTAAGACAAATATCCCCGTATAGGCATTCCGATTGTTGGGGTCAATTGCTGTTAGCGAACACGCTAAGCCGAACATCAATTGGAAGGAACCTCTCGAAAGCATGTCTTGAGACTCGATAAATAATGAATGCGGCGTGACCACATCATTGGTCTGTGTTTAATCAAGGTCAAATATAAAACACGTTTGTAACGGGCATTGTTAATCATTATACGCAGGCAACTCTTCCTGAATGTCAGCCAAGACTTCTAAAGAATTTGTATTGTATCTATGGGCAATTGACAAATAACTTTTTGTATTTTGAATGTTTCACTTATTCTGCTTTTCCAATGTTTTTGTCAACAACATTTGTTTATTTTTGTTTATCACCGCCGCGTGGGTTGTCGTGGGCTCTGCTGATGTTGTTTTGTGCCGCTCTGTGTGATGTCCACCACGATGTACGACGTTTCGGTGGTCGTGCCTGCGATCTGCGTTGAATGCAGTCCACCAGAACTTTACCCGATCCAATTTCAGTTCATGAAAAACTTTAATCACATTTTCAGTTCCGGAACAGGCGAAGCTCCCGTGCATGCGGAGTGAAACGTCAGACATCGTGGTGAACAACACCGCGGCAGACCCCGAAAACAACATTGGAGATATATTTATTTTCAATGTTTGAGGATACGGCGTATTTCCCCATGCCCCCCCCCCCTTCTCCATGAAGTCAAATTCTAAATCCACCCCCCACTATGCCTCTCAAGTGGCGGGGATCTTGCCAACGATGCCACCCTTCGTGACGAAGTGAAATCGTGCACCTTACATACCCGTATGTGTGTGTGTGCGTGCATTTCAAAAGACAAAGATTCCCCGCATAGCCTGCTAGAACCATCGGGGCAAGTGTATTTAGCATTTGCGAGCACCTATTAAAGGCCTCGCGGATGAAACGCGCTCGTGTCGTGGGCGCGAGTTCGATTCCCGTGCCACGGCTACCATCAGTGGCGGGTGATATCCGGACCCAGTCCTGTAATCAGCACCACATCCACCCAGATGACTTGGTCTCGCCATTGCTAATTTCAATTACCTCGCCGTATCAGGTACACATTTTTTATGGGCCGAGTTGACCTCAACGATGCCCAGGCTAGGGCATCATTTCATTGATCCGGGGTTCAACATCTATGGAATCGATGTTACTGTATTGCATATCCCGCGATGCTACCACACAGTCGTGAAACGGTCAGCAAACTCGACTATCGAGACAAGAGTCCACCGGTTCAGCACGGCAGCTAAACCCACCCACCCCTCCCATTCCTCACCCACCGCATGTCCACCCAGCGGCGTAGGAAATGGGGTCACCGTAGTCGAGTGGCAAGGTCACGTGGTCGTGGGGCAAAGTGTGGTTTACTCCCACCTCCACCACCACATTTGGCCAGCATGAAAGAGTAGGCCAAAGTAACCACCCCGTCAGGATGCTCTCCGACTCCCTCTCACGGAGCCTCTTCCACCAGCAGTGACCTCGGAGCAATGCAATTTCGGGGCTGCACCTTTTAACCCCCATTTTTTTTTTTACTTGGGTCGCCTCTAGGGAGACTCGGCCTTAAACGAGTACGGTACTTTTTTTTTAAATCGCATGTAAACATCTGTACTGGGGAGACAAATGTGGCTGGGCACCGCGAGATTGTGACGAGACCTTAATCGTTGCTCGCTTTCAACAGAGGGCATTGCCCCTACACCCCCATAGGCGAGGCAAGGAGATACAGGGGGACTTGCTGTATGTGTCGTGTATGTATGCCTGCGAGTCTGTGTGTGTGTATGTACGCACTCTGGTTGAACAGCGATGTTCCCCGTGCAATCCTCTCTCCCGTTGCGTGATCGTGTCCCGTTCAGTGCCGTCTTCCTCCTCCTCCTACACGACGATCTTGCGAACACAAATTCTCCATCCCTCCAGAACTTCCTGCACCTCCCCTCCCTCCATCCATATCATCATCATCATCCTCCTCCTCCTCTTTGGCTCTCCGTCTTTCACCGTTGTTGTGTTTCTGTTCAATAAAGATTGCATTAGATTGAACATTGTAGTGCGAATGACTCATACGAACACCTTCGATATTCTTCTTGGTTCTTTCGGTAAAGTCACGTAGAAGGGAAATAATACAAAGGCGCTCTTCCCTCTCCAACCCAGCTTAAATATACGCTGCCAAGCCTGGTGGTGTTCATTCAGACGCTGTCTTTCCGACAGACCTGTTCTTCACCTGAGGACGGCTGCTTGCGTTGTGGCCAAAAAGTCGTGAGAATAATTTTATTATTTTTTATTTTTATTATGTTATTATTTCCCTTCTACGTGACTTTACCGAAAGAACCAAGAAGATGAATCCCTGCAGTCACGAAAGCGTAAAATCGAAACCTTCGATATTATTTGTTGTGATGTACCGAAGATGAAACTTGAGATTATTACAATTGCATGCCTTGTACATTCTAGGAATACAAATCCCAATGACCTCAAGCATCCCGTTAAAAATCACGTGGCTTGTGTACCACCCCCTCCATCTACTTCGTCATGATGATGCACTCCCAAAAGGCCATGTGTGGCCGATGGGTCTGTGCAAGAATTACTTTCATTATTGAAGTAGAATCGAATATTTGCACGAGACCTTGCTTATTTAATTGTGTTGCAAAGACAAAGGCGCCTGTGTTGAATCTTGGCAAGGCAGTCACTCACCTCGAATGGCCAACACCACAAAACACAAAACAACCACCACCACTTTGTTGTAAACGCCCTTTATTTAAATCATTCCTTTATTTTTTTCCTCATACATTCCAGGTGATTTTTTGCCTCGTTTTTGTTTTGAGCGCACATGCAACCCCCACTCGCCCACCCATCCACAAAACCAAACGCAACTCAACCGTTCGGAACAATGGGGGTGGTGAGGGGGGGTGTTTTGGGTGAGATCGCGTAAAAATGAACGTCGTTATCCCATTCATACTCACGCGATCCAACACCAATATCAACCTTCATTACGAATAACATTGGTCGCGAAAGCCTCCAATACAATCGGACCACTTAATGCCCAAGCTCGCCAAGATGGCTTTGCATTGCCGAACAATGAAAATGAGGTTTTCTTTATTTTCTGACAGTATCGTCACACGAAGCTCAGCTAACGAGGTATGAATCTCAGCCGGGGAACGGCGAAATATATTTCCGTACACCTTGCCCACCACGTCCAGTAGACCAACTCCCCTCTCGGGCCCACGACAGGTCACGATGCCGCCTCCTCCAGTCTATGCAAGTTCGTTGAACTTCTTTCGCACCGTACGTAGCCCACCGTGCGAGTTATTAAGCCACGGCTACAAGAAGAGTTGTCAACCGCAGTGCCCTGCTATCCGACTCTGGTACCAAAGGCCGCACACGCGCGGGACCCGCTCCAATAAATTACGCACAGACAGCTCTCACATAGGCCGTGTGTCCTCCTCGTCGTGTCCAAAAAATAACGAGAAGTTTTCTAAATGATATACAAAAAATAGAAAGACTTTAAAGTCGGTCAAACGGAGTCTCGATAGAACTCTTTGGCGTCGTCGTTGCGTCGAGGTCCGAGGCGCTTGAAATGATCCCAACAGATGTCTGTGCTCGCCAAACGATGAAAGCGGTGGTCTAATTAGCGCGGGGTTTTGTTTTCTCCCTGGGCGTTGGGCGCCATACGAACGAATCCTGTGGCCACTTGAGGCACCACCGTCGACGAGAAAAAAACCCCACAGCAGATTTCCGATCCCAATTGCCACCTCGAATCGTGAGAATTCGGCGAATAAAGCGGCGGGGGGGGGGGGGGGGGAGTCCCGCGGATGAATAGTGACACGCGCCGCTGTGACATCACGAGTGTCGTAACAACGATAGTCTGACTCGAGCTCCAACGTAGACATGTTTTGTTTAAATCATCAACATCAAGTCACCGTGGACACTGGGGATGGGGACAATGAGCCCAAGTGTCAAGTGCAGAGTTGGGGGGGGAGGGGGGGGGTACAGCCGGCTCGACACACCTTGGGGACGAGCGCCAAACCTCCGTGACGAGCGCACGAGGATGACGAGCTCCGAGCGAGACGTGAGGTGCGTTCCGTGACTTTGACGCAGCGCTAAACGACACCGCCCCCACGGGGAGCGTCGACCCAAATCGCTCAGTTGCCTGCTTGGCGCACGAATCGCTAAGAGAACGCGACGGGAAACGCGAGCGGAGCCCCGCGTGTTTGCGTCGGAGATAGGAGGCGGCATTTAGTGTTTTGTGAGTCAAACACGACGAACGCGATGGAGCGAGCGAGATGGATCAGCCTGGAGGGAGGGGTCAATGCCCACCCGCTTCGAGCCAAAGACTGAGACGGCTTCCATCACCACCCTGACCGAGATGGCTACGGACGCGGCCGCTGTGGCCGTTGCTTCGACGCGATCATCTGATCGGGAGGAGAGCAAAGTTGCAGGCCCCGGGTAGCGACGTCATCGCGGGGGTACCGTTGACGAGAACGCTGTCGGACATCGCGACCTGTGCGCGTGCACTGTCGTGGGGGCGGGGGGGGGGTTACGCGTCATGATAATCAGCATCGTAACAAAGTCCTCGCTGAAGAGGAGTAAACTGGTGAGTCCCGAGACAGCCGCGCGGCATTTGTCAGAGCCACAATAATGACGCCTTCCCACAAGCAACAACAACAACAAGTAACCCGTTTCCTCCTGCGAAATCCCCCCGACGAGAAAATCGAAAATTGGAAAATATAAAAAAAAGATAAAAGTAGGCGAGTGGCTGGATGGCTCAGAGATGGGAGCGCCAAGCCACGCATCCTGAAATCCGGGGTTTGAATCAGCGACGTGTTAAAACACAAAGTCCTCAAAAATGTAGCAAGTTGATGCTCGCAGCCCAGTCCCAAATGATTGCGTCAGATGTCTTGCGAAATTTATTTTTGGCTTTTTTTCACTTAAAATTTGGGAAATATTCCTGCATAGCACGGCACGTGGAGGGCGCAGCGCCCCCTCCTCGTGTACAACATGAAAGGATCTCAGAAGTAGCCGTGCCATGTCTGCTTCTGCGGACCGTTCTCCAACACGTCGGGCGGACGCGGTGCTCTGATAGAAGCTGCCAAGGGGACCACTTTCTGTGCATGAATCGGAATAAATGTGGTGGGAAAGGAAAAAAAAGGAAAAACATAAAACTGAAACAAACAGAAACCTGGCAGGGGACTATGCAACGTCGGCTTGCCCACCACACCACACAGAGCCGAGTGGTTGGCAGTCACTGATGTAATCATGGCGGGGGGCGGGTAAAGGAGCAGTGTTGGCACGGCGGTGCACAGAGGGGCACGGACAGCGGGAACTGTCGTGGGTCACCGCTTTGGCCAGGACCGGCATAGGCCATAAGCCAAGTGGGCCGAAATCGCTGACCGACTTGGAAAGAGGACAAGGAAGTGTTCCTTCTTGGCCAGCTGCAGCCGCTGTAACAGAGTGTCCCGGGCACCGGAGTAGTGGACGCTAGGCAGGAGGAGGCGGCCACAACGCTCGGTGCAGAGCCGCGTCACCGCCGTCGGTGATCGCGGCGCCCGCCGCTGTGCCGAACGAGCGCGAGCGTCGCGTGCTGTACTGCAAGGAGACCGAGAAAGAAACCGAGAGAGAGATACCAAGAGAGAGAGAATTCTTTGCGTTGGACAGAACCGTCGCAGGCGACGATGTTGCTGTGGATTTTTTTTTGTCGTTCCTGACACTTCGTCCTTGGAGGCGATGGACCAAGCTGGCAGGCAGGAGGGCGACCAGGCTGGTTCTCACCATTCCACGACTCGGACCCCCCACCGCCCCCCCCCCGTCACTTCCCGATCAGAAGGTGAGGCCGGCCTCGTTGTAGACGCGGAACACCTTCTCAATGGAGTTGACGTACGCCGCCGTGCGCAGGTCCAGCCCCAGGTTGTACTTCGTCGCCGCGCGCATTATTTGCTGCAGGAGCGAGGAGAGAACACGTGGTGAGCGACACGGCGAGCGAGTGGTGCGGCGAGCGGCGTGGTCGTGAGCAACGCGGCGAGTGATACGGGGAGTGAGCGAGCGGCGTGGCAAGTGAACGATGCGAACGCCAATCGGCGTGGTGAGCGAGTATCGGAGCGAGCGACGCGGGTCAACGAGTGGCGTGTCGTGGGTGGGGTGTGGAGTGAGCAACGGGACAGAATGTACGTAGAACTTCTTTCACACCGTACGTAGCCAACCGTGCTAAGCGAAGCCGCTGGGAAAGGACAGACGAAACACAAAAGCAGTTCTAAAATAAATGACTTTTCCATCTAGAGGACTTAAAAGCGCACAGCTCCAGGAGATTCCTAATATCGGAAGCAAGAGCGTTCCAGACGGCCGCAAAAGCGCATCCGAGAGCGCGCGATGCGGCGGCCGTCTTTGTTCGGCGGACGCGGCGAGAGTAGCAAGGTGCCGAGTGGGGCTCTCTCACCCGTGCCGAGCGCTCCATGGTGTAGGCGAGACCCGAATGCACGATGTCCTTTTCCGAAGCGCCCTGCACACAGACAATCACAACAAACACACATGTGCTGTGGCTGTTCCACCTGATGACGGAGGGCTTGTGTTGCCTCCGAAACGTCGTCATTTAATTGAGTTATTTTCATTTTATTATTATTATTTTCTACCTACGTGACTTTACCGAAAGAACCAAAGAATATGGATCCTTGCAGTCATGAAAACTTCAAATCTAGAAACACACATGCGTGTATACACACACACACATATATCTAACTAATCAACCAACTATTTTTTTGTTGCCACTTTTAAAAACTACGTTATAAACTATAAAAACTACGAACGTTTTTTTTTCACCAGGTGAAGCCCACCGAGCTATTTAACTCTTTTTTTCAGAAGCAACCTGGCACCAATTGCTGCCTCAACCAAGTGACTTATCACGTGGAAATTTATAGCGACTAATAACTCTAAAACGCATGTCTATTCTAAATGTGGAAAAACTAGAGGACCCGGAGTCACAGCAATGCGACAAAATATACAACAGGAGCCCAGGTCAGGATCGAACCCACAATCTCCTCCTGTATACGGTGCAAGGTAGTTAACATCTTGCCACTGTGGCAGAGCGGTAGCGCAGTGGTTAGCAAACGACGCTACGAATCCTGGCGACTTGAGTTTGATTCCTGGCCACGGCAAACATCAGCGGCGAGCGATACCACAACCGGTCTCCTACCCTCGCCACACTTCACCAACCCACACTGACCAGCATGGAGAAGTTTGGTTAAGAAAACCCAATGGCTCGTATGGCGTGGGGACAGGCCTTCATCCACGAGTGGACCGGTGGTATACAAATGTAAAAATATACATCGATACCAAGAACCACGCATTCGTCAATTACACCGTGTGGCCTCAAAAAAAAATGTAATAGCACATATATCTATATTCTTAGGTTTTTTTCGGTAAAGTCACGTAGGTAAAACATTAAAATTAATAAAAGTAAAATAAAAAAAATAAAAATCACGACGTTTCGGAGGCAACACAAGCTTCCGTTTTCAGGTGGAACCGTCACAGCCACGACAGCTGTATCAAGTAATCTCTCATTTACTTGATACATCTGTCGTGGCTGTGACGGTTCCACCTGAAGACGGAAGCTTGTGTTGCCTCCGAAACGTCGTGATTTTTATTTTATTTTACTTTTATTAATTTTAATGTTTTACCTACGTGACTTTACCGAAAAAACCTAAGAATATGAATCCTTGCAGTCATGAAAGCTTCAAATCTAGAAGCACATATATCTTGTACAAACATCTGTGACGTGAAGCTCTCTGGAAAATGGAGCGAGAAATTAAGCCCCGATTGAGAATCTACGATTTTCTTTGGCAGTACCGTGACAGATGGATGTGGGGTAGGGGATGGGCGCATCGGGAAAGGCAGCAGGGGAAGAGAGAGCGCGAGATGGTGAGGGACAACGAGACCAGTGCTAAACTCACAGCGATGCGAGCCTGAAACTCGCTGGATGGCACCACCGGGATCGGCCCTCCGTGTTTACCGAACTTGCGTTCCACGCTCTCCTGCACAGAGTCTGGAACACCGCGCACAAGGGTGGGCATGGTGGTGGTGGGGGGAGGGTCAGATCAACAAATGGAACTACAGATACAAGGAAGACAACAGCGATGTTCAAATAAATCACAGTCAATAAGGACAAGAGGTCAAAGCCAATGCTGTTAACCATCATCACTTCCCTTCCTTCTGCCAGAACCTGTAGATGTTTGTGACCTATAAGGCCTGCTCTTCACAGTCTCAGGATCACAACCAAGTCATCGTGGTTTTAGGTCTCCATCTTGCTAACATCCTTTAAGGACCACCGTTTCAGTCTCATCAACTTTAGGTTTTCACCTCAGTTACCAACCTCCGAGTGCCACTCCAATGCCTCTGACCTACCCTCAATATGCGTCGTCGTCGTCATCATCGTCGTCATCGTCGTCATCGTCATCGTCGTCATCGTCGTCGTCGTCGTCGTCGTCATCGTCGTCGTCGTTATCATCGTCATCGTCGTCATTCCATCGTCAGAGTTGCGAAAATGTCAAAGTCATGTTCCCTGGCCTGCTTACATGCGAGTGGTGGGGGTGCTGTAGTGGTGGGGTTCGGAGCGGTGCCACTTACTAAGCAGGTGATAGTTGGAGTCCCGCTCGTACTTGAAGGTGAGCCGCCCGTAGCTCACGTGGTTCAGGTTCTTGAGCCACTCGAAGTAGGAGACCGTCACACCGCCCGCATTCAGGTACAGGTCCTGAACACAAAGACAGAGACCCCCTATTGTAGCCTTATTATTATAAAAAAAAAAAATCGTGGGCAACGTTTCAGGCAAAGGCCCTTTTGCATAGTGCATAAATGATCGGACATAAAATGCTGAGCAACATGAAATGGACAATCGTTAAACTTCATCACAACCCAAGTCTCATCTCCCCTCGCTCACCACCGCTCGCTCCCCCCCATCGCACACCGGGCCACCCGTAAAAAGCACGGCCGCTTTCCCAGAATGCACTAAAACACTGCCGCCCTCCCCCGGCCTCTGTGCCATCACGTGCGTCGCCACCACCACTCACCGGGATCACGAGAACGTTCTTCTCCTTGAAGATCTTGTCGGCGAGCGGGGTGGTTGGTCCGTTGGCTCCCTCTGCGATAATCTACAAGGGGCGGGGGGGGGGGGGGTGGAGGTTACAGTTCACGTGCACAGGGTCGGGCACGAGTGGGGCTGGCAGCATTATCCACTGAGCCTGCCTTCGTCATCATCATCGTCAGTGACGATCAATCCACTTAATTCTAGATTTGAAGCTTTCGTGTGACTGCAAGGATTCATAATCTTAGTTTTTTCGGTAAACTCACGTAGGTAATAAATTAAATTAAAATTAATAAAAATAAAATAATAAAAATTACGACGTTTCGGAGGCAACACAAGTCTCCGTCATCAGGTGGGACCGTCACAGCCAGATTTGCTGTATCAAGTGAGGCAGAACTTGCATCTTGGAATCCCTGCCTCACTTGATACAGCAAATCTGGCTGTGACGGTCCCACCTGATGACGGAGACTTGTGTTGCCTCCGAAACGTAGTGATTTTTATTATTTTATTTGTATACATTTTTTTTTCATTTTTTACCTACGTGACTTTACCGAAAAAACTAAGAGTATGATCAATCCACTGCTGGAGTTTTCGCAGTAGGTGGCAACGATTGCTGCGGCTGCTGCTGCCGTGTAATTTGCGGCATTATCTTTTACATTTGGTACAAAGACGCCTGCACGCCATGTCCCAACTCTCGAATGACGTCACGGGAATCTTTAACATCCACTACGAACCAGACTGCTTGTGGTATTTGCTTAATAGTTAATAAACACCGCAGAGTTATTCAAAGCCGCTGCTGGATTCGAAACCGTGAGCCTCTACAGCAATAAGCGGCGAGCGTGCCACCACTACGCCACATGTACCATCGGGGTGCACGATTGTGTACGTGTGCGTATACGACACTTCACGTGGCCTTTAGGTGCACATAGCCTGGCACTAACGCCATGGCGACGTCACCGACACTCTGGCAAATGCCGGTTGTTGTTGCGTGCGTATAACTGCGTACGTGTCTTTGTGTGCACACGTGTGTGTGTGTATTTGCATCTGTGGTCACAAATAGAACTTATGGCAACAGCCTATCGTGCTTCATACGGGATATTTGTATTTGTACGCATGTGCACGACCACGTGTGCATCGGCTTCCGCATTTGTGCCCTCTAGCAGCACTTGCCCCAACAGTCTGTTTCAGGCTACACGAGGAATCTTTGTCTCTCGGGTACGGGATGCGTTCATTACCTTGGCTTTGACACGGTGAGCGTTGTGCTTGGTGAGCTGCTTCTCCCCTGCGGCCGGGATGAGGATGTCGCACGGCGCCTCCAGGATGCTGCCCTCGTACGGCTTTGCACCGGGGAACCCGACGATCGTGCCGTGCTGCTGCGCTCACAAAGAGCCGGCCCCGGACCAGCGGCACGCACACACGCACGCACACACACACACGCGCGGACACACACACGCACGCACACACACGCACGCACGGCACCGGATCAGAAAAATTGGACGAATCTACTTCCGGTGGTCCAACGGGCGAGTGCGCAAATCCATCTGTACGGCGCTATCACATTTCCAACAAATTGTTTGGCGATGCTGCGTCGGGTCGTTTGTGTGCACCGAAGGGCCGTTGCCAGAAACGTCACCAATGAGATATCTTCCCGTTAATGCCACGGTGTTAAATGATGAGTTCAGTTTACTACTTTTTCTTTCGTGGAGCTTTGAGCGTTATCCCCACGGACGGTGCTGGTGGGTGTTCTCCGGGCATCTCCAGCTCCCTCCCCGATGGAGCCGAACTCCCATGAATAAAACGGAATTGGCCAAGCACCTCAATGTCCCGACAAAACCTCTCAACAATTGACCCCCTCTAGCCGCAGCAGCAGCAGCAGCCCACAGCGCCTGCTGCAAAGTAGCCCGAGGTAGACTCTGCCCGAGGTAGACTCGGCCTTAAATGGGCATTGAATTTGTGGAGACGAAGGAGAGCCGGGCAGTGGCGGGCCGGTCGCACCGCTCTCCCTCGCGCGCCGTGACGCCCTCCGTTGTCGGCGCTCTCCGAGGGCACTTGACATCCGGCGGCGGTTCGCCTTCGTCAGAAACGTCACCGTTGCATCTGCGACCCGTCTCCAAGAGACCGAGAGCTTAGCTCGAGTCGGCCGTCGCTTTGTGGACGTCGCCCAATCTTGATGCGCACTCGAAGTGACAAATGCGACCCTCAAAAAGGAATAGCGCCCCCCAACGTGGTCCCCCCCCCCCCCCCCCAACATTGGCACGACGGCTGCTTTGCCGACTCCGCGTCACGAACGAATTAAACGGCACCTGCCCCGTCGGACTGGTAGAGGCTACGCGGGGGACCTTTGTGTCCGTTGGTCGCGTCAAGCGCCTCACCAGCTTGTACTCCTCCAGCGCCTTGGGGTCGATGCCCTCGGGGTTGTAGATGCTGCCGTCGATCTCTCCGACGCCAACGCAGATGGCGTCGTTTCGGGTCAGGTACCGCATCGAGTGCATGCCCACGTTACCGAAACCCTGGCCGACACGCAAAGACAAAGGACCCGCACCGTAGGGCCTCAACAAACGTTTGGGGGCAAGTGCCGTTAGCGAGTAGCACCGACGAAAGCCGGCACCGTGACACACGAGGGGGTGGGTGGCCAGCACCACGCCCGGCCGCCTTTGTCTTTCTCGTGGCGATGTTTATTCCACACCATAACAGGTACTCACGCAGAGACACACCGACAACAGCCGTCATCCATTCACCACTAAAATGCCGGTGACGTCACCAAGGCACTTGTGCCGGGCAGAAAGTCACGGGACAGACCCCGGTGCCATGGATTGAACGACTGTGATGAATGGCAGATTCACCACCCGTGCCCCCTACTGTGTCAACTTTCAGTGTTTTAGCCACCTGGTTGCTTCACTCATTGTTGTGAGTTGTCACTCTTCTGCCCTCCGCTGTTGTAGGAGGGCGACTGCATCCAACTATCCAGCAGCGTCCGTTATTAATCTCTTCCATAGAGGCCAATCTTGACAGCGCTGGTACCGATCATCGGTACCAATCCAATAATCCCCGGGCCCACAAGGTAACCCGCACGGCAACCCGCACGGCAACCCGCACGGCAACCCGCACGGCAACCCGCACGGCAACCCGCACGGCAACCCGCACGGCAACCCGCACGGCAACCCGCACGGCAACCCGCACGGCAACCCGCACGGCAACCCGCACGGCAACCCGCACGGCAACCCGCACGGCAACCCGCACGGCAACCCACACACGGCAACCCACACACGGCAACCCGCACGGCAGCCCGCACGGCAACCCGCAGGGCAACCCGCAGGGCAACCCGCACGGCAACCCGCACGGCAACCCGCACGGCAGCCCGCACGGCAGCCCGCACGGCAGCCCGCACGGCAGCCCGCACGGCAGCCCGCACGGCAACCCGCACGGCAACCCGCACACGGCAACCCGCACACGGCAACCCGCACACGGCAACCCGCACACGGCAACCCGCACACGGCAACCCGCACACGGCAACCCGCACACGGCAACCCACACACGGCAACCCGCACGGCAACCCGCACGGCAACCCGCACGGCAACCCACACGGCAACCCACACGGCAACCCGCACACGGCAACCCGCACACGGCAACCCGCACACGGCAACCCGCACACGGCAACCCACACACGGCAACCCACACACGGCAACCCGCACGGCAACCCACACGGCAACCCACACACTCATTCTAGCTGCTAGGAGAACTCAAAGCAAGGATGGAGGCGGGAGAGATAAATTTAGCCATGGGAAATCGTTGGGCTTTGACCTCCTAGTCCCTTCCCCCCCCTCCTCCCACAGTTCATTTTCCCCAAGGGGTTCGTGGCCATCCAAGTGCCTGGCCTTTGCAGCTTCGCAAAGGGCAGCTTTTTAAAGAGCTGCCTCGCAAGTGCAGCCTCCGTGGCCGGCGTCAGGGAGGGAACGAAGGTTAAGTGGAAGGTGTTACCAAAAAGAAACACCGCATCCCCCCCCCCCCCCGCCCAAACAAAAAGCAACCACATTTGTCCATTCTGTGTCCAATTATGGACACTTACAAGAGTGGCCGTGCATAAAATACTTGACAATCCACGTGTTTGGAAAAGGGGCGAGGCGCGTGGGCGAGCAAGAGAAATGCGGCCGATCGGGTGGACGAGCGGACGGGCGAGTGCGTTTTGCAAGCAGGTGTTCAGGCAGCAGCAGAGGTCGCAAACGGGTTTTCATTCCTTACCCGTACCCGGCCGCACCAGGGTCGCAAACGGGTACCCGTACCCGTACCCAGCCGTACCCGTACCCTACCCGTACCCAGCCGGGTACGGGTAGCCCTACCCTACCCGTACCCGGCCGGGTACGGGTAGGGTACGGGTATCGGGTACCCGATTGCGACCTCTGGGATGAAGCCATGTTGCAGGCGTGGATGGGTTGATTCTAGGAACTTGAATTGCGAGAAGAGACAAGACGTTGGGAAATGAGTGACAAACAGTTACTCACTAGTGACTCACGGCCTACCCGTACCCGTACCCGGCCGCACCAGGGTTGCAAACGGGTACCCGTACCCGACTGGGTATGGGTAGCCGGGTATCGGGTAGGGTACAGGTATCGGGTACCCGGTTGCGACCTCTGGGCAGCAGGGCTCCGGAACTGACAAATGTGTCGGCTTAGTAGGTGGAAGATCTAGGCGTGCGGTCCGGCAGGCAGAGACAGAGGCGAATGCACGAGTTGATGGGAAGTTGGGCGAGCGAGCGAAGCGTACCCACCTGCACAGCGAAAGTCTTGCCCTTGAAGCCGGGCGTCAGGCCCACGGAGCTCATGAACGTCGCCTCGTTGATGAAGTTCTCGATGCCGTGGAAGACGCCGCGGCCCGTGGCCGAGATGCGGCCGTGGATGCCGCCCTGGCTGATGGGCTTCCCCGTGACGCACGCGTGCGCGTTGATGTTCTGCAGGGACGCGCGCACGTGCACGGAGCCGCGTTCGTTGGTGACGCGCAGACGCAGACGCGGCCGCTTCGCGCGTTTAATATCGGCTAGCCCCACCCTCCTCGGCCGCAATCATCCGACACGCAGGTCACAACAATACGCTCACCAACTGGCCCACCTACCCCACCACACTGGATGTCAACACTTTCCCGTTCTGCTTTTTCTCTCATACCCGGCTCCACTTTGAAATTCCCTCCTATGGACCCCGCTTTCAGTATTCTCATGATAACCTTACTCAATACTCTTTGGTTCTTTCGGTAAAGTCACGTGGGTAGAAATAAAATCAAACAAATCGCGACGTTTCGATCTCAACACAAGCAATCGTCATCAGGTGGGGCAACCGCAGAAAGAAACACCTTGTGTTGCGATCGAAACGTCGCGATTTGTTTTATTTTATTTCTACCTACGTGACTTTACCGAAAGAACCAAACAGTATGGATTCCTGCAGTCACGAAAGCTTCGAATCAAGATTGAACCTTACTCAATTCAAAGAGCGTAGTCATTTTCATCCAATCCACCTTTGCCGGTGCCGTTTGTTGCTGGACCCTCAGCGATTCGGGCCTTTGGGCCTGTGTTCAGCAAACCACGATTTTTTTTTATGTAAATGGTGCCAACAGTCTCTTCATTCCAGACCCTCAACGGACTTGCCCGCACCCCAAACATCTCATCTCATTCTCCAGCAAGTCCTCGCTTAACACGCTCACGTGACGCGTTTTCGCCATAAGCACGCTTCTTCTAGGTCGGGAAAACGTTTCGCAGAACGCAGAAAACGCACCGTCATAACGCGGCTTTTGAGCAGTCGATGACAAACTACTTTCTTGAGCCACGCGGCCGAGCGGTACGGTACAGTATGCCGAGCGATACAGTACACGGCAGCACACCGTCATCTCAGTTTCTCCCACCATGGGATGACTGCAGGCTAATTTTACAGCTTAAGTGTCATTCAGTAGCAGCAATTGCATCTCCTGCTGCTGCTACAACGAGCGCGTGAAGCGAGGACTCGCCGTGCGGCCCTCCACCACACTGCTCCCTGCACATCGCTCAAGCGGGGGGGGGGGGGGGGGGGGGGGAAGGGGGGCGTCCAGGATCACTCGCCAGTGACGTGAGCCATGGCCGGGAATCAAACTCCGGTCACCAACAACAGGGTGGGCGTCCTTAAGAACCAGCAACCGTGGCATGGCTCTCGCTGCTCCCAGGTTACGTACGTTGTGCCCCATGGTGTTGGCGTACGTGTCGGCGATCCAGGACATCTCGCGCTCCCCCGTGCTCATGTCCGGCGCCGGCACATCGATGCCCGGACCTGCGGTGCCAAGCAGAGGATGAAGGAGGATGAAGATGAGGAGGAGGAGACGAAGGGGAGGGGCAATTGGGAGGAACCAGTATTGCTTGATTACAGGTATCCCCTCGCTCTATGCGGTAGTAGTAGATGCATTCCAAAAAGCGCGCAGAAAGTGTGATCACACGAGGTGATGGCTGCCTGCCAAGTAGCACGGACAGTACACACACACAATGATGGTCATACATCCGACCGCATAGCCGCATGCGGAGTAAATACAAACTTCATTATAGCGAATTTTGGGGAGAAATAGGTTGGCTGCATATCCAGTGCAAAATCGCACAAACCGGAACCCGCATAGAACGAGGGAAACCGGTGCTTGCTAGTTCAGTACATGGCTCTGTGGTACCACGTGGGTAGCAATGCTCAGGACACGTCTCCCCCGAGTCCTGGGGTAACGATGCCACTTTACACCGCAACCCACCAGTACCTCCCAACCTACGTGGGTGAACTGCCGGCGGTTCGAAGTAAAGATTCAAGAATAAAATTTCCCACGCCCCCCTTCCTCCATCTTCCCCTCCCATAAAAAGACGACGTCCCGGCTCATTGCCGTCTACTCGAGTAGGAGGGCAGCGAGCGCCCAACCGCTTTCCCCTGGAACATCTGTACTACCCTCCACCCCCCCTCGCCCAGTCGCTGGCGCTGTGTACCGGGCTCTTGTTTAAAGATAAACACAAACAAGGATTATGACAAGGAATCAAATTTTCGTTCCACATTGCGGTGAATGACCACGTCGCTAGGTCGCTGCAGGGGGTGAGGTCAACCCAGTTGATCACACGGCGTGCGATCAACTCGGCGATACCGATTTTGTTGTCCTTCCACCGCACCTCCGATTAGCACCGTTAGCTAAACATACATACGTACACACGTAATTCTACGCGTCGCTACACCCCTATTACACCCCAGGGATTGCGAGGGTTTTTGTTAATCCCGAATTTAATTCCCAGTGCGCGATGTCGCGACGAGGCAAAGCGGCCACTCGGAACTTGCCCAGGGCAGCGGACGGCCACGTGAAAGGAAACGGTAAGCGGAAGCAAACATCGCAGAACTACTTCTGAAACCCCCCTCGGGCGGTGGAATTCGGCGAAGTGAGAAGGGCAAAACCAAATTTGACTCTGGGATATTTTTTCTCAAACTCGTGGGCTCGGCGCACAGGGGCGGCTGCATCACCTATGAAGCCCTTCTTGGCGAGTTCCACGGTGAACCGCCTCGTGATCTTTTCCAGCTCGTTGTCCTGGAGCAACGACAGGAAACAACGCGGGGATTAGTGTCAGAATGGGCCACCAGAAACGACACGGCCACACCACACAACCGCACGCACACGACAAACTACACTTTTTTTTTACTTACCAGGTAAGGCTCAGCGAATTATATAACTCTTTTTCAGCAGCGACCTGGCCACAAATGATAGCTTAATAAAGTGGCTCATCATGTGGCCGTGTATAGCATCCAAATACTCAAAAGTGCACGTCGATTCTAAATGTGGAGGGAAAAACCGAAGGACCCGGAGAAAAATCCACGCGATCACAAAGAGAGGACATGCAAACTCTAAATGTACAGCAGGCGTCAGGGTCGGGATTGACCTCTCGACCTCCTGTATACAGGGCGAGGGAGTTAACATCTCGCCTCCATGGCGCCTGTGGGTGAGGCCAGAGAGACAGAGGATCTCACTCAATTTGAAGGGAAACTTGAGTTGGTAAAAAATAAAACGTTAAATTTCCAAGATTTTCCGAGGAAATCTTTTTGTCAGAAATAGTTACGAGCAAGACTTTTCCCAGAAATGCTTCCGGTCAAAAATTAAGATTGCGTCGCTGACAAAATTACTCAGTTATCGTCACGAGTTGGAATTTAACGTAACATTAAATGCGAAAAACAAAGAGCATTGAGAGGGCAGAGAGCGGGCAGAGAGCGACTTTCTATTAAAGACAAAGTGGTGGACTACACAAACTGAAAAATCACACAGGGATGGGACTGCAATTAAACAAGGAGGCACTCAAGATGGCAAATCAAACACAAGTTCACAAATATGTAAAAAGCCGTTTTGCTGAGAAACAAGACAGAAAGAGATAGATGTGATGGCTGAGAGAGCGGTAAGAGAGGGGAGCGATGGCCACTGAAATACGAGCCCAGCCAGGCTGACAGTGCTCATTGTATCTCACGAGCCTCGCGGAACCAGCTGTGCACGTGCAGCACCTGGCAATGAGCGTGGTGGGACAGGCGGGTAGAACGCACGCTACTCCTCCCCACTGCTGGGGGCGCCACGGTGGCAAGATGTTAATTACCTCACCTGGTATACAGGAGGTCGAGGGTTTGATCCCGACTGAGAATGCCTCGATATTTGGAGTCTGCGCATTCCCCTCCTGGTCATGTGGCTTTTTCTCCAGATCCTCCGTTTTTTTTCCCTCCACAATTTAGAAACATGCGTTTAGAGTGTTCGGCTGCAATAAATGTCCACGTGATCAGCCACTTTGTTGAGCTATTATTGGCGGCGAGGTTTCTTCTGAAAATAAGGTATAAAGCTCATCTTCTTGGTTCTTTCGGTAAAGTCACGTAGATAGAAAAAAATTATAAAAATATCGCAACACACGCAATCGTCATCACCTGATGACCTGATGACGATTGCTTGTGTTGCGATTTTTTCTATCTACGTGGCTTTACCGAAAGACCCAAAGAAAATGCAGTTAACGTAGTAGATTATGTGTGTGTGCCAGCATGTGTTTAAAACCACTTCAAACCGGCCTGCACGACTCCCAACACGTTTCCTTCGGGTCTGGTTCCCCAGAATCGCTCCCCTACCCTGCTCCCCCCACCACCACCACATCACTGACCGCCCCTCCCGACACGTCAACAACGTCCCACCACCACCCTGCGGCTGTTTGCTCATTCGCCCACGATCCTGCAGTGAAGTCTCAAGACTCAACTCCTGCTGCCGCACTGTACTACCCACACAGACAAAGATCCCCCGCACAGCCTTAACAGACTGTTGGGGCAAGTGCCATCAGCGAGTAGCACCCTATCAAGGCCGGCACGGCACACACGAAAGGGAGTGGTGTGGTGAACACCACGCCATGCCCAGCCACCTTTGTCTCCCCAGTGATGACATACCACACCAGGTATTCATTTAAGGCAGAGGCGACCTAGGGGTGGCCCGAGCCCGGTTCAAATGTTCGCCACTGTTAAAGGTCGTGGGCGGGAATTGAACCCCGATGGCAGGGTTCGTAGTGCAGCGCGCTAACCACTGCGCCACCGCTCCCAAATGGACACGCACGCGTGAATTATAATTAACGATCTTAAAAGTTCTGTAATTTATTTAGGTCGTTAAACTACTGTGCGTAAGAATTAATGGGATAGCTGTTTTGGCTGAAGTGTCACAGTGTTGTAATGCTGACGATGGAATTATTGATGCGATGGTGATGGGTACATTACATCATAGATTAATGATGGATGATGATACAAGTTGTGGTGATGGATGCAGGATGACGGTGATGAGGATGGTGGTGATGATGGAATTATGGAAATAACGAAGATGATGTAGTGATGGTCACGGCGGTGATGATGAGGAATACGATTAATTTGTGGATCATGTTGAAGATGGAGTCCCCTATGCCAACAATATTGATGATGCTCACAAGACGAAAAATGGAATTGACCAAACAATACAAAAGGACCCTTCTAAAAAAAGACTCCGTGTGGCTGTACAATTAATTTGCATTATCATCAATCTTACTCTGAACACTGGGAAGGCATTCATTGATACCAAGACAAAGATCACCCGTATAGCCTTAACAGACTTTAGGAGCAAGTGCTATTCGCGAGCACCTATGAAGGCCACCATGGCACACGAGGAGGTGGGTGGCCTGCACCACGCCCGGCCGCCTTTGTCTCCCCATTGGCGGTGTTTACACAGCGCACCAGCTACTTATTCGAGACTGAGTCGATATAGGGGAGGCCCTGAAACGGTTACAATAATCGTCACCGAGTGTTGGCCATGAGCGGGGATTGAACTCTGGATGCCGGGTTCGTAGCGCAGCGCGCTAACCGCTACACTGCCGCTCCCCACATGGATACCAGTCCCTTGTAAACGGACATTCATGGTTTGGGCAATTTGTATCTTCTGCGAAAGGCAGCGCGCACATGCACAGCGGCGTAGTCGTGTGCTCGCATGGACCCTGGTTGGTGCATAGCCCAGAAGCTGGGGCGAGCGAATGGGCCCCGTGTGCAGTTGCACCGCCTGTACCCTCGATAGCCAACGCCACTTGCGTGTGTACAAGGAGGGCGCCCTGCAGAGACAACCCAGGGCCACCTTCTACAATAAACACGACAATTTTTGGTTTTCACTTCGCGTTCGTACGGTTGTGGAACAAAGGTGAAAATACGACGAGCGGGTTTGCGGGTCCCTCTGGGGCTATGGCTAAAGGGGGGAGGGAGCGAGCCGACCGCTCGGGTTTATGCAGGATCGGGAGTTTCAAGGCGAGAGAGCAGAGTGGAGCGGGTGGGGAGGGGGAGGAGGAGGAGAGGCGAAAGGAATGCAAAGGAGGCCACACAGAACAGAGGGGAGCGAGAAGGGAGAGGTGGATGATGTAGGATACAAACAATTTTTGGGAGATTGACAGAGGGGAGAGAGAGGAAAGCGGAGGGGGGCAGGGAGGCGGGGATGTGTGCAGGGTGGCTGTGACAGAGGAGAGAGGAAAGTGGAAGGGGGCGAGGGAGGGGGCTATGGAGCGGGATGGCTGTCGAGATATTTTTGCTTCTCTCCGGGCTCAGCGTGCGCACGCGCCTCGGTCGTTGACCGCGAAGTCGTCATCGACCCCACCCTCCAACCGGCCAATCCCCTCGCTCCATTCTCCATGCACGGTGCCACCCATCACACACACACACACCCTCCCATCACACACCCCCATCAAACACAGCCCCACCCCATCACACCCCCCCCCCATCACACACACACACACCCCCATCAAACACACACACACCCCCATCAAACACACACACCCTCCCATCACACACACACACCCCCATCACACCCCTCCCCCACATCACCCCCCCGCCCACATCACCCCCCCCCCACATCACCCCCCCCCATCACACAGACACACCCCCATCACACACACACCCCCCCACCATCACACCCCCCCCCATCACACACCCCCCCCCCCACCATCACACCCCCCCCATCACACACACCCCCCCATCACACACACCTCCCCCATCACACACACCCCCCCCATCACACACACCCCCCCCCCCACCATCACACACACCCCCCCACCATCACACACACCCCCCCCATCACACCCCCCCCATCACCCACCCCCCATCACACACCCCCCGTGTCAATAGCTCGTCATCGTCTGACGAGCTATTGACACAGCTGGTCTCTGCTGTCTCGTTTGGTTGTTTTACTTGCCGACCTGCCCACCATTGACACCTGTGGAAAAGAGCTCGCTGCAGATTTCAATTGGGTTCATCCAGGTCTAGAATAAAAGATTCCGATTACTTTTTGCCGAGTTCGAGGCAAAAAAGTCTGCAACTCAATTCCGCGACTGTACATTCGGAACAACGGTTTAAACGGGAGACTACATCGTGAGCTTAGGAGAGCCATTGGCTCGAAACGTCGCCCACTGCATTATTTTCATTTTTTAAGGCCACGGCAACATTGACAAACGCGCCGAGTTAGCGTGTCCATTGGTGTCTGGGGGCAGCAACAACATCATCAACGCAGCTGCATCGCCAAAAATGAGGAGTCCTATTTAACGAGAACTAGAGGAGGAGGAGGAGAGGTGATGGTGGGCTCTGCATCAGTGGCACAAGTTATGGGCAACAGCAGCAGTAGCAGCATACGACATCGCGTCTGGATGCACACGCGTGGGTCTCAGTGTGCTGAGACAAACGCGTAATTCCGAAAGCATGAGCGAGAAAAAAAGCGGATGAGAACCTTACAGGGGATTATTCGTCTGGGTCGTACACAACAGCGATGTGTTTTGTTTTTATTGGGGTCTCTCCTATGAGCTATAGACACCGGAAACATTAACATTAACTTAAAACTTTCGTGACTGCAGGAATTAATATTGTTTGGTTCTTTCGGTAAAGTCACGTACATAAAAAAAATAAAGTGAATAAAAATACAAATAATAAAAAATAAAATACATTATAGACTGCCAGTACGCTCACTCGGTTTAATAACCATTGCTACAGTCTACATTATAGACTGCCAGTACGCTCACTCAGTTTAAT